CCTAAAATGAAAAAGAATTTTGACCGTTTTCGTCCGAAATTTTCCACCAAATTTTCTTTTCCAAGGCACATCTGTTCCCAAATCGAATTGAAATGTGTTCACGGTAACCTTAGGCAATTTTCCTGCAAGTTTCAAGGAATTTCATTTTTTGGCCAAAATTGAAAAAAAACAAGGGGTTAGCCTTACATTTTTATCAAAATTTGGCCAAAATTTGACTTTTCTCAAAACAACGCAAAAATTGCTGTGGAGACGAGTGGAGCATGAATCAATATTCAAACATTGATATTTTAGCAGATTTAGTCAAAAATCATCCGTTTTTTGGGCGAGGAAATATTTAAAAATGAAAAAGAATTTTGACCGTTTTTGTCCGAAATTTTCCACCAAATTTTCTTTTCCAAGGCACATCTGTTCTCAAATCGCAATGGAATGTGTTCAGGGTTACCTTAGGAATCTTTCCAGCAAGTTTCAAGGAATTTCATTTTTTGGCCAAAATTGAAAAAAAAACCAAGGGGTTAGCCTTACATTTTTATCAAAATTTGGCCAAAAATTGACTTTTCTCAAAACAACGCAAAAATTGCTGTGGAGACGAGTGGAGCATGAATCAATATTAAAACATTGATGTTTTAGCAGATTTAGGCAAAAATATCGGTTTTTTGGTGAGGAAATACCTAAAAATAAAAAGAATTTGGACCGTTTTTGTCCGAAATTTTCCACCACATTTTCTTTTCCAAGGCACATCTGTTCTCAAATCGAAATGGAATGTGTTCGAGGTTACCTGAGGCATCTTTCCAGCAAGTTTCAACGAATTTCATTTTTTGGCCAAAATTGAAAAAAAACAAGGGGTTAGCCTTACATTTTTATCAAAATTTGGCCAAATATTGACTTTTCTCAAAACAACGCAAACATTGCTGTGGAGACGAGTGGAGCAGGAATCAATATTCAAACATTGATATTTTAGCAGATTTAGTCAAAAATCATCCGTTTTTTGGTGCACAAATACCTAAAAATGAAAAAGAATTTTGACCGTTTTTGTCCGAAATTTTCCACCAAATTTTCTTTTCCAAGCACATCTGTTCCCAAATCGAATTGAAATGTGTTCACGGTTACCTTAGGCCTTTTTCCTGCAAGTTTCAACGAAATTCACTTTTTGGCCAAAATTGAAAAAAACAAGGGGTTAGCCTTACATTTTTATCAAAATTTGGCCAAAAATTGACTTTTCTCAAAACAACGCAAAAATTGCTGTGGAGACGAGTGGAGCATGAATCAATATTCAAACATTGATATTTTAGCAGATTTAGTCAAAAATCATCCGTTTTTTGGGCGAGGAAATATTTAAAAATGAAAAAGAATTTTGACCGTTTTCGTCCGAAATTTTCCACCAAATTTTCTTTTCCAAGGCACATCTGTTCCCAAATCGAATTGAAATGTGTTCACGGTAACCTTAGGCATTTTTCCTGCAAGTTTCAAGGAATTTCATTTTTTGGCCAAAATTGAAAAAAAAAACAAGGGGTTAGCCTTACATTTTTAACAAAATTTGGCCAAAATTTGACTTTTCTCAAAACAACGCAAAATTGCTGTGGAGACGAGTGGAGCATGAATCAATATTCAAACATTGATATTTTAGCAGATTTAGTCAAAAATCATCCTTTTTTTGGCGAGGAAATACCTAAAAATGAAAAAGAATTTTGACCGTTTTTGTCCGAAATTTTCCACCAAATTTTCTTTTCCAAGGCACATTTTCCACGGTTTTCCTGTTCACGGTAACCTTAGGCATTTTTCCTGCAAGTTTCAACGAATTTCATTTTTTGGCCAAAATTGAAAAAAAACAAGGGTTAGCCTTACATTTTTCTCAAAATTTGGCCAAAAATTGACTTTTCTCAAAACAACGCAAAAATTGCTGTGGAGACGAGTGGAGCAGGAATCAATATTCAAACATTGATATTTTAGCAGATTTAGTCAAAAATCATCCGTTTTTTGGCGAGGAATTACCTAAAAATGAAAAAGAATTTTGACCGTTTTTGTCCGAAATTTTCCACCAAATTTTCTTTTCCAAGGCACATCTGTTCCCAAATCGAATTGAAATGTGTTCACGGTAACCTTAGGCATTTTTCCTGCAAGTTTCAAGGAATTTCATTTTTTGGCCAAAATTGAAAAAAAAACCAAGCGGTTAGTCTTACATTTTCATCAAAATTTGGCCAAAAATTGACTTTTCTCAAAACAACGCAAAAATTGCTGTGGAGACGAGTGGAGCATGAATCAATATTAAAACATTGATGTTTAAGGAGATTTAGGCAAAATAATCGGTTTCTTTGGTGAGGAAATACCTAAAATAAAAAAGAATTTGGACCGTTTTTGTCTGAAATTTTCCACCAAATTTTCTTTTCCAAGGCACATCTGTTCTCAAATCGAAATGGAATGTGTTCGAAGTTACCTGAGGCATCTTTCCAGCAAGTTTCAACGAATTTCATTTTTTGGCCAAAATTGAAAAAAAAACAAGGGGTTAGCCTTACATTTTTATCAAAATTTGGCCAAAAATTGACTTTTCTCAAAACAACGCAAACATTGCTGTGGAGACGAGTGGAGCATGAATCAATATTCAAACATTTATATTTTAGCAGATTTAGTCAAAAATCATCCGTTTTTTGGTGCACAAATACCTAAAAATGAAAAAGAATTTTGACCGTTTTTGTCCGAAATTGTCCACCAAATTTTCTTTTCCAAGGCACATCTGTTCCCAAATCGAATTGAAATGTGTTCACGGTTACCTTAGGCATTTTTCCTGCAAGTTTCAACGAAATTCACTTTTTGGCCAAAATTGAAAAAACCAAGGGGTTAGCCTTCATTTTTAACAAAATTTGGCCAAAAATTGACTTTTCTCAAAACAACGCAAAAATTGCTGTGGAGACGAGTGGAGCAGGAATCAATATTCAAACATTGATTTTTAGCAGATTTAGTCAAAAATCATCCTTTTTTGGGCGAGGAAATACCTAAAAATGAAAAAGAATTTCGACCGTTTTTGTCCGAAATTTTCCACCAAATTTTCTTTTCCAAGGCACATTTTCCACGGTTTTCCTGTTCACGGTAACCTTAGGCATTTTTCCTGCAAGTCTCAACGAATTTCATTTTTTGGCCAAAATTGAAAAAAAACAAGGGGTTAGCCTTACATTTTTAACAAAATTTGGCCAAAATTGACTTTTCTCAAAACAACGCAAAAATTGCTGTGGAGACGAGTGGAGCAGGAATCAATATTCAAACATTGATATTTTAGCAGATTTAGTCAAAAATCATCCTTTTTTGGGCGAGGAAATACCTAAAAATGAAAAAGAAATTTGACCGTTTTTGTCCGAAATTGTCCACCACATTTTCTTTTCCAAGGCACATCTGTTCTCAAATCGAAATGGAATGTGTTCAGGGTTACCTTAGGCATCTTTCCAGCAAGTTTCAACGAATTTCATTTTTTGGCCAAAATTGAAAAAAAACAAGGGGTTAGCCTTACATTTTTATCAAAATTTGGCCAAAAATTGACTTTTCTCAAAACAACGCAAACATTTCTGTGGAGACGAGTGAACATGAATCAATATTCAAACATTGATATTTTAGCAGATTTAGTCAAAAATCATCCGTTTTTTTGGGCGAGGAAATATTTAAAAATGAAAAAATTTTTGACCGTTTTCGTCCGAAATTTTCCACCAAATTTTCTTTTCCAAGGCACGTCTTAAATAAAAAACAGGTGTATAGTTAAGTCACTGCTGTTTTCATTTTTCTTTGTCGGCTTTAACCCTAAAAGGGCCGGGGGCTTCCCCCCCCCCCGACTTTTTCCGCGATAGCCTTGAAAAAATAATTCGCGACCCGAGCTGATATGGCCGTGAAAACTGAATTTTCCCATATACGTCGTGTACACAGAGCAGAATTACCATTCGTATATGAATAATTAATTAGCCGTAATTCCAAAACCCTTTGGCATATAGTCATGAAATTTCTTGGGTGTGTTCATGGTGAATTGTTCTATGCATGTACCGAGTTTCAAAGTTTTTCGTCACTCGATGGCTGATATCTTAGGGGGTGCGGAACCCCCCCCCCCCCCCCCCCCCGGCTGAGAGATGGTCAAAATAACCCGGCCTTAATAAATGAAAAATGGAGTCACTATGACAAATACGGCGAAATTTGGTTTTAACAAACCTCTTTTTAAAAATAATGGTTGGGGGAGACGAAAATGAGAAGAGAAAAAAAGAATTTCATTTGTTCACTTCGTTACATTTTTCACCATAATGTGTTCCTTATTTTGAGAAAAGCCCGTCACCATACTTTGCGACGAAATTTTAAAAGACCATGGTCTGTAGCATATCACCACTTGTTTCTCTGGTAAACATACATCATAGAATAAAAAGAGGCAACGTCACCATTATCTATCAAAATTACTTTTAATCATAATGTACACTTGGCACTAGTTAATAATATTTTGGGAAATGACACAGTGTCAGTTATTATTATATTCATACTTCAATTGCTACATAATTGCCGTAACAAACAGCGCTATACCATTGGCTCTCAATCTTAAAAGGAACGCCTTATGGAACGATATATGTTCCCAGTGTATTTTTATTGCAAAATTCAACCATAGTTGTCAACACATGATTAAGCATTTAACTATACTTAAAACCCGTTTTACCAGATTTATACAAGTTAACGAAGACACCTTTTAAGTTCTGTCTTTTTTTCAAAAAAAAAATGTGTCTTCTATGGGCTTGAGATATTGGTGCCCTTTGATCTGAAGATAGCCAAAATTTAGTGCTTTAGATTGTGAACAAAGGTCAAGGGACAAAGACAGGAATTCCAAATAATGTCTCACATTCATTGAGAAAATATTGAAAACCTTGTTCGTTTACATGTAGGTCTGACAATTTTTTTTAAACACGTTGGCCTCGCCTGAACAAATTTTAGCAGTGATTAGAGCCATGTGTAGGGCTGTTACATTGCACACAGTACCAGCATTCTGTAGTGTAAAAATACATGAAAAGCGCATGTTTTCATGGAATGGTTGTGTGCAATGACATTTATCTTATTCATTGTTCATTAATCCAAGTACCATTTCAGGGGAAGTTGTTTAAGAGCCCAAAATATAGCATTCCAGACGAAAGTACTCCTTCAGTAAGTTTGACACATTCACACTAAATTCTCACAATCTGTGTTTTGATATGAGGGACATGACTTTACGCCAATTAATCAGATATTTTTTTGTAAGTACTGTTAGATTTATTACTGTTAACGCAAAACAAATTCTATATAATATTGCATTCATATATCTGGATAATGTGTATAGATATAGTACAATAATCTTTTATAAAATCGGTGTTTTCGAGTCATTGAGCCTTGCACAGGGTGATTAAAATTGAATAAATCTGCTCTACTTCAGAAAGAGTTATTGTTCTAGAATAGACATAATTAGTACTAGTAAGTTACATGAGGTTAAATATATATTGCTTAAAACTATGTACCAGTATCTCAATTGAATATAGCTTGTCTTATTATTGCTAATGATAACTTATGATCCATTAATCTTTCAAATTTAAAAAGACCTGGCTACCAACTTTTGCATTTAAAATATAGAGGCCTTAGCTAGTTTCAAAATCACCTAAGTCATTCAAAGTAAATATATATATTACCGTCCATGCCGTAACAATGACAGAATCATTTGCATAGCAGTTTTAAAATATTCTTCCTCATATACAGTTATGCACATTAAATTTCTTGAAGAGGTCAGGGGTCACCAGGAACGTTGAGCAACCATGACCTTTGACCTCATCTAGTAGTAATCAGCATCCCCTCTGTCTATCAGCCGGTGAAGCTTAATGGAGAAAAATTACAAAAAAAATAATAATAGTAATAAATATAGGCGACTTAAAATGATTCACAAATACCTCAGACAGTTAACCCATTCCTATTGGCCAAGAGCTTGTCACATGGCTGGTTTTAAATGGCTGATAAAGACATGGATGGCAGGTCTTAAACACTTTTCCAGTGTCACATGAGATTTGGACTCCTATGAAATCCGGTGCCAGCACCGTTTTATTGGTTGAACATCCACAATCCTCACGTAGGCATGCGCAGTACTACCAGTGAGTCAGTATTTCATAGCCCTAAATTCACACTACACCGGCATGCTGCATTGTTCGCCACATCACGCAGTACGCACCATGCGCGCGTCAATCTCCATATAAGGAGTTGTTTACCAGAGGGCCTTACCATTGTATAGCCAGAGGGGTGTTTTGTTGATAGAATTAGTTGAAAATTTATAGTTTTTGACTTGTTTCAAATTTTGGGCCGAAAAGGTATTTATGAATGGGAATAAATATGTGCTTGGTCGGTATTAAACATTATGTTTAAGACTGGTTGGAGTCTGGATGCTGATAATTACCCTCGCCCACACTGTTTTAAACCCATGAAGCACACATTTAATCCCTTAGGCCAAAAAAAAAGTCTCCGGTTTCTGGTATGCGCGTGCATTGCCATAGCCATGCCTGTCGGCAAAATGAAATTTTTTTTTTAATGTATGATGATGTCTCAAAACCGCCACTGGTTTGACTGGAATCCGGCTGCTGCACAATTTAAACGTGTTTTTAGATGGGGTTATGATCAAGTATAAGCTTTTTGTGGCCTCTCTGGACTCCCCTATATTTTGCACTAAATTTAGTCTGGCATCATTTGCAGTTATCAGCCGACATTTGAAGAAAAAAAATAGTAAACCCCCCCCCAAAAAAAAAGCCACGTCGCCGCACCACTTTTGGGGCAAGCTCCATACCAGAAACCAGAGACTTTTTTTTTTTGACCTTAATAAAACTTCACTTCAGCTTTAATTTTTAAAAGCAAATGTGATACAAAAGTGTGTGTAAGAATGCAAAGTGGAGGCAGATGAGTTGAACAATATCTTACATCAATCCTGCTTTAGTTTGCTGACATGTGCACACATTAGAATCTTACAAAATGTTGAAGATGTTTGCAGTAAATTGCTCTACTTACCGGGATTCCAGCTTCTCTCCCGGATGCCATGTAAGGAACAGAGAACTGCGATGCTGCTGAGGGCCTGTAGCCATTATTCTGGGGGAAGATAAATTAAAAGGCGACATGTATTTAGCCACAACTTAAAAATATAAACGATATCAACAAGGAGTTTGCACTTGTAACACAAGACCCATAGTTTTATATAGTAATATCAAATTTGAACTTTCTTCTTTGATAGTCACGTGATAGGACACTTTCTTTTGCAAGATTCCTTCTGTGCTGTCATGAAAGTTACAATGTGTAAATAGCAGCCACCATGGGCGTCGTCAGGATAAGGCAAGGGGGGCTTGGACAACCAATAAAAAAAAAGGAGACCAAAAAAAAAAGTGGTTTGAAGTCATATTTGCTTTTAATTTAATACACATTTAACAAAATGGGCATCTGCAGGGATCTCAATGGGGGTGGGGTGGGAAAATGTCCCTCAAAAAAGTGATAAATTGAGAATATGCTAGAGAAAGTACAAGGAATTTCAGGAAAAAGTGCTTTGCCCCCCCCCCCCCCCAAAAAAATCCTGCTGACACCCTGTATCTACTAACTTTAAGATAGATCGTGTTGATATGTGAAATCAAATCCCAAGTCTCGCACAGACAAATCCAGGCACGTGATCACCGCATACTCGGGAGGCCCCCTCCAATGGAGAAACCATTGTGCACATTATTGTGCAAAGCAACTGTCCCACTACAGATCATCTGTACAATAGCTAGCACAATGCTTTTGCCATTCATGGTAGAAGTAATGACGTGCTCAGATTTGTCTGTTATACACTTACCTCTCTTGGTTGGAACTGTACGTCATACACCGACCCGTTGGTGCGGTGTTTCGGGCCTCTGTCACCCTCGTAATCCTCTCTGTACAAATAGTCGCTTCGCCTGCCTCTGCCTCGCGTCGCCAGGTAGCACACCGCCAAGGATATCAGTAATATGAGTAGGAGTGCTACAGCAGCCCCAACGGCAATGGCAATGATGGCTTCTGTGGACAGGCCTCCGCCACCGGGCGCAGGTGTAGCTGTCAAGACAAAATCAAGTCAATCTTAGTAAGAGCCTCTGCTTGAATACAGAACAAACTGTGATGTACCGAGTTGTGAAACAGAATCGGTATTATGCCGTGAATCTCTTATACCAGAATACCCAAGTATAGAGCTTATATTCGGGTTTTTCCCGAGCCTGACCAGGATTTCAAGCCTCTCTTATCTCACAAATTACAACTACTTATTCAACGCCATCATCTGCATGTGTGCCCAGTGTGCAAAATGTTCTTGTAGCGTTTGATCAATGATCAATTCTTAATTATCAATTCGTCTTAATTTTTAGTTAGTTATCCCACTTTAAAATTATCAATGTTCCTTTTGAATTTTTTAATGATTAATTCTCCTGAATGCATCACTCATCGTTTTCCTTGTACACACATACACCCACACAGTGCTATGCAATGTGTAGTCCCTATAGTTTTATACAGAGCAAATGACCTTCACTGCCCACACGCACAAGTCATTGGTCAGTTTCTTAGTACAACCAAGTTACTTTCAAGATCATTGTTTTAAGGAACTATATTAGTCATTCCTAGTCATTTTTCTGAGACTCAAGGAAACCACGATATGACTAAGTTTTCCCATTCTTAAGTATTTCTTATTCCCAAGACTTCCTGTTTCCACCAGTATATAAGTGCTGCTCCACTGGCAGTTCCTCATTCTGTTTCAATTCCATTTCTGTTCCATTTCCATTTCTATTCTAGTCTATTTCAGTTCATTCAATTTAATCTTTGTCTCACCAGTTCAAGCAATCAATGTGTATTAAAATATTGTTAGATGGAATTTCGCGTCGGGGTGATATAAATCAAATTAGGTTTTTGCCCTTCACCGACGTTTTTAAACACTGTATACTCAGTGTGTTACCTCCCGAGTGAAAGTTGGAAAAAAATCACTCGGGTGGGACTCGAACCCACGACCTCCTGCTTTCTAGTGCAGATGTCTTACCACTCGACCACCGAGCTAACGGGATCGGTTGGCCGGTTCGAATCTGATGTACATAGCAGCAGGTACCGCATAAACTATTATAAGGTGGAATTTTGCGTCGGGGTGATTTTTTCCAACTTTCACTCGGGAGGTAACACACTGAGTATACAGTGTTTAAAAACGTCGGTGAAGGGCAAAAACCTAATTTGATTTAAAATATTGTTGTGGAATAAACAGTCACGGTAAACACAGTCCTCAACCAAAGAATTGTGTTTCGACATATCCATTCCCCAGCCTTCTCAACATGCACGCGTGTTGCTCGGAATTTCTTCCAAATATAGTGTGCAGCCAATGAGCATCACAAAAATCTGGTGTCCAAAATGTCGATGCACATGGCAATCTGTAGGAAGTGACGTCACTTGAGAGAGACCTATTGATGCATCCATGTGGTAGTTTTATCGTATGGACCTTAATGAACAATATGTACAGCAACTTCCAAGATTTAAAGTTTGGGGGTGGGTTTCTTTAACGGGTGCCCATATCTTTTGTTCAATCGGGTTCCCGATTCCCCTACTCGTAAATGCACACCCCTACTGCAAACTGTAGTAGCCTAGCAAACTGTAGATGAGCAATCCCCCAATAATTACACATATCAGGTGTTGCACTAAAATGTAAACCCATTCGCACCTGTCATAATGAAAAGTTTGTGGCCCAAACGGACAAAAAATCAATGTGTGTGAGACAGCTCCACAGCTTGCCCAATTGACCTTGCAATTTGCATACCACATGCAACACGCTGGCCACGCGCACTCACACAACTGACCTCTGCAAGAAATCCAGTCATTGGGGGAAAACTTTGACAAAGAAATGATCAGTGGTTTCTTAACCAATGAAATCAAGTCTTATATGAATGGAAAGAGAACTTCATCCTCTTTACAAAACCGCTACCCCCAGTGTGCTCTGACATTGGGTTCTCGAGATACGTTGAGATAAACAACGAAAGGTCTCTCACAAACGGTCGTTTTCTGTTCTGCTCCATAGGCAATTGCCTCATACCCCACATTTTCAATACAAAAAATGATCAGCAGTTTTTCCGTCTTTCCAAGCCATACATAGATAGACTTAAAGCCAGAAGAATGAATTTTCATAATCTGCAACCCCCAGATTTGTGCGACCGTCCATTCTGAAGATACAAGGAATTTAGTGTAAAAATGGGCTATCTTTGTGGTCATTTCCCCACGTTAAAGCTTGTGTGGACATTTCCGGTTGAGCAGATGCGCGCTACTTTTCATTATGATTGCATTGTATTACATTTGTGTTCATTCCCCATTTAATCCATCAAATCATAAAGTGCTGGGGCAGTTCGGGCAATACAGGGACTAATCTGTTTCAAGCTTATGTTACTGTGTATACTGTTAGTCTATTCAAGCAAAATTGTCTACATACTTGTTGTTACAATCATACTCTGGCACCTGTCACCGCCATATCCCGATGGGCATCTGAAACACATAATAAACGCAAACATCAGAACTGTATTAAAGATGAATAAGGAATTGTTCATGTTGTAAATTTATTTATCAAACCCTCCAAAATCGGAAATCAGCTACTGCAAGAAATGTTGAGGTTTTGTGAAGGGACTTAAAGGGAATATACATCATTTGCTTTTGCTGTAATTTTCAGAAATGGTTGGAATTGGGGGGTTGGAAATATAAAGCAAATATAGTTACACTGACTTTTTGGAGGTTTTGGGTTCGAAAATGCTATAAAAACCAAGAAAAACGATCATTTTCCTGTAGTCTGGTTCCCTGACTCCATATTAGAAGAAACAGAGCAGTTTACATACATTGGGGAATTGTAAGGTTAGGGAACCAGTCTAGCTGGCTCGTACCCGTTCATAGGTTTGTAATCGATTGTAAACAAGTGCGATGGTCAATTGGGGCCAGTATTTGAAAAAAAAGCCAGTTGTTTCCAACGCTGATCGGCCGATCAGCGTTGGAAATTGATACAAAAATAACACTTTTCTTGAAAATGACAGTATACCAGGTGCCATAATTTTACAGGATGCTTTAGACTGTCATTTACCAACATCCTATTAAGGTATTTCGCAAAAACTTGGTAGTTTTATTTTTCGATGTTTGCAAATGTTGTATATTCCCTTTAACATTAAATGCAATTCAAAATTCACATATGAAAAGTATTAGTATGAATAGAAAATATCTCTGTAAACACAGCAAGAAAAAAATTAGAACATTCAGAACATCACTGCTTGAAAACAAATTGTTTAAAGCCCAAGTCCATCATTTGCAGCTATTCAAAAAAGTAACCGGCGTAAGTATTGTTGAAAAACATACTGGTTGAAAGAAAGTAAGGGGACTAAACTCCCTGTGAAATTATCCTTTCTGGCAAGCTCTCATTTTGAAGAAATCAACGAAAGAAGGCATTTCCAACGGTGCTTCTTAAGAAGCACCGTAGGAAAATTTAAATTAGTTGTTCATTTTGTTATTCGGCGCAGCGCGCACAAGCATTGGAACGACGCACAGGCGCGCGCGGTTGCTATAATTCGGTGGATCAGTGCGCAACCTCGCGTAAAGCTGCAATTCAAAACAATTCGAAACATGATTTAGCAACTTTTGATTTTAAATTGAGATCCTAGAAACCTGTTTTTCTCGGAATATGAAGCTGAAGCTGAGCTGAAACTTCATCAAGTAAGTTGTTCAGTATCCTTCATTAGATTTTGAACACTTTTGTTGCTTCAAACGAACAAAATGCACTAATTACAAATGATGGACTATAGATTTAAATAAAAAAAACCTTACATGCATGTACTGAGATAGCTGGCAGAGCTGGGTGCACACGTCCCACCATTCTGGCAGTAGCCATCCACACAAACCTCTGTTGGTCCAGAAAGAATAATGTAATGTTACATTAAATTTCAAAATAAAAAAATTAGCCTTGCGTTGAGAAAAATAAAGATGCATTGTAGGCCTAGGCGAGTAGTGGATTTTCCAACTCGAGTACTCGCAGAGAAATTACTCACGAGTAGTCGAGTACTTACGAGTAAATTCCCATAAATACAGAAAATATGGCATAAACATTACTGAAATGGAAGTTACAACGAATGAAACAGCATGGAAAACACCACACTCTTCAGCACTGAGATATCCTTACTATGCAAAACTTTGGCTCATTTTACTTGAACATTTATTTATTGAGAGTGCTAGCGCAATCCCAAGGAAACAAATGGAGGTAGGGATTCCTTTATTGCGGGGAATGTTTCAAGTCAAAAGACCTGCAGAACCTGCCTGGTGCAGAACTGCAAAAGGTTACTTTTTAAGTCAGCACTTGTGAATCAAAGTTGCTACTTGCAAGTACCTACTTTTACTCGTGCCTGGACGAGTACTCGAGTAGATGAAAACCACGAATAGAACAATGAGTAGCAAACACTACTCACGAGTACTTGAGTACTCTGGTTACACGCCCAGCAATAATGCTCTGTCACTGTTTCCCAAAAAGCATGATATTTACTGAGTTGAAGTTTTCACAGGTTAGTTTTTTTTAATGACCTGCTTCAGATTTCCGATGTTTCTTGAATCGGCAAGCATAGGCCTACACTGTTTTTGCAAATGGTGACCATTATCTTTAATTGATATGTACACCACTACTGCCTTTAGTCTTAGGTCCAAGACATGGGATGTTTCAGCGCACAGGTTATGTACTGTGCAGCGATTCACGGAAGCAGGCGCCCTTTATACACACGCTAGTCTGCAAAGGACGTCTTGGGAATTTCGTATTGTGTGTGCATTTGCAAATTGTGTGCAAGAAGTCCTAGTAAGCAGGTCTGGTGTCTGTATGTACTGCAGCTTGCAAGCGAGCCTGTGAGTGTCATTGGATAGGAAAATGTCAACTGCGTGGACGAAGCAGTCAATTTGGCAGCAGAGAAACAGGGCCTTGGAAGGCGTTAAAATCAGTCCTCTTCAGAAATCTGGATGTGGCCGTGATTCGACCGGACCGTATGATCAACCGGTTAGCATCTAGTGTATTGGATTGCCCGTGTACGGTACTAGCCTAACCAATGGTTTTTGGAACAGCTCTTTTGTGTGCACCAATGCGCATGTGCTGTTATTTGCATATTAAGTCACACCCTGTTGCAACGCGAAATTCCCAAGATCATTGCGTGCGGTTCGTGAATGGAAACATTAATGCTGTTGGGCGGTACAAAGGCTGTATCATCTACTGTGAACTACCCCGCTAAGAACGCCATGCACCAAGACATTATGATGTGGGTGAGCATGTATTACCTTCGATGACAACTGAAGGACTAGGAGTGACCTTGTATTCGGATCCCATGAGCAGATCTCCAGTGGTGATTCCTTGCCGCACGGCGTTATTGACGTCCTCCTGAGTCACTGTTGAACTTGGGTCAAAATTGACCACCGCTTCAACCACGATGCTACCGGGGGAGAAGAACAGCACGACGACATTGCCAAAGCCCGGCATGCCACTAAACACCAGAGCAAACTGTAATCCAAAATTCACCATTTCACAGTGAGTGAGGGTAACAGATAAAAAGGTCAAAAAAATATTCAGTGACCAGGGTTTCCACAGAGATCTTAACATGAAATTCAAGGACTTTTCCGGGACAAAATGAGGGCTTTCCATGACCAATTCCTATGCTGTTTCAGGCATCTAATAGGAGTTTATTGCTCTGGGGCAAGGGACACTACTCCCTTTCAGCCTTCCAGTTTGGCACAAGACCACTGAGCACCACAAAAGCATCACAGTGATGCAATGAATATGCAGCATGTATACATATATTGGGGGTTTGGTACATAGGAATGTAAACTTGAAGATGCCATAACCTAATACAGAGCAAGTAAAAAAAAGCAGAACCCAAACCCACAAAAATGTGTTTCATATTTTAACAACATATGTGATGCGATCAAGCAACACGAGTCGTTTATCGACCCTGGCCAAAAACAAATTTATTACAGTATTTTTCAATTTGTAATGGCATTCATGAGAAGTAAAAAAAGAGGAAATCAGCGGATCCGAGGAAAAGTTGCACGCCTGAGAATACTTGTTTCAACAGCTGTCAACAACTGTAGTACACAATATCTTTATTAACAACCCTGGTTCGGCAAACAATATGATTCATAACATCCATTGTTTTTAAAAGACGGGCCTTCAAAAAGACTTTGTGGAATATTTTCAACTTTTAAACTGAGGTTTTATCTCTGGTGATGTTTGAAGACAATTGTGACGACAATTCTTCAAATCGCATTTTTGGATGAAAAAGGTTCTAGAGTCATTGTGTTTGAATGGTGATATTCTTTGAACGGATTGAGAATTTCAGTAATTTTTTCATCTAAAAGTAGCTTATGAAATTGGCTTTCCAGTCATTACTGTGTTAGGTGCTACATATGTTTTTAAAGGGAATGTACATCATTGGCTTTTGCTGTAATTTTCAGAAATGAACTATTTGAGGGGTTAGTATAATAGGCCTAGATCAAATATTGTTTAACTGACATGTTTTGAAGTTTTGTGTTTCGAAAATGCTTGAAAAACCAAGAAAAACAAAAAATGTTTAAGTAGTCTGGTTCCCTGACTCCACTTAAGATAAAATGGATCAATTTATAGTTGTTGGAAAATTGTAAGGTAAGGGAACCAGTCTAGCTGGCCTGCAGCCGTTCATGAACATGTAACCAATAGCAAACAAAATTTGGACTGAAAATTGTAAATTTGGAGCAGTAGTTGAAAAATAGTTAGGTTTTTCAAACGGTGATCGGCCGACCACCGTTGGAAATGTATACAAAAATACAAGTTTCTTGAAAATGACTTGACACCAGGTGCCATAATTTTACAGGATGCCTTAGACTGTCATTTACCAACATCCTAGTAAGGTATTTCGTAAAAACTTGGTAGTTTAATTTTTCGATGTTTGCAAATGTTGTATATTCCCTTTAAATATGAAATATAATTTTTGGGGTTTGTGCAGGATTCCATGACATGACTTTTTCTTGGAATATCAACTTTGTAAAGTGACAAAATTCCATGACTTTTTCAATACTTTCCATGATAGCTTTTCCAAGACGAAACCCTGTCTGTGGAAATGGTAGAATATCATACAGCTCTCTCTCTCTCTCTTGCTCATTTGAAAATAAATGCACTTAAATATCAGGTCATGCCATATAATCTTACCAAAACTTGAAGTCGTATTTGATGACTGAGGAAAATAACGGTATTGGAATTGCCCAGGCCTGTGACAAACACAGCTAGAGCTCCGTTGATCTCAACAATGGTGATTCGGAAGCGGAAACTTCTCGCCCCTGCCAAATGCAAAACAAAATGAAACGTTGATGGCACTTTCATGTCACTCAGGCCACAGATGTGACACACATCACATTTGCAGATTGTGGGTTCGAGTCCAGCCCAGAGTTGTAATGACTCGAGTCAATGGCTCGACTCGAGTCACATTTTTTGGTGACTCGACTCGAGTCCCTAAGGGTAAATGACTCGACTCGACTCGAGTTACCGCGAGCAAATGACTCAACTCCACTCGAGTCCCTCATCAGAATGACTTGACTCGACTCGAGAAGGCTAATAATGTCACTCATTGCTTCTCTCCACCCAGGAGTAACTGGGTACCTGTGAGGGTAGAGATGGTTAGTGTTGTTGACTTGCTTTGCGCCGAAATGGCAGCATGGAGCTGTATACTCCCCAGGGCGCCGAGATGGTGTTGGGAATGTTTCATGGGCCCAATGAGCAGGGGTCCTAATGATGTAGCGCCTTGAGCACCAGTCCTGGTGGATACGTGCACTTTATAAATACACGCTATTATCACCGAAGCTAAAGGGGAAAATCAGTCTGTGGCAAGTTTTGCCTGATAGCAAATCAGTCTCGCAATAAGTCATTTGCGAGTAACCTATACCCTTTGGGATTTAAATTTGAAGAACATCTGGTACACTGACTTGCTCAGAATGCTGGGCACATTTTAACTTTGAATTCTCCAGACCAACGACACTGTTGCTAATCACATGATTCGGGGTAAGCTCTTGCATAGTACTATAAGAGACGCTCAGCACCAATACATCATTCACAATGGGTGGGAATGGCACAAAGACACCAGACCATGCCGGAGCTGGGGGTTGCTAGCATAAGGCTTGCCCCAAATCCTGTGATATAGCTTTGGTCAGGAGAATACAAAGAACAGAGCACTGGATTTTGAACACACAAAGTATGGATTGTGCATGCCGAAAATGTTAATTGTGGCACTTTGTGAGCCTCATACACACTTAAAACATAGGTCTTTTGCTGCTATTTCAATACACAATGCAAAATCTTGGGAATTTTTCTGTGTTCATCTTGACATTTTCAAATTTGATGATTGGCCGCGAGGTTGTCACTTGTGTGTCAACTTTCATTTATGTGAATACGATGGCTTAAAAACATGCTTTGTTGTTTCACAAGAAGACAAATACTGATTTGGTATAAATGTCCGAGTCCAGACTGTCTTGTAAGTGTTATCTTACTTAAGCAATTGTCAGAGTTTCCAGCTCTCACGAAGCCCACAGGGCAGTCACAGGTGTAGCCAACGGGATCCAGTCGGTTGAAACAGCTCAATCCCCTAGCTGAACACTCGGAAGTTGCTGGGGCCGACGCACATTCATTGACATCTGCTCATCACAAACACACAAACAGACGTTTCATATGATAGCAGCATATTGGACTCTGATATATTGACAAAGAAATGTGAGCCACAACGCTGAACGAAGAGGTTGTGACGACCTCGCAAGCTACGTCCCGCTTAATCAATAGACTCTGAAAGGTAACTATTAAGTTCTATTTCATATGATATTTCTTTTATTCAGAACAGTGTTTCAAGATTTGAAATTTGCTGTTTATTGACATCTGCTCATATCACCACACACACTCGTGAAATTCTTCATTAGAGACAGCGTGGATTTTTGCGGTACCCAGTTTAAAAAATTCTGGTTTTAGGGTTTTTTTTGGTGATGGTGTTGGGGCGGGCTGGGGGGGGGGTGTTTAGTTTCTTGGCCTGGGATATCTTTTGGCAGCTTATACCCAGTTGTGAGTAGAATTACGACAGGAGCCCCAACAGCTCGATTTTTGGATGGACCAAATTCTTGTACCCCAAAGTTGCAATTACACGCCCATTTTCAAGGCACAGACGTGTGGATGATCATATACCACCGTTTTTTGTGATCTCCAACTAAAATCAGCGTTAGGCACCGTCGGCGTGCCAATACATTCAAATTATACAACTAATCCCCGCCCCAATAACTTTGGATCATTCGAAATACCCAGTGGATGGACCGGGAACCAGTCTAGGTCTGCCCCAACTCTCCTTTCTGGCCGTTGAGCGAGTACTTGTGCACGGAGCGCATAGCTGGAAAACTGCCATCCCTGCTGTAAGGCAATTACAAGGTAAGAGGTTTTATTTTTTGCTTGGGAGAGATATTCAAGAAACATGGACTGACCCTCATCACAGGTTGTACCCATCCAGAATGATGTACATGAGCAGGTGAATCCATTATTAGCAGCAGGGATGCATGCACCACCATTGTTGCAGGGATTTGCATTACAGCCCGTACCTATAGAGGGACAAAACAAACAAGTGAAATGAGTACTGATAGTGTAGCGGCATGGCCCCAATAATTATTTCCAAAAATGCTGCAATTTGTGATAAAAGAATTTTGTCCGTTAACTTCAGTCAAACTCCATCGGCGCGGCTGGTATAAGACTAGTACATAATCAGAAATGATCAGCATTATTTGGTCTGGGAACTAGACTACATGCATTGCAGCGATATTTGTGTGCGTGGAACCAGTAACCGTACTTAGAACAATTACCAACTTGGCACCAAGTCTAACCCCCTCGCATGGGCGTTGCCAGGATTTTTTCTAGAGGGGGGCAAAACATATTTTTCCCAAAAAAATCTTGTATTTTTCTCGATTTATCAGTTTTAGAGGGGGGCAGGGACATTTTGCCCCCCCCCCAACTCATTAAATTTACACCACTATGACTTCACACCTCTTTTTCTTTTCTTTTTTTCTCTTTTTTTTTTCTTCCTTTTTTTTTTTGGTTGCTTTTCCAGGGGGGGGGGGGCAAGCGCCCCCCCCCTTGCCCCCCCCCCCCTCCCGACGCCTATGCGCCCTCGGGGCACATTCGCCTCGGGTGCTATGCGCCCCTCGGGTGTTAAAAACGTCATATCCCACATCACAGTAGTCAACAATTGTTAATTATTCAATGAGTTCCAGTGCAACAGAGTACAGTATAGCATACATATTCCAGGAATGCTAGCAGGATAAGAAATTAAATCTTCTTGACGTAACTTCAAGATGGTTAAGATGGAACACGGATCAAGGATACAAGTTTGTTTGAAGAAAATAATTAATCAACACCTTTCATGGGATTAAGCAAGCTAAAAAGTTGACATTGAATTTAATTTTGTCAGTTAGTGACTTACTAGGTTGTACAGTGACAGTGAACATGCATGTTGCCGTCAAGCCAGCAGGGTCCATTGCTGTATACGTCACCGGATATTGGCCCACAGACAGTGATTGGCCAGGTTCAAAGGTCGTCGTCCGGGTTACCGTGCCCGAGTTGTCTGAGGCGGTCGGCGGCGTCCAATTAGCGATGGCCTGATCCGTGGCTTGGGCCACGGACAGAGTGAAACTCTGTGGACAGTTAGCAAGAGTAGGGTTCTCTTCATCTGTGTGGGAGAGCATGCAACAAAACAAAGCATGGTCAGCTACAGAAATGAAGAGTAGCTGTTGTCTACTGGGAGTTAACTCACATCATTTAAGACAAGAAATAGCCTACAATTGGTACAAGAAAACATACTAATGGGGAATTGAAGCAAATTTAAGCGATTGATAATAGAATCTCAACCAAGTATAAAATTGAGTGCAAATCTTCAGGCACTTTCAGGGGCTGATCCAGGAATTTTTGCGGGGGGGGGGGGGGGGGTCATCAGCAAATCAATGCTGAAATGTAGACAGGTTTTTTTGGTCCGGACTCCTGGTTCCGTAAAATCAATACATGGAGGGGGGGGGGGGGGGGGGCCTCATACCATACTTTCAATGGGGGTGCTGTTCAAGTCCGACGATGAACTCTATATTACAGAATAGTGCACAACACATACCGCCGTAAACCAGCTGCTGGATCTGTCTGTACTTTGTGCACAGGTGTATATTAACCACGAGTGGATTTTTTGTTTTTGGGGTGTCAGAGCAGGGGGGGGGGGGGTTTAGCATATTTTTGTTATGAAATTCTATGGAAAAACAAATTTTTGACAGAGCTGGGGGGGTATGACACCCAACCCAACTCCACCCCCCACCCCCTGGATCAGCGCCTGGCTTGTTTTGGCATTACTTAATTGCAGAGGACATTCTGAGATTTCTGGAATTACAATGGTTTTTATAATTTAATGGGGTGATCTTAAAAAGCATTCTGCCAACTTTTAATGTAGCACGTAAGACCCTAGATTGAATATTCCATTAGATATCTTACCAGTAACAGTGACAGTGAACACGCAAGTGACTTGGTTGTTATTGCCATCGATAGCCGTGTACGTAACTTCAGTCATCCCAATAGGGAAGGCAAATCCAGGGGAGATGTCAGACGTCAACGTTACAGCTCCTTGGTCATCGGTTGCCGTGGGAGCGGTCCATGTGACTGAGGCCGTGGCCAGACCAGTGTCTGTCGCTCTCGCGATATTGGACGGGCAGTTGGAAATCACTGGTAACGTGTTGTCGTTAGAAACTGCACCAAAATAGGCAAATTCGCATCAGGTGACTTCTACTGTACAAATCATGGTTTAAAAAATCACTGATCTTATAAACTGACTTCTATTATTTGTTTGACTGATCACAATGGGCCTTATTCACGAGTTGGCCATTTGTGTCGAGTTCCCTGAATGTATTTCATTCATTTTTAAATGTTGAGTGGGATGGCGCCAGACTTTTTAGGCACAATGCAGCCTTATTTTACCGTCATTTTTTTTAATATGGCTCTAAACATAAGGGAATGTTTAATTTCAAATGTTAAATGATTTATTGAAGCAGCCTGGAATTTATTATACATTAAGTTGCTTTCATTTCTCTTCGCAAGTTCCAAAAATTAAAAGATTTTGCCTCACTTTCAATTCAATATGGCCGGCTCATGAATAAGGCCCATAGAATGTTTCAAAGGAAATCAGGCTTAAAGGTAGAGTAGATCATTTGTCATAAATAATGGAACTCATACTGTTTTATTTCAGGCTCATTTGCTCAAAGCTAAAAAATTCACAAAGTTAAAGGTAGAGTAAATGATATGTCATTTGTGCATTTTTTTTCGTTTGAAGCAACAAAAGTACTCAAAATCTAAAGACGGGTGCTTAACAACTAACCTGAGGAACTTTTAGCTCAGTGAATGCGGTATATTTCGAGAAAACAATATTCTTGGATCTCAATTTCCATTTAAAAGTTGCAGGGTCATGTTTTGAATTGCACCAAAATCAGCTTCCAGGACACATTCTCATTCTGTCGATTGCAGCTACGCGATGTCACGCACTGAACCGACGAATTACAGAAACTGCACATGAGTGTGCGCGAGCACGCACCCATTCACGGCTTCGCCAAATTATAAACGAACTACTAACATAAATTTCCAAATGTGTGTCTTAAGACGCATCTTTGGAAAGAACCTTCTTTAACCGTCTTCTCCAAAATGACAGCATGCCAGAAAGAACATTTCACAGGGAGTTTAGTGTCATCACTATCTTTAAACCAAGTATGTTTTTCAACAATAATTCCGTCAGTTACCTTTTGGATAGCTGCAAATGATATACTCTACCTTTAAACAACTGGATTTTAAAAAAAAAGCGAAACACACTTTAAACAAAATCAGTAGCATGTGATGAATAAGCCAGTTCGATATTTAGTCTATGTCAAAGGTCTTTCGGAATAAAATCGTAGATGTGATGTTACGCGATGTTACGCGATGTTACGCGATGTTACGCGATGTAACGTGAGCGCCCGTTCTGCTCGTAATTAACACATAAGCGTCGTGCGCCCGTCTCCCTGTGCGTGTTCATTTGCCTTCGATTATCCCGAATGACCCTTGACCCATATCATTGTGTGCACGCACAGTTGGAATACCGAACTGGCTTAGGCCCAAAAAAAAGTCTCCGGTTTCTGGTATAGAGCTAACCCCAAAAGTGGTGCGGCGACGCGGCTTTTTTTGTTTTTACATTTTTTTCTTCAAATGTCGGCTGATGACTGCAAATGGTGCCCAACTAAATTTAGTGCAAATATATGGGAGCCTAGAGGGGTCGTAACCCCATCAAAAAACACGTTAAAATTGTGCAGAAGCAGGATTCCAGTCAAACCAGTGAGTTTGGCAGTTTTGAGGCATCATCTTACATTGAAAAAAAAAACCTTTTTAATTTTGCCGACGTGCATGGCTACGGCGAAGCGCGCAGACCAGAATCCGGAACCTTTTTTTTTGGCGTTATTGACGCAAGTTTGGACAAGTCTCACCTGTGATAGTCACAGTGAATTGACACACTGTCGTCAAACCAAATGGATCTGTAGCCGTGTAGGTGACCGGCGTGGTCTGTACCGTGAAACTATCGCCAGGATTGTGGGACGGTGTCAGAGTGACTTGACCTGAATTGTCAGTGGCTACTGGAGGAGTCCAGCTGACGGAGAGGGACGTCTGACCCTGGGGTACAGTCTCTGCAATATTGGCCGGACAATTCGCTATCACTGGAGCCTGGGTATCCACTGGAAAAGAAAGAAAAAGAAAAGGTTTCATCTGTTATTAAAAACAGAAGTGAAGTTTTTCAAGTTGCTCTCTCAGTGCTAATTTCAAGTTTTCACGCCAAAAAAAGGGTTTTGTTTTTAAATTACTTTTTTCTGTCAAATAGAAAAATTTTCATTTGTGAATGAGACATCTTGAAAAATCCCCCCCCCCCACACAATCACTTTATCAAAATTTACTTAATAAATTTTGAATTATCTGCGGCCAAATTTTCAATACCTTTTTGTGCGTTATAGTTTGAAGCAACAGAAGTGCTGAAAAACCTAAGAAGGGTGCTAATTAAACAACTAACCTAATGAAATTTTAGCTCAGTGAATTTTGTATATTCTGAGAAAACAATATTTTGGATCTCAATTTCAATTGAGATCTTGCAGAGTCATGTTTGAATTGTGCCTGAAATCAGCGTCCTGGACACCTTCTCATTCAGCCGATTGCAGCTACGCGATGTCACGCGCTGAACCGCCGAATTATAACGACCGCGTGCGCATGTGCGTCCTGTCAACACTTGCGTGCACCTATTCAGGCTTAGCCGAATAAAAAAGAACTATTAATGGAAATTTCCAAAAAAGGCATCTTCAGATGCATCTTTGGAAATGACCTTCTTTTATTGTTTTCTTCAAAATGACAGCATGCCAGAAGGATTTCACTGGGAGTTTTAATAGTGCCATTGCTATCTTTAAACCAAGTAAGCTTTTCAGCAAAAATTTTGTGAGTTACTTTTTGGATAGCTGCAAGTGCTGTACTCTACCTTTAAATACTGTGCACAGTTAACGCCTGTATAAGCAAAGTCAGGCAGATATGTGAAAATTGAGTGTTGAGATTTGAAAAATCATAGGCAGATTCTGTGTCATACATGTTACCGATCACATCAGTCGTCACATCTTATATCTCACAGGTTATTGTATGGCACTAAGGCCAAAAAAAAAAAATATTCGGTCTCTGGTCAGACCAAAGTTCCGGAATTGACGCGGCCACGCGGCTTTTTTTTCCCACTTTATTTCCCTTTCTTCAAGCTTGGATTGTACAGACAAGGTGGGGTACTATTTTGCTTTTTTGGTGTCCTCATGTACATTGGTGTCCTCCATAATTTGCCTTGGTGCTTTCGATCATTTGCCTTGGTGCAATTTCCTATTCTTTGGTGCTCTTTGGTAAAAAAAATTGAGGTGCGGAAATAGAGGGCGCTGTTGAAGCTACCGCGGAACATGTAAAAAAAAAAAAAGATCGACGCGCATGATTAAAATCGACGCACGCGCTGACCAGAGACCGACTTATTTTTTTTGTTGGCCTAATAGTAGAATCCAAACGTTTCTTTGTTGGGATCTCCGCTCACCTATGACAGCAACAGTAAATGAGCAAGTGGAAGAGCGGCTGAGGTCGTCTGTAGCCGTGTAGGTTACCAGTGTGCTAGTACCAGCGTTGAAGCTAGTCCCTGATTCACGGTCGGTCGTTAGAGTCGCTGAAGCGGGAAGCGCTGTAGGAGCGGTCCACGCTACGTTGGCTTGGGGTACCCCTGACGCCACGTAATGATTGATGCTGTCTGGGCAGTTCAGAATGGTTGGCGCACCTTGATCATCTGCAAGCCAGAAAAGGACCATTCATAAATACCTAAGACAGTTTACCCATTCCTACTGGTCGAGAGCCTGTCACGCCAGGGCGTCAATCCTGGGGGGGGGGGGGGGGACAAGGGGACACGTCCCCCCACTTTTTGAAGGATGGGGGACACAAAATGCATTTTTGAACTTAATTGTGTGTCTCATTTACAGGGCCCTGTTATACACAATGTATCTTTTGCTGAGAAATTATTGGTTAAAGTGGTCAGAAATTTCCTCAGATCGCACCAAAAATTGAATTTTTAACACAAACTCCGTTTTTTTTTAAACCTTATCCACGGATCACTTTTATGGTATGAGATATTTAAGTAAAAATGAAACCATGTGATATCCTGAAAATGAGATCAGAATAATCTCATAAGTCTCCGGGGTAGCAAACTAGAAGGCAGTGCAAGACTATGAACTATTGACATTATAACGCATGTTATTTGATGGTTTTTTTTTTTTATATATATGAACAGTTTCCGTTTTCCTGAAATATCACTTACCTTTGTTGTGATCCATGGACAGGGTTACAAAAATGTGTTTGTGTGTAAAATTCCATAACTGCCAAAGTACGTGAGTGATTTGAATGATTCTTTAACTAAAAGAAAGCTTATTAATTGGGCTTTCGCATCCTAGATCTTGCAGAGCTTCTTTAAAAAATAGTGGTAGCCAATTGGGTTTCCCTTTTTTTTTTTACTCACCCTGTACTTTGAACTTACAATACATACATTCGTGTATGAAGCTAGCGTGGCGTTTGCCCGAAAGCGCGTGTGCATGTTTGTTTTTCTCTGTACATGCTACACCAGGATTCATTTTTCCGGTCTGTGAAGGGATGGAAAGCCTGTTTTCCAAAACATGAGAAAGCCTGAGTTCAGGCTATAACCTGAAAACTGGCTGTTCTAACCTGATAGGCTGTTCAATGGCACTGATCCCTTCATGTGTTTGTTTTCTTTCTTTTTTTCTGCACAATGCCATGATGTGAATGTATATTGTCAACGAAACTCTTCTTCCTGGAAGCCTTTGTAAAAAACTCACCAACAACGTCGACAACGAAAGAACAGGTGTCTGAATTGCCGTAGTTATCAAAGGCCGTGTAGGTGACCGTCGTCATGCCCAGGTTGAATAGCGTGGGGGGCTCGTGAGTGGTTTGCAGGTTAACTGGTTCCCCGGAGTCGTCGGTAGCGGTAGGGGGCGTCCAGGATGCAGTGGCCTGATTCTGGCCTGAGGGAGCAGTCGCACCAACATCACTTGGGCATCCCACAAAGACAGGAGCAGTGGCATCATCTGAAGTTACGGATAAAATCAATCGATTCGGTCAATAATCTTGTACATTAAAGAGTAAAGCAACACTAAACAAAGATAACTCACGTTTGAAATTTTACCGAACCAACAAACGGTTTCAAAAGTAACTGATGAAATTATTGTTGAAAAGCGAACTTGGTTTAATCTAAAGATAGTCATGGCATTAAACTCCCTGTGAAATTGTTCTTTCTGGCATGCTGTCATTTTGAAGAAAACAATAAAAGGTCATTTCAAAAGATGCGTCTAAAGACACATTTTTGGAAATTACTGTTAGTAGTTCGTATTCAATTCGGCGGAGCAATGAATTGGTGCGTGCAAGTGTTGACACGACACACACACGTGCGAGCAGTTGTTATTATTTGCGCGATTGCTGTTACTCGGGGGCATTCAAACATGACTCAGCAACTTTTGAATTAAAATTGAGACCCTAGAATATTGTTTTCTCGGAATATACAGCATTCACTGAGCTAAAACTTCATCCGGTTAATTGTTAAGTACCCTTCTTTGGATTTTGAACACTTTTGTTGCTTCAAAAAAAAAAGCACAATCGACTCTACCTTTAAAGGAAGGTAGACATTGAAAAAAACTCAAAACACAAATTTGAAAAATTCCAAGAACACCTATAAAGAGTCACTTTCTATACCAATGTAACTTGCTGACGGCCTTGTATATAAAGTGTTGTTTTTTCCCCACTGTAAACATTCTGAATAAGGGGGTCAACCTACTGATAATATTGACACTGAAGACACAGGTGACTGTGTTGCCAACGCCATCTTCAGCTGTGTATGTGACAACCGTCGTCCCGGACTGGAACGAGTTGGACGGATTGTGGGTCGTGGTGAGACTGACGCCAGAGAAATCATCGGAGGCCGTGGGAGGTGTCCAGGCAACGATGATAGACGTCACGGCAGCGCCAACACGCCTGGTGATGTTGGCGGGACAGTTGGAGATAGTCGGTGGGGTCGAGTCAGTGAGAGCTGATGAAAAAAATCAAACTATTTGTAGCAGAACATGATGTATTGGTTTTTCGATTTAATTGTGGCAAAGATTTTTTATTGTGTCTGTGGTATCTGCTCTTTATCACATTTCAACCAGCTAGAACCCAGCTAGACCCCAGCTTGCTCTCCAGCTGCTGAAATACTGAGACATCTGCATCAGTAGTTTCTTGGTGAGGGGTAGTAGGGGCATTTTCATTCTCCCACAAACCCTACTCTTACTGTTTTGAAATTCTGGGGTCCCCCCCCCCAAGTCAAGATTATGGATGGATTGGAGAAGAATATCGATGGTATTATTAAGAATAATGACGTCAACGCCATGGTTGTCTGCAATTGGGCCACAGATGACCAAGGTTCTCCAACGAAAAGTTTGGAGATTCATAGTACAACCTTGGCAGAACCCTAGCACATCCGTGAATATCTGTAAGACATTCGTAGCGACAATAATTACAAATAGCCACGAATAACACAACGAATCAGTACGCTTGTCCTACGGATGTCCCACGGTTGCATTACAGATAAATTGTCATGACGTTTCACCACGAAAGTTTTGAACAGTTTAAAACGTCCGTAGCCCCTCCACGAATACCCAAGGAAGATGACGGATAACCACAGATGTACCAAGGATGAATACGGTACTCCCTCAGTTTATCACAAAGTCAGTACGCTTGTCCTACGATGTCCCACGATTGCACTACAGATAAATTTTCATGACGTTTCACCAAGGATATTTTGAACAGTTTAAAACATCCGTAGCCCCTCCACGAATACCCAAGGAAGATGACGGATAACCATGGAGGTACTAAGGATGAATACGGTACTCCCACGGTTTATCACAAAGTTCAAACCGTGGAGATCTGCAGCTCCAAACCGTAAAATGTGTGACTTGGACTAATACTCCCCACTTAAACCATTGCTATGACGTCACACTATTGTTAAAAGTGTGGATTCGGATCTACGAATCTCTTACACTGGTCACAAAATGTGGATTCAGAACAACGAATCTTTAGTAAAGTGTGGATTCGGAATTACAAATCCACACTTTGAACACATCGGACAATTGTTCTCCATAATGAGCCTGAATAGGACCATCTGCGTGAAAATTTGTTTTCCGAAAATTACCAATGCATCTTCACTGTCAGATTCTCCGCCGTCACTGCAAAATCTACTTTTATTCAGAAAGAAATCCTCGTCTGAACTATCTATTTTGTCTTAAGGAGCCTATACACACAAAATGGCTTGGTTGTACAGGTGTGGCGATACACATGCTAAACACGCCAGGGAAAAATGTTGCAACCTGACGCCACTTCCGCGCTTGTGTACGAAGTCTATGGAGAGTCATTTCAATTATTTCCTAACAAAATTGGAAACATTTCTCAGTCCCAGATTCATGTCTTATCATCATTTTTGCAACGAATGACCTTCATTGAGATGATGTATGAAGAAAAAAGTGGCGTCAGGTTGCAACATTCTTTCCAATACTTCTGTTGACGCAATGGTTTAAGTCGAAGAATACACTCGCAAGTGTGGATTCTTAATTTACAAATTCACTCGGCGCTTCGCGCCTCGTGAATTCTTAAATTACGAATCCACACTTTCTCGTGTATTCTCCTTAAAATATAGAATCGTTCTGCAGAATCGTCCAGCAAAAACTCACCAGTTATCGTGATGGAGAATCTACATTCGGCACTATTACCAGACCCGTCTGTGGCCGTGTACACGACCTCATGCGTACCGACTGCGAAGGTATGCCCAACCTGATAGTTGGAGACAAACGACGGAGTGCCAAAATCATCAATGGCCGTGGGTGGGGTCCAGGAGACAGACAGCTGCGTGATGCCTGGGTTGACTTCTCTGGTGATATTCATGGGGCAGCCGTTAATGATGGGGTCCTGTGTGTCAACAGCCTCTGTGCATTAAAAAAAATTAAAACCAAGAACAATGAGAATCTTGTGAGCTACAATTTCAAGAAAACTGAAAGATCAAAATATTGTGAGCTTTTAACCATACAGGTTTTTTTTGTTTATTTATTCCTGCGCTTTGTGATCTATGATCGTTATTGCAGCTATTTCTTGCCTTTGATACCTTGTAATTGTCAATGTTTTTAAAATCTTTTTTAATCTCTTATTTCTATGCGATCTTATTCATTCTCTACAACTTTTTTTTGGTCAATTCAATTTACTTTTGAATGTTACCATTTCGAGTGGGGATCAACAGGCTTTGGAGTCGCAGTGTTTCAGTATACTTTTGTCAATCCTGGCCAGCTTGGATTGGGTTGTTTTTTGTTATGTTTAGTTTTGTTTATTATTTATGTACACGTACTCAATTTTCATTTGTAAGGAACGTAATGGATTTGGGGTGAGGGAGTTTTGATTTAATTTGTTTTCAGTTTTAATGTTTTAATCTTTCTTTATTTATTTTGTTCATTTATTTTGTGCAACAATGGTCATTTATCCTTTTGGAAGTAATGATAGTCCTGAAAAGGAATATTTGGTTAATTTCGTAAATGTTTACTGTGCTACTCTGTCTCTGCCCTCTGCTTCACAAATGCAAATTTCGGTCAGTGCTGCTATTGCAGCAGTCAAAATATCAGTCGCCGTGGACAAAATGAAAAAGCAGCGCTTTCTTTCCATTGGCCATATCTCAATAAATATTTACCTGATTGGAAGGACTATATACTCTCCAAATATACAGGGTAAAAGAAAAAGGAAACTCAAATGTTGGGACTTTTGTTTTAATGAAGTTCTGCATGTAGCACTTTCAAAATCTAGGATATAAAAGGCCAATTCATAAGCTTTCTTTTAGTACAAGAATCATTCAAATCACTCATGTAATTTTCAAGTTACAGAATTTTAAACACAACCACTGTTTTAAAGTTCTGTCCACGGATCACAAAAAAGGTGTGCGTTCTTTCAGCGAAACAAAAACGTTTTGCTGAAAGAACACTTGCCTTTATGTGATCCGTGGACAGAACTTTAAAACGCTGGTTGTGTTTAAAATTCCATAACTTGAAAAGTACATGAGTGATTTGAATGATTCTTGTACTGAAAGAAAGCTTATGAATTTGATGTTTTTAGGGTTCAGAGTTTTTTTTTACACACCCTGCATGTTGAGTCTGGGCAGTTCATACTATTGAATTTGACAGCAAGGCTGGCTCCCCTACCTGTGATAGTGATGGTGAAGTTGCAATAACCCCGGTTACCAGCCACGTCGGTAGCCTTGTAGACCACTTGGGTGTCTCCAACGTTGAACTGGGCACCAGGAGTGTGTGACGCCGTGGTGGTGACCGAGCTGATGGCATCCGAGGCGGTGGGCGGAGTCCAGGTCACTGATTTAGAGGGCGTGCCAAATGGAACAAAGGCCTGGATGTCACCAGGACAGCCACTCCAGAAGGGATTGACCGTGTCAATCACTGAAAGTCAAAAAAAGAGCAAAGGACAGGTCTTTAGTTTATAGTTAGATTGAAAATGAACAGTGAACAATTTGACCCCCGGTAAGTTGAACCACTGCTGGTTACGGGACATGAAACATTTTCTGAGCCTTCACCACATTTGTTTTAACAGATGCAGTCAAATTTAAGTGAAATTTAAGTGAAATTTAAGCTAGGTGAAAGAGTTTGACAGTCCTTAGGCGCCTGGTACACAATTCAATTAACACATTTGTCTTTTGTGGATGGCACATCATGTTCTAATACAATCACAGCCGTGATTAATGTAGCAGACATGCATGTACAAAAGTCCGTCAGGCATGCATGCAGGCGCACAATGTAGCACACAGCTGGACATGCGGTGTGGCATTGGAGATGTGCATGTGTTGTTCCCAAGGTAGGCGGGTTCAATCTTTTGATAATAGTTAAACTCATCATTGTTTTCTCACATCATTCATCTTACTAATGTTGTGCAAACCCGACCCGAAACCGACCTGACCCAAAACTGACTTCGGGTTGGGTCGGGTTGGTCTTACCATCATTTCAGTCGAGTCGGTTCGGCATTGGTTTTGCCTTTGCGATTTTCGGGTCAGTTAAGCCATCTTGTGAAAAAACCGAAATAAATCGAAACAGTTGGGAAATTCACACGGTGCAACATTATTGCAGAGTTACTGTAAGGTACGACCAACGCCAACGCCAACCACTGGGCGAATGTGCATGTGGTTTGTGGTCTTTCATGCAGTCTTTAACTCGTAGGCCCACCAGTGGGTAAAGTTACGGGCTTTCACCGTACTGTACGGTAGGATTCTTTACTGAGAGATGACAATTTTCACGTGATGCGGATAAGTTCTGATTCGGGGGTTCTTTTGGGTCGGTTTTTGTTGATTTTTGTTGGGTCGGGTTGGGTCGGATTTGGGGAGTTCATATCGGTTCGGATTCAGTTTATATCTATAATGTTTCAGGTCAGTTTGGCCTGGTCAACCTGACCCGATGCACAACATTACTACTTACCATCGACATGCACATTGAATGTGCAGTTAGCTGTGTTACCAGCACCATCAGTAGCCACATAAACCACTTGCGTAGTACCAGCTGAGAATAGGTCTCCCGGGTGATAGTTCACGTCCACACTGACTGTTCCCCTAGCATCGACAATGGTGGGCTCGGTCCAGGACACACCCACTTTGATCTGGCCCTCTGGGAGCGTCTCTGCTTGGTCCATGGGGCAGTTTGTGATGTCTGGTGGAGTGGTGTCGGGCGTTCCTACATGCATAACAAATAACATTCATAATCCATTCTATTAGGCCGCGGGCCAAAGCCTGAACTTAAAACATAGAAGTTACGCCAAAAATACTATTTTTGACCAAAAATGGGCAAAATAATGAGGAAAAAATGTCGTTATAACTTTAATGTGCAATTTGGGCCAATGTGAACAGCCAGATTAAGAATCAGCACTATCGAATTTATAGTAAAAGCAAGCTGACATCAAAAATTTAAGACGAACCTCAACTTCTAGACCTGATACAGATTTTGGCCCATGGCCTATATTGGCCCATGGCCTATATTGAGGCATGAATATAATCGTCAAATTTAATGCATGATCACTTTAAAGGTACAAAGGACGATTTTGATTTGTCGTTTGAAGCAACAAAGTTGCTCAAAATCCCGTGAAAATTTCAGTGAAGTTCTGCATGTATTACTTTCAAAACCCACAATACGAAAGCCCAATTCATAAGCTTTGTTTTAGTACAAGAATCATTCAAATCACTCATGTACTTTTCAAGTTACAAAATTTTAAACACAAAACCAATTTAGAGTTCTGTAGACGGATCACACAAAAGGTAAGCTTTCTTTCAGCAAAACGAAAACAATTCACGTACATCCCTATGTGAATTGGTTTCGTTTTTCGTTTTCATGAATGCTGTACTATCAAATTAGGTTTTGCCTTTACACCGACTTATAAACACAAGGGCGGATCCAGGGGGGGGCCAAAGGGGGCCATGGCTCCCCCCAAAACGAAACCAATTTTTTTTTTTTTTATGTGACATCGCAATAAAGGCAGGCAATGAGTACACCACCATCTTACCTCAAAAAAACATTGGTTAAAGTGGTCAGAAATAGCCTCAGATCGCACCACAGAGCATCTAGAATCCCAAAAAAAATTTTGACCCACTTTTTGGGGGGACCAAAAATTTTTTTGGCCCCCCCCCAAAATTGTGTCCTGGATCCGCCCTTGTATAAACATTGTATACTCAGTGTGTTACCTCCCGAGTCAAAGTTGGGGAAAAAATGATGTACTACTTACGTTCAACATTCAGAACAAACTGGCACGTGGCTGCAAATCCTGCGTTATCAATGAACATGTAGGTGACCTGATACGCTCCTAGGGTGAAGTTCTGTCCAGGGTAGAAGTTCTGCTCTATCCTAGCGATGCCATCTTGGTCAGTAGCTGTGGGTTCGGTCCATGTCACTGCTACCTGACTCTCACCCTCGGGTATATAACGGGTCAACATGACCGGGCAGTTGGACACCATGGGCTTGTTGTTCTCTGTTAAACCGCATCAGAATATGAAAGCATTTAACATTGTTGACATTGATGTGGGACGACGTTTTTAACACCGGAGGGGGGCATAGCACCCAAGTCAAAGTCGAGGGTGCTATGATTTACGTCATGAGGGGTTAAAAACAGCATATCGTGCATATCGTGCCACCAACTCAAAAAGATAAGTGGTTGTAACTTAGGCCAGCCCTCAAATTAGAGTCCCTCCCCAGACCGTTCGGGGTTGAGCCCGCCCAGTATGTCAAAGGGACTGGGACCTTGGATGGAACCGATTGGGCCCAGATTAACTACACCAGGCTTCTGCAGCACACTCTGGCTCATCACAAAGAAACCAATTTGCGACACACAAATCCTCCAGCACGCAACAATGACTCTGAGTGGGCCGAATAATCCTCCTCCAATGGCTCAACTTCAATCTATTTTGCCCATTGATCAAACCCCCAGTCACCAGTTCAGACCGATCAGGGCTTCTAGCTTCAGTAACCATGTGGCTTCTGGCTTCATACCGATCGGGGTGAAAGGGATTGGCTTACCGGGCCTGGTACCCGAAGGGTCTGTTATCCCATGACTGGCCTTACTGTCTGAGAAATAAATTAAATCACTGCGATGTAACCTTTCATAACTGAAGGTTTTGATGTCTTGCTGGACATGAGATGGAGCTCACTACCTGCTTCTGCTGTTGGCCCCATCCAGCCAATCTTTTAACATGCCCCCCTGCTCATAATTTTTTTTTTTTTTTAGCTGTGGTTATCTACCAGACTGGGACCGTGAGTGCATAAAAACGTGCAAAATTACTACTGACGTTTTTTTACTCACCATTCGGCTAATTAATGCCCACACAACACATACATCAAAATGCTATAGTTGCAAGCATGTCACCTGCGAAATTTGAGACCTTAAATCCAATTTTAAGGCAAGTTTTTGGCAATTCAAAAACCATCCACGTCATTCTCCATGCTCTAGAAATGGTTGTGTGATTCCCAAGGTATTCTGGGTAGGTGTAGGAAGAGCCTTGCAGCTTACTTGTTTTTTAATCGATGGCCAAATGAACATAGCGCCCTCTGTTAAAAAATGAAGCATTCTGCATTCACTCAGATCAACCAGAGGGCGCTGTTTTATCTACACGATGAAAATGTTTTAGCTGAGGAGTTTTTTGCACAATGCATTGCAGTACACATCAACGTTATGTTTTGCGTTTGGATTTCGATAACTCCCTGCAAAATTAGAATTAAAAGCTGAATTTTTGGTGATGCAATACTCACAACAGCAACTTTGCGAGGCAGAAGTTTCGGGGATTATTGAAGAAACTGTAGTGAGTAAGAAGCTTGCTAATTTGATTCACACTGGTTTTATTATGCAGCACAAACTTTTGCACGATATGGATACCAATAAGTTTTGGGACTCTCATACACAGTATTGAGAGTCCCAAATTTTCGGACTAGTTATCTACTAACTTCATGTTCTTTTGAGTAGGGTCTAAACTAAAGCAGAAATAAAAAAAAAATAAAATTAAACCAGTAAATTAGTACACTTTTATTATCTTGTCCTCACCTTCAATGGTAATAGTGAATGTGCATGTTTGCTGGTTGTTATGGTCATCAGTCGCCGTGTATGTCACATGATGTACTCCCAGGCTGAACATACCCGGGGATCTAGAGGCGATCAATGTAAAGATAACGGTGTTGTCTGTCACAGTGGGTGTGGTCCAAGTAATGTCATCGGTAGGGATGCCGATGATGTCATCGGGACAGGTTTGGAAAACTGGAGGCTCCATGTCTAGGGGAAAGGAGAGGATCGAGAATGAAGAGGATTACTTGAGTGAGAATCAAAAGTGTTTTCTGTGTATGTGGAGTTTGTTAACCCATTAACACATGCATTACTTTGTATTACATAGTATTCATTTCCTGACGAATCTGTGGGCAGTACGAGGCAGTATCAGCTCCATGCAAAAGTACCCCCTCAACGGTAAGAAAGGAAGAGTTGGGGAGACCACTGGGAGAGACGTTCAAATGCATTGTCGAAGGCGTTCATGCTCAAGAGAAGACGCTATGGCTTTGTGCACTTTCAGAATAAAATACGTTGTGCGTACTTTGCGCTATACGCGCGAACCAGTATGCAGTGGTAAAAAGCACCCTCTCTAGTTCATGCATGGAGCGTAAATGCAGTAACAGGCAGGATGGTCTGGAGCATTACAGAAACTACAACACGTCCCAAAATACCCCGCAACTTTTTTTGTGAGGCTCTAGCGTTGGCGCGGAAACATGTACCGCCATTATTTTTATATCATTTGAAAGCTTGGAATCTGAACTTTATCCCAGGCGAGTATAGAGGCATGTTCAAATAAAGGAATGTCGAAAGAAAACTCAACCGATTTCAAGGAAAATTGATGGTGCGGTACATTAGATGCCAACTCGAGTCGCTTTGAGCGTGCTTTTTGATACATCTATACTTACACGTGAATTTCAAAAGAGACTCAGAATAAAATCAAAATGAAGAACAATATTATGAATTTATTTAAACTGTAGTCTACGTGGATCGAAAAGAATAGGAAACACAGAAAGCAAAAGGCAACGAGATTGTCATTTCCACATTAGGAAAAATGCGCATGATTGATTTTCCTTGAAATCGGTTGACTTTGTTTTGACATGCCTTTATTTGAGCACGAATAATTTCGAAACCCTTTTGAAAATCAAACCAATACTTACCAGGGATAAAGTAAAGATTCCAAGCTTTGAAATGATATAAAAATAGTGGCAGTACATGTTTCCACAACGACACTAGAGCCTCGCAAAAAAAATGTGGCGGGTATTTGGGACGCGCTGCAATGGGTTTCTCCTACCTGGTATCTTTGCAATGATTCCTTCTTCTGAAGGCAGACAGAGCAAAAGTGACGCTAACCAATTGAAATACAAACCGTCTTCGTTAAGTTGTGTTCGTTAAGTGAGAGCATTTCAAATGTGCCTACCAAACCCCAATCCTTACATAGCTCATTTTTGTAACTGGAAGTCTCTAATAAAAAAGAGTTACTACTGAGTAACTTGCTAAGCACAAACACTTCAACCAGCTTACCTGAGACTGTGACAGTGAAAGAACAGGTGGCCGTATTTCCCATGCCGTCACTTGCTGTGTACATGACCGTGTTAACACCTACGCCAAATGCGGATCCTGACTGGATTGTGGGAGTCAGCGTGATGCTGGCCGGGGAGGAACTACTAGTTGTAGGATCATCCCAATTGGCGACGTTGTTGGGTTGTCCTGTAGCAGTGTTAATGTTGATGTCGTCGGGGCAGGTTATCAGGATGGCATTCCCTGCATCTAGGTGAGTCACAATTCATCTCATGTTAACATCTTCAAATAACAATCAATCTCATGTTAACATCTTAAAACAACAATCAATCTCATGTTGACATCTTAATATAACATCAATCTCACGTTAACATCTTAAAATAACAATAGATCTCATGTTAACATCTTAAAACAACAACTTATCTCACATTAACATCTTAAAATAACAATCAATCTCACATTAACATCTTTAAAAAAAACAATCAACAACATATTATCATCTTGAAATAACAATCCATCTCATGTTAACATCTTAAAATAACAATCCATCTCACATTAACATCTTATAACAAAAAGAAGACCGGGCAATTTTGTCACAACCTAATAAAGGAGATTTTTGAGAGAAAGCGCCCACTGAGCTGGAAATATGCATTTACTACGAAACGATTATAGTTCGAAAGGTAGAGCATTTATGCAACTGTAACTTAGCAAGTTTTTGTGTAATTGCCATGCGAGAACAAAAATTTGGGCCTCAAAATCGAGCCGTTTGAGTGCTAGTCTTCATTTCTGTCACGTTTCTTTTCAAAATATTCTTCAAACACGTGCAAGCCAGTGTGTGTTCTATGTTTCAATGTTTCGTAATTCACTACCTTATGGAGACGTGTGTACAATAGGGAACAAAATATTGTAAAAGTCTCCACAAGGCAGTTGTCTCCACAACTTTTTCACGAAATAGATATGAATTTTACTCAAAAACTGGGAATTTCCAAGGTGTGTTTTATCTGTGCCAGTCTTTTTTTAAAAATTGGCTTAACATTTGATGCTTTAAAACACATATATTCTACGTCATGTAAACAAATAAGGTTTTCCAACATTTTCAACATAAATGTTAGACATTATCTATGGATTTACTGTAACCCAGATCTTCAACAAAATTGTGAGTAAACAATCAAAAACATGGATTTTTTTGTGAAATCTGGACGAATGTGCACCTTTCAGCTTTGCATACATACAGCAGTGTTTTGCAATTTTAGTAGTAGTTTTTACTTACCAACAATGCTAACAGTAATGGTACACTGTGCAATATTGCCAGAGCTGTCTGTCGCAGTGCAAGTCACAATGTGATCCATGCCCACATCAAAGGCTGTTCCCGACGGCGGTGCACACTGTATGGTGGGTACGCCGTTATTGTCGTTAGCCACCGGCGGATCCCAGGATACCGTGTCCGATGGAATACCCGAGGCAACCTCTCGAGTGATGTCAGCTGGACATGTGATTGTAGGCAACTGGTTATCTGTGGATTATCCCCAAAAAAATGGACTTATGATTTATGAATTGCATAAAAAAGTTAAAGGGGACAAACCTGTGTTCACGAGTCCATGAAATGCTGCTTTGAAGGGGATCGCCACACCTCCTCCACAGCGAGTCTGTTACCTTCCCAGCATTGAATAATGCCGGTACCCATTTAACACCTGGGTTGAGAGGAGTAATTGAGGTAAAGCGCCTTACTCAAGGGCACAACATGCATGGCCACGGCAGGGCTCGAACCCACAATCTCACGATCATGAATCCTGTGCTCTACTGCTAGACCACGAATGGCATGCATGTCATTATCAACTTTCTACATAAAGCTCTAGCAGAAACATATCAACTGGACAGCATCTGAAATTGCTGTTGAACCCAAATGATGAACAGTAGGGTGCATTCCACCAATGCGAACAATGCTACCATTAGCCAATGTTGACAACATGTGCGCAAATGGGACCGACTGATTGCCCCTAACTTTGGCGAACATTTGCAACCAAGCCAAGCGGTCTTCCGGAGTTGTCACCTATATGTTTTCCAAAATGGCCAACACACACATTGAATGTAATGGTCTTGTTAGAGCTGCAATTTTTCCGTTTTGTACATCTGCAGTTATTTTACATATTACTGGCAACTTCTCACTTTCAGTCACAATTAATTGTTTGAGGATTGTAAAAGCCGCTTTCCAACCAGTGACACTTGTAAAATTGGATTCTAGGATGCCGGTATTTTAACAACAGTTTTTCATAGGCATTATCGTCCCATTTGGGGTAAGCATGTTCACAGGGCCTAGCTAATGAACACAAACACATTTGCATGACTGGAACGCATCTCCGTGCCTACCTCTCACAATTATCCAGAATTTACAGACCACTTGATTGCCACTAGCATCTGTAGCTGTGTACGTGACTGGGTTGGTTCCCACAGGAAACGCTGCCCCCGGCTGATGGCTTGGTACTAGATTGACAGGGTCTGTTGGAGTGCTGTCCACGGTGGGAGGGGTCCAGGAGGCGGATCCAGTATTGGAGTTGGCGTCAGTGGTAATGCTCTGGTTAGACGGACAGTCTCTGAGGACTGGCGCGGTGGTGTCTGGAAATTTACAAGTAAGAAACGGGATTGCAGGAAATCTGAGCACATTAAAGGGAATGTACTACATTCGCTTTTGCTGCAATTTTCAGAAATAAATGAATTTGGAGGATTAGTATGTTTTAGGTTAGCAAATATTGTTACACTGACTTGTTTCATGTTTTGGGTTCGTAGATGCTGGAAAAGCCAAGAAAACTAATCATATTCTTGTAGTCTGGTTCCCTGATCCCACTTACGATGAAACACAGCAATTTATAGGCTTTGGGGAATTGTAAGATCAGAGAATCAGTCTAGCAGGCTTGTAGTCTTCACAGGTGTGTAATCAATTGCAAAGAAAATGCAGACGAACTAAATATAAAAATCTAGGAGCACTTTTTGAAACAAAAGCCAGTTTTCTCCACCGATGGTCGGCTCACCAGCGTTGGAAAAATACAGTTTTTCTTGAAAATGTCAGCACACCAGGAGCCACGATTTTACAGGATGCTTTAGACTGTCATTTCCTAACAATCCAGTAAGATATTTCGTGATTATTTGATCATTTCATTTTTTGATGTTTGCAAATGTTGTATCTTCCCTTTGATGCAAGGCTGAAGCCTAAAACTCACATTTAATGGGAAAAAACAGTTAGTGTTCAGCTGTCAAGATATTACAGTGCATGATAAAGTTTGGCCACTGATCCAAGGTAATGTGAGTGTTTATTGCTGGGCAATGCTTGTCATCAGACCATTCAGAGACTCTTATTTGGCAGACCCTGATAACCAATAGGCCTATTCATCATCTACTACTCCCAGGAACTATAGATTTAAAGATAATACCTCCATACAAATTGGATTTCTTTGGATACAAAGTATTACAACACCTTACCCACAGATTCTGTGTCTTCGCATTCGCTTTTTTTGCTATCTTGCTGTGCATGGCCAAAGATACTATACCCGTAGCAACCAAAGTACTATAGCTGTAGCAACCAAAGTACGATACACATAGCAACCATTAGAGTGTGCAGATGCATATGGCATGAGCATGCGCATTGCACATTCCCCAGTGTTTGCTCTACAGAGCTTGGTTCAAACATTTCGTGAAGGGGTAGTTTGGAAAAGTGCTATTAAAGTTTCAACTAATTTTGTATTCAAATAGAAGTACATTTTAATTGTATTTAAATTAATCAGTTTATCGCTTAAAATCAATGAGAATCTGTGGGAAAGTTGTTATAAAACAAATATTGACTGCTTTATCTCGTGGTGTAGTACAACTAGCCTCCCTCGGTGATCCACAGAGGGCTTCTATTTTCCCTCGGCGAGCTTCATGGATCATGAAAGCTAGTTTAACTACACCACACGAAGCAGTCAATATTTGTATATTATAACACACCTCTTGCTTGTTCTTTATCCTGGTTGGCTGAAATGCGGTCACGTGTGATTCACTAATTTATGCTAGTGAATGAAACTTGCGTCAGCGTGAACTAGACGCGCGTCGAGACATCGTGCGTGCGTAATTTCCAGGGTATAGTGCCTGATCGGGCACTATACTCAAACATTTTTGACTGGTAACAGCGCCCTCTGACAAAACTCAAACTCAAAAATTTAATCTAGGGGAAACTAAAAGCGTTCCATTAATTGTTGAATTGCTTACAGTTGAATTGCTTACGAGTTAATTGTTGAATTAAAACAGTTCAATAATAAAACCCTAGCTGAAAGGTTTCTTTTCTTATTTTATGGACATACATGTAGGTGAGTTAACACACATGGACTGGCATAATTCGGTCACTAGTGCACGTCTATGCCCCTTCAGCCTCGGGAAATAGGACCCTCTTCTGGTCACTCACAGTCCCTCAGGTTGCACAGCCGTTCACTAGTGACCTCATTGCCAGTCTATATGTGTATAATAGATCGCTGAATTCCTGTCACAGTACACACAATATCATCTTAATAGTACACTCACCAGTTACAACCACCATGAAGACGCAGGTGGCAACATTCCCGGATGGATCTCTAGCTGCGTACTGTACAAAGACTGGCGAGGTATCTGCAGTGAATATCTCCCCAGGTGCATGGGTCCTGTTCAGCTCGTACTGACCGCTGTTGTCCGTGGCGGTTGGCTCAGTCCAGGAGACGGCCACGGATCCACCGCCGAGGTCACCATTCAGGTTGAAGCCTGCCGGGCAGTTACTGATGACTGGTTTCTCACAGTCTGTGAGACAGACAGGATTGACACAAAGAATAGAGATGGGTGGTCACTACAGTGACTGTAAAGAGAGCACTGTAGAATAAATTTAGGTTGGAACTATCATTCATATGATTCTGCACTTCAACTGCTAGTACATCTAGACTCATTGTCCACCAGGAGAGAGTGTCAATGTCTTAATTTTCCGAAGGACCTTCTGAAGAATCAGCGTTGTAAATCTTTATTCCTTTCATCTAGATTGGCCAGCCATGGTAGGAACTCAAAGAATAGTTCCATGATACCAGCTAAAACTTGCTGTTTCAGAAAAAGCCCAATCCAATACTATATTGGGTTTAATTAATTCAAGTATTTTGTGTTGAAAGAATTTTTTTTCTCTAACACCCTCACCGATACTTTATCAATAATTTTAAGTGGTTGTTTTTAATTTTTCCCAAGTCTTTTGTTTTGAATTTTTTTTTACTACTCGCTTTTTTTTTGATAAATTTATTTGTGAATTCCTGAGCAGGGATTTTTATTGTAATCCTTTTCGTTTTAAACTAGTGACTTTTTTTGTGTGGAGTACACTGCACATTTTGAAGTTCTTGATAATGTCACATTTTATATTTTATATCATGTACATTACATACATTTTTAAAGATTATTTCATCCGTAAATCATGTACAATTTGACCTTTTGTCTATGACACATGAGTTTTTAATAAACCAACAACAACAGTAATATAAATAAATATTCATAAATACCTCAGACAGTTTAGCTATTCCTATTGGTCGAGAGCCCGTCACATGGCCGGTCTTAAACGGATGATAAAGACATGGCTAGCTGGTCTTAAACACTTTTCCAGTGTCACAATAAAATGTGGACTCCTAAAAATCCAGTGCCTCTTACCGTTTCATTGGTTGAACGTTCACAATCCTCACGTAGGCATGCGCAACACTACAAGCGAGTCAGAATTTTATAGTTCTAAATTCAAAACGCAACGCCCCAGGTGCGTTCTGCGTGACATCGCGCAGAACATGTTACGCGCGCGTCAATCTCCATAAAAGGGTTGTTTACATCTTACTCGCCAGCTGAACACTCCATTATTTTGCTAGAGGGATGTTTCAAAAAGCATGAAGTGAACTTGTTGAACAAAATCGGGATTTTTTGAACGAATTATTTGATATTTTTTTACGGATAAGGTATTTATGAATGGGAATAAATATGTGCTCGGTCGGTATTTATCACTCTGTTTAATACCGCTTAGAGTCTGGGTGCTGATAATTACCCTCGCCTCCGGCTCGGGTAATTATCAGCACCCAGACTCTAAGCGGTATTAAACGAGTGATAAAAACCTCCGGAGCACACATTTATTCCCTTATTATAAAAACTGATTCATTATGAGGTCACTATCATAGTATACAAAGTCACATCACGGTCATTTAGCCTGACATTCCTTTCCCGGAACAAATATTTACACGTTATAGGTAAAAAGGGTCAAATGGCATATTTATGTTTTCTACCAATCCTATTTATCGCTGATCACAAAACATGAGTTTGATGACATCAAATTCTCACACACTTTGGAACTTTTACAGTTTCACCCAGAAATTGAGTGGAGTGGGGCTTAAACCTTCGACCTCCGGATTGCCGTTCCGGTGCTCTACCAACTGAGCTATCTAGCCATATCTTGGCACTTCCCCATTTGAAAATGTCCCAGAATTTGTTAACAGTGAAGGTGTTTACCACATACCGTCAATGGTGACATCAAATGTGCAAGATGCCGTCATGCTAGACTCGTCAGTGGCCGTGTAGGTTACCGGTGTCGGGGTACCGGTATGGTTGAATGTATCCCCCGGTGAGTAGTCACTGGTAAGCGTGACAGCGCCCTCAATGTCTGTGGCAGTGGGTTCGATCCAGTCGACGCTACGAGAGAGCGTCCCTTGGTCGGCACAAAACATTTGGTTGGATGGACAGTTGACGAGGCGGGGAGCATTGGAGTCTAGCGAAGAATTGGAGAAAAGGACCCAGGAAAGAAAAGTTATCAAAATGAAAAACAGCCCGTAGTTGATTTTTTTTGGAACACTTGAAAATGTTGCAACAGGTTTTTTATCCAGTGTACAGAATTCTTAGAAAGGCAAAACAAGAGCAGAAATTGACAAGACTGGAGCGTTGACTTAAGTAAACTATGGATTTCCGTGCACCAACAAAAGAAGGCGCCATTTTACCTAGCAACGACGTCCCATGGACGGGACATTTAGCTGGTTGACGCGCACCGTTCCTTGTGTGTGACGCACGTACACCAGGGGATTTGTACTACAGTACACGCAGTGGTACTTGGTACAGCCGCGCGTCGAGGCAAAATTGCAGTCAGGTAAGATGGCATCGGTCGGTCACCCCCAACTGTGCTTTCTTTGCCGGTGAGGGGGTACTTGTGAATGGAGCGGATACCCTGACCTAATAAGGCTGTGGGATAGTGAGTAGTAAAGTCTGTGACGCGCCAATACAGTCCAACACGCTCGCATTTATCTGGGTTTCCTTGGCATGAAACGACTGAGAGTATTTCTATTCCCCCTGGATGGGATGCCAGTCCATCGCAGGTCACTCCCCAGCTAATGCCGGTACCCATTTATACTCCTGGGTGGAGAGACACAAAGTGGGGGGTGAAGTGGCTTGCCCAAGGACACAACATATGACCGGCAGCTGGATTCGAACCCCTGACCCTCTGATCACGAGTCATGAATCCTAACCACTTAGCCACACTCCTCCCCTTTGGGTTAAATAATTGAAAAATCTCGAAAAAGTCTTTGGAGCACCATTGACATTTTCTGGTAGCGCCACATTCGTAGCGCAACAGGAATTACTTTGTAGCTTTTAGTTTTCTACTACTTGCAAACAAAATTAATGGTTTGGACTCGGGTATGGGGGCACCTACCTAAGATGGTGACAGTGAAGATGCAATTTCCTGTATTTCCCTCCGCATCCATGGCAGTGTATTCCACAACGGTTGCCCCAAAGTTAAAGATAGTGTTTGGTGAGACATCGGAGACAGAGCTAGTGACAGCCACATTGTCGCTGGCTGTTGGCTCTATCCAGGACACGTTGGCCGTCGTGGTTCCCATGTCGGCTGGGACACTGAAGCTAGCTGGGCAGCCAGTGTAGACAGGATCCTCCATGTCTGTGTAAACAGTTGTGGAAAACATTGGTATCGCCACAGAAATAACATATCATCACAGTGGTGGTATGTACAATAAACTTTGTGCCCAATTTCCGGACACTGCCTCCTGTTTTATTTTAGATTCAAATGAAATGTTACAATGTGAAAAATGTTCAGTGAATCCATAAAATTCAAAAGCCTGAATTACAGTAAGAGTAACGGGCTCATCAAAAAAGAAGTTCACACCTTACTTGAGAACATGGAGAAAGTCGAGAGAAATTTAAAGTCCAAGATGGGGGAAAAATGGCATTATTGTCTTTTTCTTCCAACAACCGCCAGTGAAATTTACCTTTTTTGCCCTCAGTCCTCGCCATCCTCAAGATCATTATTGTGATTTTTAAAGCATTGCATTTTATACAACTCAATCTGAAACCTCTGAAAATTGCGAAACATCAAGTGAATTTGACTGTCAGACTGTCAGTCATGGTAGTCAAACTCCACGCGCGACAGCCTCAAATCTGTGTTGTACGCAGTTTCAATCATTTCATGGGTTAATGTTTAAACCTATTTCCAGCCGTAACTGCTCCAAGCCGGCTTACTTAAGAGCGTCTACCATACAATCTGTGCACTGACGACTGGAGAACAGATTAAAATTGTGCTCGCAATACAGATGTCGCAGTGCAGTTTCAAATTCGTTTCAATTTTATAATCAGATTTTGCGGGGGAAAAGATGGTCAGAAAAATCAGAATAAGTTTCATTTCTGAAGAAAGGGAATCCATAACAATAAAAACCTTACCAGTAACAGTGACTGTGAAGATACAGGATGCCGTGTTACCAGCCCGGTCCACTGCAGTGTAGTTGACTACAGTTACTCCCTCAGGAAAGTCAGTGGGTGGATCAAAGTTATTAACAGTCTGGAGTTGTGGGTCATTATCGCTGGCCGTCGGCGGTGTCCAGACGACTCCAGTGGCAACAGCTTGGTTCAATGCAGTGTTCTCAGACAGATCACCGGGGCAGTTGCTGAAGACTGGGATCTGTGAATCTGTAAGGAAATTTTTAAAAATAAAATAATCATAATAACGCAGAGACTTTTAATACTCAAAAGTGGCTTAATTTGGTGGATATAATAATTCATGAACATTTTTCTATAAATGTTGTGATGCCCTGGCCTACACAGCGTTATGGGAAGTTTTTTATTGTTTGGCAAATAAGGACTGAGTTGAAGGGACTTTCTGCTGTCCCCACAGCATTTTCAGTCCCCACAAATACCTCGTACAGACAAGTGTATGTCCCCACAACTATGGAACAAGACTGCGTGTACAGACAGGTTTGTTTATGGCATAAATCAAGGATTTTTTTTTGTTCCTCTTCCCTTTTCCTTTCTTTGTCCACTAACTTTTTCGCAACAGCTCTCATTGGTTTTGTACACGTTTTCTAATCGATTTGGTTCCTGTCCTCGATTTATCAATGATGTTGCACATGTGTATCCTCGATTAACACCATAAACAAACGTAGGGTGGTGCAAAAAGATGTTGAGCATATTTGAAAAAATTAAGTTTAATGGTATTAAAATATTGATCTTTAAAGCTATAGTCCATCATTTGCAGATCGGATCAGTGCGCGACATCGCGTATGGCTGCAATTCAAAACAACTCAAAACATGATTCAGCAACTTTTGATTTGAAATTGAGATCCCAGAATGCTGTTTTACTCAGAATATACAGCTGAAGCTGAGCTGAAACTTCATCAGGTTAGTTGTTCAGTATCCTTCATTAGATTTTGAACACTTTTGTTGCTTCAAACGAACAAAATGCACAAATTACAAATGATGGACTATATCTTTAAACATAAGTGAGGAAAAAATGATTACAAATGAAAATTTTGTCTATGAGATTTGGTAGTTTAAAACTTTTACGTGCCAAACCCGTTTGTCCACGGATGGCTTTATTCCATCCGCTTGACTGAGCTCCAGAGCTTGATTGCAAGACACAAAACACTTCACTAGACTTACACGTGGACAACGAGGATTTTCGTGACTTGTATTCAAATTAGCATAATAACACTAAGATTTATTCACCACGTATGGTCGAAGTTATACTTCACTACATTAATTTAAAAAAAACAAGTTCAAATAAGTGAAGTAAGTAGGTTAAAATTCCAGTCAAATGTGGGTTTCCTTCTTTTTGCACCAACCTGTAGGTTAATATTTTAGTGTCTCAATGATGTCTCGGCAGTCCAGAATAAAGGTGCCAATTCTTCAAAACTACTTAAAGGGAAAATACAACATTTGCAAACATCAAAAAATAAAACTACCAAATCATTTTGAAATACCTTGCTGGACTGTTAGTGAATGACAGTGTGAAGCATCCTGTAAAATCATGGCACCTGGTATACTGTCATTTTCAAGAAAAGTGGTATTTTTGTATCAATTTCCAACGCTGATCGGCCGACCAGCGTTGGAAAAAACTGGCTTTTTTTCAAATACTGGCCCCAATTGACCATCACACTTGTTTGCAATCGATTACACACCTATGAACGGGTACAAGCCAGTTAGACTGGTTCCCTGACCTTACAATTCCCCAATGTATGTAAACTGCTCTGTTTCTTCTTTGGAGTCAGGGAACAAGACTACAGTAAAATGATTGTTTTTCTTGGTTTATATAGCATTTTTGACCCCAAAACCTCAAAAAAGTCAGTGTAACTATTTCTTGCTATATATTTCCAACCCCCCAATTCCATCCATTTCTGAAAATTACAGCAAAAGCAAATGATGTATATTCCCTTTAAATTTCTACGATCATTACAATATCCGGTTTATAACATTAGCAGCAGTGAACTATTTTTCAACAGCCAACCACGGGGTTTGTTTAAAACTTCCACATAAATGTTGACTATCGATAAATAATATTGTCATATTGAGGCAATGTGATTTCTTTCGACCTACCCGTGACAATCGCATCAAAGGTGCAGTTGGCCTTGTTGCCTGCCGAGTCGGTCGCCAGATATACAATAGGAGTTACCCCTAAGGGATACAGGGCAGCAGACGACTGAGAGGACTGTACAGTCACGGTCACGGCGTTGTCGGAAGCAGAAGGGAGGTCCCAGACGACTATAGCCATGTCTTGATCAGTAGCGGCAACGGCAGAGGCCACGGAGGGACAGTTGGAGAAAACTGGAGGCTCGTTGTCTGGGGGGAAAATAAAGGGGAAAACAAATCAGTGGGCAATTGTGGAGCATTGTAATGAAGGCGGGTAGAACACAAATGGCCTTACAATCCTCAAAACAAATGTGATGTATTATGTTCAAATACAGTGAAATCTCAATAATTCAAACCTCAAGGGAACAAGTTCAAAATCTTTAAGCAGAGCTTTGAGATAAGCAGGGTTGTATATCATTGTTATATTACTAAAGGGAATGGATTCTTTGTTTGACTTAACAGTTGTTTTGAGTTATCAGAGTTTGACTTATTGAGATTTCACTGTATTGGAGAAGCGCCGTTGATTTCACAACCGGCAGATGAAATCCAAAGGACTCTGTGAAAAAAGGCCGATGTGGTTTGGGATGGGAATCATTTGCCCTTGACCATTAAACTGAGGTTTTGCCATGATGACCAACAGCCAGGCATAGGATTCCAAACCCAACCGCAGCCCTTTTAACAACACACAGGATTTTATACAGCTTGCATAACACAGCACTGAAATTGATTAAGACAAGGAACTTGGTCACAGCGTCCAAAAGTGTTGTTGTGAGCAATTGACAATTGTGCAGTGATGCGTGACTGACATTAAATGAAACTCATAGGGGTTTAGGCCAAGGATAAGGAGTAGCTGCACATTCAAAAATTGTCAAAATTGTTTTCATGGTTTTTGTAGTTATTTCAAAAATAGTCAGACGGACACTTTTTTGGAACATACTGTAGAATAACAATCATCAAAACAACAAAACTTTGGGAGAGACTTCCAAAGCAGAACAACTCCCCTTTTCACTGATTGTGGCGTTTTTGTTTTTTGATAATAAGCCATTTGCGAGTTAAATTTGAATAAATCTGGGAACGCTGACTTAATCCAATGCTTTGCACGTTTTAACTTTGCATTCTGTCGTCCAAAGAGACTGTTAATATATATCACATGATTCAGGGCAAGCCTTATGCTAGCAACCCCAGCTCCGGCATGGTCTGGTGTCTTTGTGCCATTCTCACACATTGTGAATAATGTATTGGTGCTGAGCGTCTCTTACGTAACTTAGCAAGAGCTTGCCCCGAATTATGTGATAAGCAACAGTGTCTTTGGTCTGGAGAATTCAAAGCTAAAATGTGCCCAGCATTCTGAGCAAGTCAGTGTACCAGATGTTTTTCAAATGTAAATCCGATAGGGTATAGGTTACTCGCAAATGGCTTATTGTATCAATAGTTAGTTGTCGCTTTGACCTACCAATGACGGTGATGATGAAAGAGCAACTGTGGGAATTCTGCGCAAAATCCATGGCCGTGTAGGTGATAGTGTTCTCTCCGACAATCAAGGGACTACCATTGGCAGGGCTGGCTAGGAGCGAGGTGACAGCCACATTGTCGCTAGCCGTAGCGTCTGTCCAGGTGAGCGTAGCAGTTCCCTTGCTGGGGTCGGTATTCACAGTCATAGCCTCGGGACAAGTCACGACAGGATCTTCCAAGTCTGGACAGAAAAAAAACGCACACAATCTCTATAAAGAGTTTCAAATTCTGAATTCTCTAAAGTCAAACGCAATCAATACTACATCAAATCGGAGGAACAAAAGCTCAGATTTCATCATGGGGCAAATTCACTTTTTTGGAAATTTCTTATTGTATTATTGTTTTGTGATTATTCGACATTTGGCCGGGATTGGCCACGAAAGTCTTTCGACTTATTTCCAGGGGGGTCCCTTGGTGGAATATGTGGAAGGAGTTGCAGTGGGTGGGAGGAAAACACCAGAATGATATTCTAGAGGATAACCAATGGAATCAGGTAGGGACTGAAAACCCAATCCACATGTTGACCTAGGCGGGATTCGAACCTGAGTCACAGCGGTGGAAGGCAAGGAAAATACCGCTATGACAACCTCATTAAATAACACGGCTTGCTTTGTACAGGCTACTTTTAATTGCTATTTTACACCACAAACATCTAAGAACAAGGTTTTGAGAATTTTTTCAAAACACATCATCGCTGTCAAGCAACTTGGATTTTTGCACTCTTCTCACTTGATCATGTTGTGGTCCTAAACACCGCAAAAAAATGAAAGTTCACACTCATTGGAGGGGCTGTAATTTTGAATCTGATGGTCTTACGATGACGTCATTTATATAGACCTTTGGGGAATATTGTTAGCTACATTTTGATACCCCGTTTGCTACCAAAGACTGTAAATCATCCAACATTGACAATGGTTTATGAAAAATGATGCAGTTTGAAAAGCTGAAAATTAAAGAGTACGCAAGTCGAGTGGAAACTGCTGCATGACAATGTCGGACTGCCCGAAACGAACGGCAGAGAATATCAATTGCACCGTGCTGGTATGCATGGCAGCACATGAAATTGAATAACGCGTGCTTTGTTCGGGCACTCCTGTGTAGTCAATAGGGGCCAATGATATACGGGCACGTGTGTTGGCGCTTACCAATTTCTCCTTGTGTATCTCATAAATTGCAACTACATGTATTCAAACTGCATCCTTTTTCAACTTGGACAAATTATAGTCTTTGGTAGCAAGCGGGGTATCAAAATGTAGCTAACAGCATTCCCCAAATGTCTATATAAATGAAGTTACCATAAGACGATCAGATCAAAATTATGACCCCTCCAATGAGTGGGGACTTTCTTTGTTTACGGAGTGCTGTGGTTTGACGACCTACCTCGTACTGTGACCAGGAAGGAGCAGGTGATGACATGACCAACGGCGTCGGAGGCTGTGTAGGTCACGGTCGTCTGACCAATCGGGAATAGATCACCGCTGTTGTGGGAGCCGGGCGAGACCTGGACAGAACCAGAGTTATCCTGAGCCATGGGAGGAGGCCAGGTCACAGAAGCGTTGACTGCTCCGATGGATGGAGTGATGGATGCATCACCTGGGCACGCTGTCCAACTTGGTGGCTCATTGTCTAGGAAGAAATTTTGGAACAAGATGACATAAAGGTAAAGAAACATTGCAGAAATATCGTGAATTGCACGACACATCTAACACAGACTACAAAGACATCGAAAGAATGGAAAACATACGGGAGGAAATTGCCACGTTTTCAATATCCTTGAGGGCCAATTTCAAAATGTGCATAACATATTGCGTATTTGTTCGTTCACAAATGCGCATTTGCCACATTGCCTCGCAACATAGTCGTTGCGACAAAATCAAGAATGTGTAGATAGGCCATGTGAACTGTTGAATGCAAACCTGCCGGACCATTTATGTGCTCCAAGCCTCAGTCTGCCTCACTTTCATTTTTGTTTGTTAATGTGGCTTGCCACTAAACATCAGAGCAGACTGGTATTAAGTTGTAATCAACTTTATTTTATTGCTTTCATTTCTGAAAATGAAGATTTTACTTTGCTTTCAATTTAATATGAAATAATATAAAGCCTATGCCACTCACCAACGACTTCAACTACAAACGTGCACTGGGCTGGGTTGTTAAAGTCTCCGTCGACGAAAACGGTGGTGGTGACGTTGTGTCTTCCCAGGGGGACAGTGTCACCCGACGTGTAAGGGGTTGACTGGGTGTCAAAGGAGGCGCCTTGCGGCTCCACGTCGGGATCATTCCATGTGACTACAGCTGTGGCTACTCCAGTATCTGTTGGCCGCTGGATGTAGACGGGGCAGTTACTCAGGGCCTGAGGGGCATCTATGCAGATTGAAAGAGATAAAACAGAGATAATAATAACAACTAGAGGTCTATGTCTGTTTGTGAACAGAAATAGGGCTTTTTCGTATTTCACGCTTTTCAAAAGTTAATGCTTTGTTTGTCCATGTGCAATCATGTCAAATGATGTTCACTTTCATGTACAAACAATGTTCTCTGATACACGTGCTGCTTTAGCAGCCCAACAATATAATGAAATTTCATGACTAAAATTCTGACTTACGCCTTTATGTGTTTGTAAAAAAAGCATCGTTGATGACGTCATCATGACGTCAGACACTTGCCAAATTTTTTTGCACATAAGTTTGACCTAACATGCCAATTACAAAAAGAATTGTGTAGTTTGCTAACGTTCTGTTAATGAGATATGGCTTATAAAATCAATCAATGACATCGCCTTAATTTTTACCTTTAACACATGCCGATATACCTACATACCATATTTAAACCCTGTGGGACTTCCAATTCTCTAGACATAGGACTTTCAAATATGCACTTTTAAGATGACATCACGTGACCCATGATGACGTCATGATGACGTCACTCTTCGGGACACAACTTTGCTATAGGGACTATGCCTATGCTGACTTTGAATGATGTATGACAAAGATTAATGCCAAAAGTAGCGTGGACAAAAGACGTGTACAAAATCTATAGGATTTGCCAGGGAACAAAAAGAAGAAGAAAGAAATTTAAAAATGAGAACAAAAAGAGAGGCTTTTTCGCAAATGTAAAAGCCAATAAAGAACATTTGTAAAGGTACTCATGGCGCTTGAGGAGAAAGTCAAGTTTAGATTATGTGTTGTGAGAGTAAGCTTGTTTGTACTAGGTGAAATTCCATGTTTGTCTTAAATGTTGTGATGGATGGAGATGATTTGATAGCCAGAGGGAGTTGGTTCCACAGTCAGGCTGACGTTGCAGTAAAGGTGATGATCAAGTGCCCTCTAAAAATCGGACAATATCTAGCAAGACAGCAAGTTCAGAATGCCGAGGTTAAAAAGTACAATGAGATGTCCAAAGAAAAGTGACAAAGGCATGAAATATCTTATGGCCTCCGTGCGTGAACACGCTTTTGGCCAATATTTGAAAGTCCCGTGGAAGGGACACGCCATGTGCGCGTGAAGAATCGAGCACCTATCTAGCAAGACAGCAACTTTGGGATACCGAGGTAAAAAAAGTAAGATGAGATGTCCGAAGAAAATTTAGAAAGGCATGAAATATCTTATGGGCTACGTGCATGAACAGAGAGGGCACTTTTTTACCATATTTGGGACACGCCGCGTACGCGTGCAGAATCGCCCACGTATCCAGCAAGACAGCAAGTTTGGGATACCGAGGTATAAAAGTAAGATGATATGTCCGAACAAATTGACAAAGGCATGAAATATCTTGAGAGCTCCGTGCTTGAACAAGAGAGGGCGTTTTTTGACCATATTCGAGACCTCATGGACAGGACACTCGTCGGGCGCATACTGAAACGCGCACGTACTGCACGAAGAACGCACGACTTGATGAGCGTGCACAAACACCTAGCGTCTTCACGCGAGTGTCAGGTGCCAACTGCATTCGCTTTCGTTCGCTTTCGGGCCGAGTATGAACCGGCCTTACGACTGAACCATTAGGCCAGCTAAGTTTAAGTTCCATTATTTACCTGAGACTGTGACGGTGAAACTGCAGAAGTTGGTATTGCCATTCACATCGGCCACATTGACTGTGACTGTGGTGGGACCACCAAACGGAAATGTGTCGCCTGAGTTATGGGTACTCGACAAGGTTCCTGCGTCTACTCCGACATTGTCGGTGATCTGGAGTGAATTCCAAGTCACCACAGCATCTCGCCCGCTCTCATTCACCAGTTTGATGATCTCAGTCGGACAGTTGGAGAATACCGGCAGCTCTGTGTCTGTAACAGAAATAATATAACGTGATTAACAAACATTAATACAGTGTCTCACCGGATAGTGACAGCCAAGCTTTCGGTGTGATGCACCTTCATCAGGGCAACTGCACTAAACGAACCCTCAAATCCCTGTCTTTTTCATAGCTATAAAAAAATACCACACAAATCTCGAAACATAAGTGGAGAGTACAGTTCATTAGCTTTTCACCAACGAAAAAAATCTTGCCAATCGGGTAAATATTTATTGAGTTATGGCCAATTGAAAATAGGTACTCATTTTTCAATCTGTCCACGGTCTCAATTGTCATTTGTTAGGAATGTAATGGATTTGGGGTGAGGGTAGTTTTGCTTTCTTTGATTTTTAATCTTTCTTTCCTTTCTTGGTTCTTTTTTATTCTTCATTTTTTGCAACAATGGTCATTTATCCTTTTGGAAATAATGGTAGTCCCGAAAAGGACTGTTTGGTTAATTAACTTCTAAGATGTTTACTTTGCTGCTCTGTCTCTGCCCTCTACTTGGTAGCCTTTTTCACAAATCCAAGTTTCAGCCCGTGTTCTTACTGCGGCAGTCAAAATATCAGTCGCCATGGACAAAATGAAAAAGCGGTACCTGTACTCAATTTGCCACAACTCAATAAATATTTACCCGATTGGAAAGATTGTTTCGGTGTTGAAAAGCTAATGAAATATGCTCTCACGATACGTCACTTCGTGGTGCGACAGACGAAGCCTTCCAGTGGTTAACATAAATCAGCGTATCAAATGCTTTCTTAAAAAGTACCCGAATGACTGCAAATTCATTTTTGATATTGTCCACATCAGGGCATTTTAACAAATTTCGCTGGTTCCCGCTCAATCCAGAGTGCAGAAACTCACTTTTTGACCTCATGGTTTTGTAGTTATTTTTTAAAAACAGACAGACGGACACTTTTTCGGGGACTACTTTAGAGTCTACCAACCTATAACCCGTATAGAGAAGCTGCATTGTGCGGTGTTGCCAGCTGAATCTGTAGCCACATAGGTGACTTGATGATCACCGACGTTGATTCTCCCCTGGGATGGGCCAGTAGTCTCCACAGTCCAATTGCCGCTGTTATCACTGATGGCGATCTCATCCCACATGACCAGGGAGTAGTTCTGGCCAGGTTCTGTTTCTCGCTGGAGCTGGACAGTGGGGCAGCCTGTGATCACTGGATCCTCCTCATCTGAAAGTGGTCAAAAATTACTCCAATTGAAGTGTGGGTGATATGTGAGAAACAATTTGAGTCACCTTACATTCTCCAATCCTCTTGTTTACATTACGTGAGTTCATCAAAGCAATGGGGTAACAAAGGAAGTCAGAGATGAGGGTAAAGCTGCCCTCAGGATGACCTTGCGACGACAAAAAGGCATCTATCAAATCACTTTTAATACTGGTCACATATAGTATCAGACTTGTGGATCCTGTGAAAAAACACACTAGATTTCCCAAGCAGTGTTCTGACAAATTCATCCAATGCTCCAAATCATTTGTACAATATCCAGCACCTGATTTCACAAAGCACTGCGACGTGTCGCAACTCGAGTTACGACTTGCAATATGTCGTAACTTGCGACGCGTCAAATAATCCATTTTAAGAAACTTGCGATGTGTTGAAGACATCATAAGTTCCATGACAACGGCTTCAAACACGTGGCAAGTTAGGACGTGTCTAGTAGTCATCGCAAAATATAAGAATAGTCCTTTTCTTAGCCAGTTTTATGCCATAAAAATACATAAAGGAGACTATAATACCAAGACAATGTGTGTAAAGTTGTAAATAGAAAATGCATTGACTTATGAATTAGCCTGGAAAATTGCAGTAGAGATTTCAAAGTAGCTGTACAGTCCACTGAGAGCTTGATTTCCTTTAAAATTGCATCACACGGCCGCCATTTACTTTTACGTTTTAAAAATTTTTGAGAGGAGGTCTGACGACTCTTTGTTGAATATCAGACGACTATTTACTGTATGTGAACTAAATACATAAACAGTCATCGAGTTGTGCTATAAATGCACATACGACACGTCGCACTTACGATGGGTTTTGTGAAATGGAGTGCAGGACGCAGCACAGCTGCGACGCACTGTAGGGATACGACGCGTCACAGCGCTGCGATGCATCGTAAGTTACGATGAGTTTCGTGAATCGGGTGCAGACATGCAAATGAATAGTCCAGAAAAAAAGAAGAAGCTGAAATTCATTGTTTCAAAAGCGTTTCAACTGCAATTGCAAGTCTTCAGTGGCATTAAAGGAAGTAAGGAGAGAGGAAATCAGCCGTGTGATCCAAGGAAGATGCCCGATTGTCGCTGCAAAACACATCAGGGACTGACAGTGGTATGCATCCCTACCTATGATTTCAATCATAAAGATGCACTGCTCCACATTGTCATCAGTGTCGGTTGCAGTGTAGGTGACGAAAGTCACTCCGAGGTAGAATGCAGAGCCTGGGGTTTCACTAGCGACCAGCGTGACCGTGCCTGAGTTATCAATGGCCCCAGGGGAGGCCCAGTCCACTACGGCCGAGTCCATCCCGGAATCTGTGGGCCGAGTGATGTCCGCTGGACACTGCAGGATATGAGGGTTCTCCAGATCTGATCATGAAAAAAAAAAGAAATGAGAAATAGTCTCAAATTTTCTCAATAGAAACTAAGTAACCCATCAGTGCTGTACCGCCCAAAGCCGCCATGCCCGTTACTTTGTGTAGTGTGAATAAACACACACTCACACAAAAATGTTAACCCTTTGAATGTATCAACAATCTTAAAGCACCTTACAATTAGTGCCCTGGTCAACCTGCCATGAGACCACGCGGCAGCCGATATCAGCTCACACTCGGTCATCTAACCCCACAGGCACCCATTCATACTCCTGGGTGGAGAAAGGCAATTGTAGTTGAGTGTCTTGCCCAAGGGCACAAACACCATGCCTTTGGCAGGGTTTGAACCCACGCACCATCATACATGAGTCAAACACCATAACCACTGGACCATGGCATTCTACTACAATGTAATACAGTGTAGCTGCTAATGGTTAAGGTATCAATGGCAGAAACATTTCCTTTAATTAAATATAACAATAGACCAATCTATTAAGCTCCGCCCCATGCTGTTTTTGACCAATCACAGCCGTGATTTAAAGTCTGACATGTGAGAGATTCACGCCATTGCAAGTGTTCCTATTAAACTGACTGGCTTACCAAGTATGGTGACACTGAAGTCACAGGTGCTGACCAGGCCAGCTGCATCGGTTGCAGTATAGGTCACCACGCTGACTCCAAGACCGAATGGCGATCCTGGCTCTGTGGTGACATCCAAGGTGACCGGGTCACCGGAGTTGTCAGTGGCAGTCGGGGGAGTCCAGCTGACGATGGTTGTGGACGTAGTGTTGTCGGAAGGTAGCGTGATGTTCATCGGGCAGTTGGAGATCACTGGTAGTATGGTGTCATCAGACCCTGACGATGGATTGTTTTTCAATGTATCAAAGAAACAACTTCAGAAAGGAGGATAGCTTCAAAATTCACCACAAATTTACAATGACTTCTATTTTATGATTCTATTCACTTAGCTGTATGGGCTCTGTGCGCCAACAAAGAGGGTGCATTTTTACCACTTTTGAGAGCCCTGTGTGCGTACTGTACTCTCCTGGTTTGGGCGTGAAGTACGCACGACTTCCTGAATGTGCCCGAGCTATTAGCCACAGTACCTTTGCGTAAGCGTCAGGCATCGTCGGTGCATGAATACGGTTAGAATTTAACTTGCAATGGTCTCCCAGATTTATACCCACCCCCAACAACTTTGAATCATTTGAAATACGCAGTGGATGGACCGGAACATGTCTAGGTCTCCCCCAACTCTCCTTTTCTGGCCGTTGAAGGGGTTTGAAGCCGTTGCACGGAGCCCCAGCCCATTTCCAACTCTTCAACAAGACTCATGTACAAATCTGCAGTATCTGAATTGTCTAGACTGAAGATTGATGGAGACGTGCAATTCAGTACCATGGAAATCAACTGTGATATCAAATAAAGGGGAAACGGGATAGGTAAAGGGGCTAGGGCTGTCCCGAATATACTGAATACTTGAATATTCGACCATCAACCAAATATTCGAATAGCTTTTTGCCAGTTTCAATATTTGAAATAAAAAAAACTACGACATACACACTCAATGTCCCTCTTGTTTTAGGAAGATACCCATATGTTTTGCACACAACGCCAATCGCAGACATATGCTGGGAATCGCGGACGATATTGCGTTTTTCTGTATTTTTCATGCATGGTATGAATGCCTGAACATGCCCACAGCTGTGAGGTTATATTGTCATAAAGTTGGCAGTTCATCGTTCACATCCTTTTAGAAGGTTAAAGCCCTTTATATTTAAAAAATACTTACTACAAAACACTCCAGTGCCCAAATCTCGATCACCGCAAGCAAATTTTAACTGGCGCACTCTTCGTGCATTTTTTTACTGGCACAGCACAAATTTGCAGCTGGCAGTATCCGACTATTTGGTCAAAAGCAGTTTCGAGTAAACGAATACTAATTATTCAAAAATGGACAGCCCTAAAAGGGTCTCGATTTCGGAACCTTTTAAAAACTTTTTGTCACTTTCACATGTTCACACCTGAATACCTTTAAACAAAGCAGACATCTCAATTCAAAGACAGTTTACCTGTTTTAAGTACACTACATGTAGCGTAGTCACTTTAAGTTTAAAGACATTGCACACACGCAATCAACATGCTGTGACGTATTGTTTTTGTTAACTTCAGATATTGTCACAATGGAGTTAGAACCACATTGGTGGATCGAGTTGGGACAATAAATATGTAGAAACGTTCTTCTGTGTCGCCTTGTTCATTTTGGACCATACAAAACACTACATTTTTAAAGTCAGAGTAGACCTATGACCACAATTTTAAAAAATTAAATCACCATGATGTGAGCTTTAACTTGACACTTACCGACCACGATCACTCGGAAGATGCAAAAGTTGACATTGTTGGCCAAATCCTCAGCGGTGCAGGTGACGTCGTTTGTGCCGATGGAGAAGGACGAGCCCGACGCAACGCTGCAGGTTAATGTATCAAGCCCACTGGCGTAATCCGTGGCATTGACCGTGGTGTAGTTCACAGCCACGCTCCCTTGATGTGTGAAGATGTTGACGGTTATGTCTTCCGGGCACTCTAAGACTGGATCCTCATTGTCTACATGGGATGCAAGAAATTGGTCGAATGGGAAACTGTTCATAAAACTTCAACAAGACCTAGATTGCCAAAGTACAATTTTGTTCACACAGGCATGAACTGTTATACAGGGTGGCCCCCCCCCAAAAAAAAAATGGCGCGCATTGTATGACTGGGAAATGTTGGTTTTAAAATGCCGTTGCCCGCCCCCCCCCAATTATCTCCAGTTTCAGCAGCATGAAATGACTGAGAATATTTCTATTCCCCTGGATGGGATGCTAGTCCATCGCAGGTTAATCCCCAGCTAATGCAGGTACCCATTTCTACTCCTGGGTGGAGAGAGGCAAGTGGGGTCAAAGTGGCTTGCCTAAGGACACAACATATGACCAGCAGCTGGATTCGAACCCCTGACCCTCTGATCATGAATCACGAACCTAACAACCAGGCCACACTCCCTTTGTGACCGCTGAGAGGACACTTGTGCCCTGAGTCTGCATATAAATTTCATAACGTATCCCCCCGAAGAATAGTTTCAAAACCAACCTTGGATCAGTACAGTGAACGAACATTCGGCGACCAATCCCGCGGTATCAGTCACATTGTATGTCACAACAGTTGCACCCAATGGGAAGCTATCTCCTGGCTGGTAGTCTGACTGTTCATTGGCTACCGCCACGTTATCTGTGCCTTGAGGTTCTGACCACGAAGCTACTCCACGATCACTCTGCAGACTTGTTTCACTGGTGACTCCTTGGAAGGGGCAGCCAGTGAATGCAGGAGGTTCATTATCTGGGCGACAAGAGCAGTCATAAGGAGTGGTAAGTACTCAAGAAGGTGATGTCAAATCTTATCAAATGAAGCATGAATAAATCTGTCTTAGCTGAAATGTGGGTGATATGAATTTAAATTCAAACACCATGAATCCTAAGAGACAATTTGCAAGGTTTTATCTTCAAGATCTGTCGACAGGCCCGGATTATCCAATAGGCACAGTAGGCACTACCAAAAAATTGGGGGCCTACGAAAAATTTGGGGGCCTACGAAAAATGTGAGTGCCTGTGAAAATACCACATTGTGCCACAAAACACCCACATCCACACACACAGTTGTGAATTTCTATACGCCCGAGGACAATGCTTTGTGTTTCCTTATGTCCCTGTATTATAACACTCTCCCATTGACTAAGCACATAACCGTACGATCAAGGACCATTTTTAACAAAAGACCCAACGCTCAAGGACTGAAAGGCTCTTTTGTTCTCCCTTTGTGTATCTGTCCTCTATCATAAAGCCATACATGTACACGCTGGTTTGTTTATGGTGTAAATCGAGGATTTCCTTTTGGTCCTCATCATCAATCTTTTGTTCATACTCTAATCTTTTGTTCATACTCTAACTTTGCAACAGCTCCCATGGATTTTGCACACATTTTCCCATTAAAGACGTCCTCGATTTGACTCCTGTCTTTAATTACACAATGACTAATCACATGTGTGTCCTCGATTTACACCATAGAAAAACGGCACACACACGTTTGGGTGGTGCCTAGGGCCTACAGAACACTTAATCCAGCCCTGTCTTTCGAAAGGACTCCAATCCAGAATTCAGGAGAAAACAAACTTTCATCAACCATTATTCTCTTCCATTTCAACTGTTATTTCATGTAATGATTCTTCAAGACCAGGGTTTTAATGCTCACTTGGTTTTGCACCTACCATAGACCTGGACAACAAAGCTGCAGTTGACGGCGTTACCACTGCCATCCTCTGCCGTGTACACCACCACGGTATCTCCGACAGGGAACGCATCACCAACGTCGTAGTTAGAGGTCAGAGTTACACTACCCGAGTTGTCTGAAGCTTGAGGTTCATCCCAGAATGCTCTGGCTGTATCCCGAGTGGGGTCAGTTGGGAACCTAGGAAGGTTCATGGGACAGCCAGTGATGACTGGTGGCTGCACGTCTGTGGGATGACAAAGACAAGAAAATAAATCGTCTTGGCTTGAAGATAAAGCTTCTTACATGATTTCCAGCCATTTGTGGAGTGCCATGGCCTAGTGGTCTGGGGCATTGAATTTGTGGTCTGCAGGTTGTGGGTTCGAGCCCAGCCTGGACTATGACACTTCTACACCTAATATGGGTAGAGGCATGATTAATGCCTTGCAGTGGACTAGTATCCTATCCCAACCCTATTCATACTGTGAAGAGACCAACCCTAGTGTTGGTCAACCCAAATGTAGCTTTTGTTTGTGCAGCTGTTGGGAGGGAGAAGAGTAAAATGAAAGTTCAGAGAATTTGTAGAAAATACAAAGATGAAAACCAGGGTTAGAGAGGAATGTATTCCCTCCACCCTAAACTTTGTAAATGTGACAGGATTCCATGAAATCAGCGCTTGATATTAAAGCATACCCTGCAACTCAAATTGATATATCAGTCAGTTTGACATATTAATGCGTACAGACATTTTGTAGGTGAAAAGGTTCACTCGTAAAAATTTAAAAAGTTGATTTGTAATAACGAAAAGAAAAGCTTATCACTCAAAAGTAGCTTTAGCAACTTCCGATTCATTTTGTTAGGTGAGGTCAATTTGACAAATCAATGCAGGCAAATTAAAAATTGGACGTAAAATGTGTAACTCAAACACACGTCCAACTTTACGCAAACGAATGAAAAGTCAGACAGGATTCGAGCTTACCATTTACAAAGATGTTGAACTGACAAGTAGCCATATTATCAGCAGCATCGTAGGCTGTGTACGTAACCAGGTGACTGCCAATGCCAAAGACACTGCCTGGTTCATGAGTTACATCCAATCGAACCACGCCAACGTTGTCAGTCACCACAGGTTGAGTCCAGTTGACCATGATGGTGAAGTTGACGAAACTCTCCAGTGGTTCATTGAGTGTGATATCAGATGGACAGAAATCAAAGACGGGATCTTCGTTGTCTGGGAGCAGAAGTGAATCAAGATTCATAAAGAAATCAATTTGAGGGGTTTATTATCCTTACAGCAGACACTAAATTGCAAAGGACGCAGCTACCACGTGGTCAAGCCTAAGGCAAGTCAAGTCACCTTAGGCAGCAACCATACAACCCACGTCTTACCAGAGTGCATCAAAAGTGTTGATTTTGCGAAGAACAAAACCGGAGAATAACCCTTGTGGCACAGGAGAGAATCAATTAACAACTCTAGTCATATATGACTCGAGCCGGGAATCGAACCCGGGACATGACGGTGAGAGGCGAGTGCTTTATGCACTGCATCCCCCATGTCAAACATGTGATTCAAATACTGTTGAAAAAATATTGACCACCATTGGTAGCACTGACTGCTGACAGTAATGTAACACAATCTAAACACTTGGCACAATGCATTATGACTTTATAGTGTTATTGTCGATAAAAAAAAATGTGCATCGATAAAAAAAAATGTGCAAATGATTGCACATCACTTACATGAGCACAAGTCATTAACTTTTTGCCTCGTATCCAATTCTTATTAATTTAACGTGGCATGGATCATTGGTCATTTGAGCATTTGTTTCATTTGAAGCAACAAAAGCATTCAAAATCTAAAGACAGGTGCTTAACAACTAACCTGATGAAATTTCAGCCCAGTGAATGCTGTATATTCTAAGCAAACAATATTCTAGAATCTTGATTTCAATTCAAAAGTTGCAGAGTCATGTTTTGAATTGGGCCTGAAATCAGCTTCTGGGACACGTTCTCATTCAGCTGATTGCAGCTACGCAATGTCACGCACTCAGTGAACCAATGAATAATAGCAACCGCATGTGCGTGTGTGTCGTGTCAACACTTGTGCGCACCCATTCACGGATTGGCAGAATTACAAACCAAAATTGAAACTTCCAAAAATGCGTCACTTGACGCATCTTTAAAAATTGTCTTCCTTTATTAATTTCTTCAAAATGACTGCATGCCGAAATTAAAGAATAATTTCACAGGGAGTTTAGTGCCATTACTATATTAAAACCAAGTAAGATTTCAACAGTTTCATCAGTTACTTTTTGGATAGCTGCAAATGATTTACTCTACCTTTAAAGCAAACTGTACAGAAATATATGCTGAAGCCATGCAAACTGCAAGGTTTAAACAAAATGACAATAAAATGAGCCAAGTACCTGATACCAAGACTGCAAATGAGCAGGTTTCGGTGTTGTCCGAGGGATCAGTGGCGATACACATGACATTCTGCACTCCAACTTGGAAGTTGGTTGCCGAGGCTGGGGTGCATGACACTGTCCACTCCCCACTATTGTCAGCAGCAGTCGTGACAAATGTCACATTAGCGACACTCCGTTGAGGGTCTGTGTCGGTTACAATGGCTGGATCGGGACAAGTAATAGTTGGAGGCTCCATGTCTGTGAAAATAAGAACAGGACAGGAGTGCATTAAAAGGGCACATTCGGTCAGATTTTTGCATAAATTTCCAAAGGTCTGGGTCGAAGGAAATCCACAAAATGTCTTCCATTTACGGAGCAATACTTGGAAACCATGTTTGTTTACGTCTGACACAACAGCGATACATTTGGCCTTGTCTACACATATTTCAAGCATTAGATTTTGTGCAAGACTGTAAGCCAGAGATAGTCTGAGTATCATCTGTTATCCACGGAGCCAAGTCCTGTATAACGTCTGATATGTCTAGACATGCAGATATATGCAAGCCGCGCCACGGAGTCGAATTTACTAAATCTCGACGTCATTTCATTCATAAATCAGGACTAAATGGTTTAATTGGTCAATTCGAATGCAGTGTTTTGTAATACAACAACAGCCGGATGTGATATCATGTAACATGATACAGAGCGCATGACACATTTTTTTTTTATCCATTGTCTATGATATGCAACAGGTGAGTGACCGAAGACCCGATATAGAAAGAGCCCGCTAATTGGTCAAAATCTAGGATGTCATGGCTATTACATAGACTAAGCCAGAGACTGGCCCTTCAGAAAATGTTTACGATTCACTGTGAGACATTAGGTATCGTGCTGGCTTCAGGATTATAATAATAATAATAATAACGGCAATTTATACCGTGCCGGTATCCGCCATAAATGACACTCATGGCGCAATACAAAAATTATATCCAATCAGAAATAACAAACAATTAAATTTAACTAAAACAAGAATATTCTGAGTGATCTGAAACAAATAGGTCTTCAGGGCCACCTTAAATTCAGAAAGCGATGAATGGCGAGGGGTAGTTTGTTCCAAAGATGAGGACCTGCGTAAGAAAATGATCGATCACCCCAAGATTTGGGAGTGTGAGGGATTTGAAACACATTTAAACAAAATACGTGTGTTGGAAATGAGGACTAGCATTTCAATGGATCGATTTTTCAGGACCAAAAGTTTGTGCTCGGAAAGTCCTTACACGATAACAATTATTACACGATAACGGCAAATTTGTTAGGTATAATCTTGTGAACATTTGGTGTTCTTTTTTATTGATCTTTCCAGCTATTATCACTTTATGGTAAGTGCATTTTCCAGCCTAATTTTCTCCTGAAAATGCTCCTTTAATGAAAATGCGTGCATTTCAAAATATAGAAAATGAAAAAGAGCAATAATTTACCAGTGAACAAAACTGACATGTTAGGCTCTAAAGAAACGCATATTTCCATGACATATGTGAGCTGTTCTGGCAAAATGAGACGGAACTCAGCTCATCGTAGAAAAAAAGCATTTTTAAAGAAAAACAATTGGCATCTTTCAATTCCATAACTACAAATCTCGAAACTTTAAAAACCTCTTTCTCAATTTTAACTTTTTGATGCATCGATAAATGTGAATTTCAAACAGTCATTACTTGTCGACGGAATGTCCGATTGAGGCGCAACAAGAAGTATTGTAAGGAGAATTTTGTTCTCTTTTCTGATACTTGCAAATCCTCATTTGGACCTCTGCCCAGTTCTGTCTCATTAGGCCATAATGTCTCACATATCTCAAACCTAAATAAGAATTGTAACAACTTGGGAAATTAAGAATGAAAGACATACCTTCAACTGTCACCACAAAAAAGCAGGAACCTTTATTCCCTGATGTGTCGGTCACGTTGTACTCAACGTCTGTGTCACCAATTGGGAATAAGTGCCCAGGCTGGTAGTTGGAGTTATATTCCTGAACTGCATCGTTGTCCATCGGAATGACAGGCGGCCATGACACATTGGCGGTGTTCTGCTGTGGGTCGGTTTGAAATGTCAACGAAGCCGGGCACGGCTCAAAGTAGGGATCCTCGTTGTCTGAAAGACAAGAACATTTGGTTGGAAAGGACACCGACTGAATTCTGCAACAACTTGGCAGAAATCTCCTCAAAATTCTAAGAATGCACAATAAACCATTCCACTCCTCTACTAAGTTTTTTGCACTTACACTTTTGCGCTTTACTTTTTGCAATACGTGAAACCTTGCTATAATGAACACTGCTATTACGAACATTTGGTCATAACCGGAGTTGCTGACTCGAGTCATGTGACTTGGACTCGAGTCGGACTCGAGTCGCTATTTTTGTGACTTGTGACTTGACTTGTAAATACCAGCTTTGACTTGTGACTTGACTTGGACTTGCAAACAATGACTTGTGACTTGACTTGGGCTTGCAAAAAATGACTTGTTACCAACCCAAGTCAGACGCTAAATCCAGTAAAATTAATAGTTCCCACTAGTTTCAAAAGTTTTCAATAAGACTGTCACAACAAACTACACAGTTTTTAATGACCAAGTCTCTTGCTTAATGTAATGGTTGAACAAACTTTGAAAGGAACCTTTCATGAAAAGAAAGCAGGCCTTTGTCAATTGCATGTAAAATACCGGATAGCCTAACCCATTGGTAGGCGTTTAGTATACATGAAAATTGAACAATAAAGTGTTAGTATACTACATGTAATCGAGTGAGTGAAGTCTTTTTTTCATGTCATCTCAACATTTATTTCTACAATGTAAAGTAAATTTATTAAAGTATACAAAGGGCTAATATCCGACAGATATGTGATAAACTACAAGAATAGTAATAGCAATACATTGAAGAAGGGGAATTAAGGAGGCATGTTCAAAATAACTCGTAAGTTGACGCCAGGTTCTTTTAGCTTATTACAGCTGGACAAAATAATGTGCAACTTGACGTGTTCTTGGACAAAGATACTTGTGACTTGACTTGTGTTTAGACCAAATGACTTGTGACTTGACTTATGACTAGACCTAATGACTTGTGACTTGACTTGTGACTGGACCTAATGACTTGTGACTTGACTTGGACTTGCAAACAATGACTTGTGACTTGACTTGGACTTGCAAAAAATGACTTGCTGCCACCTCTGGTCATAACGAACATCCCTTAGGCTCCCGAAATAGTCAATTCTATTATAATGCACAAACACTATAACGAATGACCACTATTACCAACATTTTTTACGGACCCCACCGTGTTCGTTATAGCAGTGTTTCACTCTAACACTTACAATACAAGCTTTGAAGAAATTAAAGCTTTACAGAAATTTCCCCCAATTCAGGGTATGCACAGTGAACAGTTCTACCTGTGCAAGCATTGATACTTGTAATTAAACACAGTTTTGAATAAGGGCAAAAATATGGGCTTGGCCGGTTTTGAAGCAGGTACGTTTAAAACCATTTATTTAAGACAAGTTTAGTTACCGGCCAAGCACATTATTTTTATTCCCATTCATAAATAACTTTCGGTCAAAAGGTCAACACAAGTAACAAATTCACAATTTCCCTGTGATATTTGTTCAACAATTTTACCTCATGTTTTGTGAAACACCCCTCTTTCCCTGTCTAAGATATGTGTCCCTCCTTTTATGGAGATTGGCGCGCATGCACTGTACTGCGTTATGTGACGAAGAACACGGTGGTGCAGTAATAAAGTGTTTAAAACCAGTTGGTGTTTTATCAACAGTTAAAAACCAACAACGTAACGGCTCTCAACTTAACAAAGGAATAGGTACGCTGTCTTAGGTATTCATGAATAAGGGAATAAATGTGTGCTTGGCCGGTTTGAAACACTCTGTTTAAGACTGTTTGGAGTCTGGATGCTGATATTGATCAGCATCCAGACTCCAATCGGTCTTAAATATAGTGTTTAGTACTAGCTAAGCACACATTTATTCCCACTGATAATATCTTTTTGGTCAAAAAATCACAACTGTTTTATTCAAAAGTCAAACAAGTCAAATATTATAAATTTCCAACGATTTGTTCAACATTTTTACTTCATGTTTTTTACCCTCCCCCCCAGCTATATTATGGTACGTCCATGTTATAAACACTTATATGGAGATTGGCGCGCATGAGTCATGCATACTGCGCGATGTGGCGCAGAACTCAGCTGTGCAAGTGTAGTGTGAATTTAGGATAATGAAATACTGACTCACTGGTTGTATTGCACATGCTTACGTGAGCATAGTGAACATGCAACCAATAAAACGGTAAGTAAAACTTAAGGCACCAGATTTCATAGGAGTCCAAATTTCATGTGACATTGGAACAGTGTTTTAGACCAGCCAGCAGGTCTTTATCAACCATTTAAGACCGGCCAAGTGACGGGCTCTCAACCAATGGGAAGGGGTAAACTGTAGTTAAACACATACATAAACCAGCCAATGATGACTTCTTACCAAGCACAGTAATGTAGAAATCGCAATTAATGTCATTGCCAGCCGCATCCACAACAGTGTAGGAGACGTGGTGATTAGAAACAGCCAGTGGTTCTGTAGGATCCAGTGAAGATGTCGCAGTGAAGACACCTGAATTATCAAATGCATCATCAGGCAGAGACCAGCCACCAGTGCTAACATTGGATTGAGGATCAGTGTAGAGTGTGAAGCCAGTAGGGCAGGTCACATTGGGTCGCTGGTCGTCTGGTCATCAAAAAAGAAAATATTTTCCGTTGAGGAACATATCATGTCAACATGATAAGGCATGCACAAAGCAGGGAGAAGAAAGTTGATTGCAAATTAAGAAAACCTGCACTTAACCAGTTCGTGACGGATAACGTGTATACACGCAAAGGTTTTGCGGTATTCAGAACGGATGACAGATAAACACGGAGGGAGTGAAGCCAGAAATATCTGTCAGCGACCCGCTTGCAGCGAGCGAGGCCAGAAATATGAGTGTGCTGCCCGAGGGTGATGGCTTCAACGCCTTGTTCCATTCTTGTCAAAATAATCCAGGTGCAAACTGGTTAAAATGGTAAATCAAGTCCAAATTAGCCAAGTTATTATGTGATTATAATCAGCAATTGGCCGGGGATAGCTAGCCCATGAAAGTTTTTTTACTTAAAATTACAGATTTTGGTGAGAGGAAATCCCCAGAAAGATTTTCCAGGGAAAACCCACGGAATCAGGCAGAGACTGAAAACCCAATCCACATACAAGTATTGCCCCAGGCGGGATTCGAACCCGGGTCACAGCGGTGGAAGGCAAGGAAAGTACTGCTACGTCAACCACCCCCCCCCCCCCAACGATTTAAAAGTGTATTTGGCCTTACCGACAACAGTGACATTGAACACGCATGACTCCATGTTGCCACTGTCATCAGTAGCATCCAATGTGACTGTTGTTACTCCAATGTCGAATGCCATCCCTGGCATATGACTGGCATCGACCGTGACAGTTCCTCCACTGTTATCGGTTACATTTGGTGGAGTCCAACTGACGACGGCTGTTGGGAGGTTCAAGTCAGTTGGGTAGCTTGCTTGGAGTACAGGAGGGCATTGATCAAAGACAGGCTTGACATCATCTGCAAATTAATAGCCATGAACACGTACATGAATCACACTTCAGTTGTCATGCAGACAATCGGAAAACAAAAGCTGAAAGAAAGGACGTAAAACTTGCTGAACCAATCCAACATAAAATGTCATAATACAATATTTGAGATGGTTATTTATATCAGGCTTCCAGTGGTAAAAATAAATCAGCATATTGTATGCTTTCATAATAAGTACCCGGAAGACTACAATCAGTAAAAGTACCCGAATGAGGACAATATCATTTTCGATATTATCTGGGAATTTGAACAAATTTCACTGGTTCCTGCACATGCAAGTGAGTAGAAATTCACAGTTGTCAACTAGTCAACAAAGCCTAGAGCGCAGTATACCGGTACCAGTGCTTATTCGTAGATTTATTATCCTCGCTGCCATGGATGTTGGCAGGATTTATTCTATAGGGCAGCAAAACATATTTTTCCAAAAAAAATCCTGTATTTCTCAACATATTCTCGATTTATCAGTTTTAGAGGGGGGCAGGGACATTCCCCCCCCCCCCCCCACCCATTAAATTTACACGAATATGACTTCACGCCTTTTTTTCGTTTTTTTTCTTTTTTCTATTTCTTTTCAGGGGGGGGGGGGGAAGTGCCCCCTGCCCCCCCCCCCTTGCGACGCCCATGCTCGCTGCCATGTTTTCAGGTCCCTGAATTAGAATTAGGCCACTACTCAGATTGACCACGAAGATGTTGCAAACCTCAATGATGTCACAAATGTGAGTTGTGAATGACTTGTTAGCAGTCTGGTGAGGACTTGTGATTGGGTTGATTACAACATTTATCAGAAGTAAATTCCCTTCCTTATTCATGCACCAATGAATTCAAACTACAGTTATTGCAAGCAAAAACTTCCTTTCTTTTGATTCTACTCACCGAGAATCCACAATTCTGTGACACACTCTACAGAATTGCCAGCCGCATCCTCTGCCCTGATGATGCATCGATAGTGTCCGATGTACAGCTGTTGAACGGTGACAAACCCAGCCTGCCAGTCTATGGTTACAGTGACCGGACTCTGGCTGACTGCAATTTCTGTATAGGTGGCATTGAAGACCGTGGGTGGCCCCGCGTTGTCGGTGGCCGTAGGAAAAGGCCAGCTGGCACTCAGCTGTGTTGAGTCAGGTGGCACATACAACGTGACGTTATTTTGACAATTCTCCAGCACAGGAGCCTCATCATCTAAAGCAAAAAAAACCAGATTTGTTTCAATTTTATTTCAAGTAGGGCCAGAAATAAAACTTGCCCATGGGAAACAAAAAATAGGCAGAGCAAAAATCTGTGTCCGAAATCTGGGCCGCATCGCAGTTACACATTTGCGTAAGTACAATATACTTCATGCCCAATTTCCGGACACCGCCTCCTGTTTTATTTTAGATCCAAACAAAATTTTATGAAGAAAAAAATGTTCAGTGTTTCCATAAAATTAAAAAGATTAGGCCCAAAAAAAAGTCTCCGGTTTCTGGTATGGAGCTTGCCCAAAAAGTGGTGCGGCGACGCGTTTTTTTTTTTTTTTGACCTGTTTTTTTTTGCTTCAAATGTCGGCTGATGACTGCAAATGGTGCCCGACTAAACTTAGTGCAAATATTATGGGAGACCAGAGAGGCCACATAAAGCTTATTCTCCATCATAACCCCATCTAAAAACACGTTAAACTTGTGCAGCAGCAGGATTCCAGACAAACCACTGAGTTTGGCGGTTTTGAGACATCATCTTTCATTGAAAAAAAAACTTTTTCATTTTGCCGACACGCATGGCTACGGCGACGCGCGCGCATACCAGAAACAGGAGCCTTTTTTTTTTTAACCTTTTGGTTAGAGTTTTAAAACGGACTCGTCAACAAAGAAGTTCACTTCTTACTTGAGAAAGTTGAGGAAAAAGTTCGAAAGTCAAGTGCACTATTCATGACACCATTCAACCGTGTCCCTGATTCAACCACACAACTCTACTTCTAACGTGCGTGGGGGAAAAAAATTGGACATTATCGTCTTTTTCTTCCAACATACAGTGAAATGTGTAAATGTATCAGTATGCTCTCTTCACCATCCTCAAGATCATCATCATGATTTTTAAAGCATTGCATTTTGTACAACTCAGTCTAAAACCACTAAAAAAAAATCACGCAACATGTGGATTTTATTGCAGTCAAACTCCACGTGCAACAGCCTTGAAGCTCTATACGTAGCTAGCTACTATAGTTTCAATCATGTCATATGTCAATGCTTAGACTGTTTTCCAGCCGTAAACTACTCCAATCCGGGCTTACTAATGTGCATCTACAATACTATCTGTGCACTGACAACTGGAACAACAGATTAAAACTGCACTTGCAATACACTGATGTCACGGTGCCATTTTCATCAAATTCGTTGAAATTGAATTTTAAAAATTAGACTTTGCGTGGAAAAGATCGTCAGAAAAATCGGAATTTTGGAAATAAATTTGAAAAAGTAATCGGAAAAGTTTCACTTCTGGTATGGCTTTCAATTTGTGTACTTCAAGCCAGGTACTTCTCAGGCTGCTAATAAACTTTCATTGGTACGTGCTACAATCATGCATGTAAAATGAAATTTGAATGCCCTCACCAGAGACCGTTATAGGAAAGCTGCAGGTGCCGATGTTATTGTCTTCATCCACAGCCGTGTAGGTCACAGTGTGTGGGCCAATAGAGAACATTTCACCAGGTACATTACTGACATCCAGGGACGCTATGATGCCGGAGTTGTCCGTCACATTAGGCACAGTCCAGAAGACGGTAGCGTCAGGGCTGCCTTGGTCCGTTGGCTGGGTTATAGGCAGCGGACACAGGTCAAACACTGGGTTTTCCGTATCTGTAAAGGAAAAAAAATAAAGATGAGAGCCTGGTGACATGGAACCAAAGACAGGCCAGAGTTGTTGCGAGTCACTGAAATTTGTGACTCGAGTAGAGTCGAGTCATTTTAAGGAAGTGACTCGAGTCAAGTCAAATCGTTTTAAGAAAGTGACCGAGTCAAGTCGAGTCATTAGGTCAAGAAGGTCGAGTCGAGTTGAGTTGAGTCACAGTGTGTGGTCGAGTCGAGTAGATTCATAAATGCAGCCATTTTTTGATAATTCGGTCTACAATGTCTAATCTCATTGAGGGATAAGAAAACACATTTTTTGAATTGTGTTTTCTTATTAGACATTTTTCTTCTCTGTTGTTGTACTATATACTTTTAGTATTAAAGCCTATATTCTTGTGCACATAAATATATTGTTATACATATTTTATACTGTATTTGAAGTCAATTTTGATGTATTTTTAAACGCAATTCAGCCTTTTGGATGTGATGTTTAAATATTTTTAGTAAACATTTTAATAATAACAATTATGAATATAACAGCTTGTTGGACTTGCCTTGCACTTCAACCACAAACTGACACGTGCCCACATTACCGGCAGCATCCGTACTCGTATAAACCACAGTTGTCATGGCGATGGGAAACTCATTACCAGGAAGGTGGTTGTACGATGTACCAACGACACCGACATTGTCAAAGGCCATTGGAATGACCCACTGTACCGGGGCGGTAGGCCTGCCTGTAGGGGTGTAGACCAAGGTGTCGTTGGGGCAGGTGTCACCAGAAGTTGGTGCCTCATCATCTGCGCAGGAGAGAAAACGAAGAGTTTCAATATCGCCAAAGTTTGCGATTTCTGTATGGAAGATTGTCTCAGTAATTTAAGCCAACATCTTTAGTTTATAGGGAAGGGTGCAGGTTCGGATCATAATTTAACATTAAAAATTGAAACGCTTATATAGTGCTTTTCATCACATCAACAATCTCAAAGCGCTTTACAATTCGGGCGATTCACAATGCAGAGCGCCACCAAGAGTTTGCCATGGAGAGTCAACTTTACAAGTTTACGGTCGACAAAATATGGCCCATTTGAATGAGTGTCAGTAGACACTTGAGCTAATTTGTTATAGATTGGGGCATAGCGTTCTGCCGCCTTACCAAAAAATCACCATGTTGATACAAAGAAAAGGGCAAACATATACTCGAATCATACTCGAATCATACTGGACAATGGCATTCTACAAAGAGGTGGATTAACTGCCAAAATGGGGGGGGGGGGGTTGTAAGCAGGCATTTGCCTTTCCATGATTTCTAAATTCCAGGATTTGTCAGGATTTTTCCCATGACTGTGGGAACCCTGTTGATTTATTTTAATAAAACACCAAATGACATTTAAAACACCAAATGACCATATCAAATTCAAATACTTTCACTACCAGTAACTGCAATGAACAAAATACCCATCAGATCTCTTACCAACTACTGTGATAGTGAAGTTGCAATATGCGACGTTATCACTGGAGTCCGTAAAGGTGAAGGAGACGTAGGCATCGTTCAGGTCAAATGCTGAATTATTGGGATGGGAACCGACTGGGATGATCGGCAGTCCGTCATTATCCGTTGCCGTTGGTTGGCTGAAAGTAACAACGGCTGTGGCTTCGCCTGCATCAGTCCCCTGGTTGATGTTTTCCGGACAGAACGTCACAACGGGAGGCTGGTTATCTATCAATAATAATGACAATTATTGATGAAAAAAAACCAAACAAAGCATGATTTACTAGGAAAGAAGTTTTCTAGCATAAAACCTCTAAGCAACACAGTTCCATAAGCATTCTACAATAATTCTATTCTACAAACATTGAGTGGCTCAGAGTGGAATGGGAGGAATATTTTTTCGCAAGGTAAAATCTGGACTTTTCTATTTCACGAGGCAAAGCCGAGTGAAATGGAAAAGTCCAGATTTACCGAGCTATCACGTCCTCAGATGCGAACTGGTTAAAGCACAAACCTTGGGTTTGTCAAGGGTTGAGTATATGCTGCAAACAAAGTATGTGCATGGTCATGTTATAAGTAATAACAATTAAGATCTCACTCTCTCAGTTACACTAGGCAGTGCTGGTTTTCCTTATCTGGTTGAATTCTCCCCCTATCCCATCTGTTATACCAGTAAGTGGGGTATATTCGACCGGTGGCAGATCGTTACTAAGCAAAACACCTTGGGTCTGAGTAGGGTTGATGCTATGCTGTAAACATAGTGAGTACATGATCATGTCATGAGTGATAATGGTCAAGATCTCATTACACTAGTCATTGCCAGTTTTCCTTATGTGGTCAAATGCTCCCCCTTTTACCCTACTAATTTGAACAAATTTTTGTTACAGTCACTTTGTATTTGAGATCAAACATTGATCAAAGGGGAAGACAAATTGTGGCAAACTAGGCTGCTCATGGACACAAAACACATTAAGTTAACCCTGACCGCCCTGAATCCTTCAAAATCCTCTTTGCCAAAGTGGAGGATTGAGGGTACATGGCAAAAGTGTGTTAATGATTTGTAGGATGCACTTTGTCAAGGTCTTGGGGCAGACCTTGTGTTGTTTTTGCTCAGCCATGCCTAAATATAGGCCTGGATTATGCTTGAAATCCTCCGTACTGCTCCAGAATGTCACTGGCCAAGCCTCAACACACCGACAGTCACTGCCGCAGGATTTTGCCGGATTCAGGCAGTGGTCACCCCTCCATGGACCATATTCAAGAAATAATGGAGAAATTTGGAGTGAGGCTATAATGCTATTTTTCCATGAGACCAACTGGAGGATTTTGCAGGATTGAGGCTATATCCTAGCAAAAAGGCCTAGGGAGTTAGGGTAGATCTCCTAGCTGAATAACACAGAAATGACTCTGTACTAAATCTACTTAATCACAGGATTCATCCTCGTAAAGCAAAGAGAGTTACCAGTACAGACACAAAGAAACTCACCGACAACGGTGACGATGAATGAGCACGTCTCCATGTTGTTACTGGGATCCCAGGCTGTGCACACCACGGTTGTGTCGGCGATAACAAAGGCATCTCCAGACTGCATGGAGCAGTTGACTGTGACGACGCCAGAGTTGTCCACAGCGACAGGATCCATCCAGGTAGGGAACCCATACGGACTGTCAGTCCGGGTAAAGACCGTTTGGTCTAGTGGGCAACTGGTAATATTGGGCATTTCGTTGTCTGAATGAAAAACAGAATGAACAAGCATTTGTGATAGTAACGATAGGGAATATATCCGACATTTGGCCATTTTTGTTAAAGTTCGCGCCGCAGGATGTGTATACATGCAAAGGTTCTGCGGTATTCGGAACGGATGACCGATAAACATGCAGCGAGCAAGGCCAGAAATATGAGTGTGCTGCCCGAGGGTGAAGGCTTCAACCCGCCTGGTGTCAGGTCGGGTGAAAAGTAATCCTGCGCCTCGTTCTGTTCTTGTCAAAAATAATCCCGGCACGAACCCGTTAAAGGCTGCATCTATGAAGGAGAGTATCTTCAATTTTCCGTTGTTGAGGCGTGCTGATCTTTTCCCGTCTTTCAAAACAATATTATGACAATAAGGACAAGGCAAGACTAAAGACATACAGCGCGCCTCAAAATATAAACCCGCAACATATTTTGGCGAAGCTCTAGCATTGCCGGGGAAACGTGTACCGCCTTTATTTTTTTATATCATTTTAAAGCTTGGAATCTTAACTTTATCCCTGGTGAGTATTGGTTTGATTTTCAAAAGAGTTTTGAAATTATTCATGTTCAAATAAAGAAATGTCAAAACAATTTCAAGAAAAATCAATCATGCGCATTTTTTCTGATGTGAAAACGCTTCATCATATTCATGATGTGACGATCTCGTTACCTTTTACTTTCTAAGTTTCCTTTTCTTTTGGATCCACGTGGACTACACCTTAAATAAATTCACAATTGTTCTACGTTTCGAGTTGAATGTGTTTTTAATAAAAATGAACTGTTGTTTTGTTTGTTATTTCAACAGCTCGTTGACTCGAATTTGCATCTGATGTACCGCATCATCGATTTTCCTTGAAATCAGTTGAGTTTGTTTTTGACATGCTTTTATTTGAACATGAATAATTTTAAAACTCTTTTAAATATCAAACCAATACTTGCCAGGGATAAAGTTAAGATTCCAAGCTTTTAAATGGTATAAGAAATAACGGCAGTACGTGTTTTAACGCCAACGCTAGAGCCTCGCGAAAAAAAATTGCGGGTATTTTGGGACGCGCTGTATAAGAGATCTGACCTCACTCACCAGAGACAGTCACATTGAAGTTGCAGTAGTCAACGTTGCCTGCAAAGTCCCGGGCAAACAATGACACAAGGTTGTCACCGATCTGATATGGCATGTTGGTTGATAGGACAGCACTCTCAACGCCACTTCCAGTATCGCTAACCGTGATGCCAAAATCAAATGGTGAGGCCGTGTCCAAGCCAGGGTCAGTCGTCACGGGAGGTAGAGTGGGTGGACAAGAGCTGAACACAGGCGGAGTCATGTCATACACTGAAAAAAAAAATCAGTTAAGAATGACTTTTTGTCCCACTTTCATCTACAGAAACATTCATCCTAAAAAAGTGGCATATCACAGACTGTTGACACAAAGGTAGAGAAGCAGCTATCCAAAAAGTTCTGACAAAATTATTTTTGAAAAGCTTACTTGGTTTAAAGATAGTAATGGGACTAAGCTCCCTGTGAAATCATTCCTTCTGGCATGCTGTCATTTTGAAGAAAACGCTAAAAGAAGGTAATTTCCAAAGATGTGTCTAAAGATGCATTTTTGGAATTTTCCATCAGTTGTTGGCTTGGAATTTGGCAGCGCCGAATAAGTGCGTGCAAGCATATTCATCAGTTCAGTGCGTGACATTGCATAGCAGCAATCAGCTGAAGAAGAAAAGGTCCCAGACGCTGATTTCCAGCGCAATTCAAAACATGACTTGGCAACTTTCAATTTGAAACCAAGATCCTAGAATATTGTTTTCTCAGAATATACAGTATTCACTGAGCTAAAACTTTAACAGGTTAATTGTCAAGCACATATCTTTACATTTTGAGCACTCTTTTGCTTCAAAAAACATAACTGTACTGGAGAGAATACAAACTATGTTCTAAGTTTCCTTTGACAATATATAATGACTGACTACAAGAGAACTGAGATGAATACTCTTAGATGAGTTTGGTATTGTTCAACAATTTTACTTCATGTTTTGTGTAACACCCCTGTTATGTCTCGGCATCCATTTATGGCATTTATTCATGATCGTTTACGGAGCTTCAAAGGCACAAACATCTAAGCTGTTAACAGTGCTTGAGACGAACTATTGTTTTAACGTACAAGTCTGTATACACTACTTACGTACAAGTAAACACTACTCTAAAGAGCATGCGCAGTAACTATTAAACCAATATCTAACAACCCCTCTACCTATGTTTATGGTATGTGCCTCTCGCGAGCAATACTGAACATCTCCTTGTATGGAGATTGGCGCACGTGTGGCGCATACTGCGTGAGTGGCGCAGAACACAGCTGTGACGGTGCAGTGTGAATTTAGGAATTTATGAAAAATCATCAGTAGTAGTGCACATGCCTTAGGGAAACTATAAACGGTCAACCATTAAACGGGTAAAAGAGAACAGATTTCATAGGATTCCAAATTCACATGACACCGGAAAAAAGTATTTAAAAGCATTTTGTGTCCCATCAACCGTTTAAAACCACCCACGTGACGGGCTCTCGATCAATAAGAATGGCTAAACATTCTTAGGTATTCATGAATCGTAATTCATAAATACCTCAGACAGTTTAGCCATTCCTATTGGTCGAGAGCCCGTCACGTGGCCGGTATTAAACGGATGATAAAGACATGGCTAGCTGGTCTTAAACACTTTTCCAGTGTCACAATAAAATATGGACTCCTAAAAATCCAGTGCCTCTTATCGTTTCATTGGTTGAACGTTCACAATCCTCATGTAGGCATGCGCAACACTACCAGGGAGTTAGAATTTTATAGTTCTAAATTCAAAACGCAACGCGCCAGGTGCGTTCTGCGCGACATCGCGTAGAACATGATACGCGCGCGTCAATCTCCATAAAAGGGTTGTTTTCATCTTACTCGCCAGCTGAACACTCCATTATTTTGCAGGAGGGATGTTTCAAAAAGCATAAAGTGAATTTGTTGAACAAAATCGGGATGTTTTGAACGAATTATATAATTTTTTTTACCGAAAAGGTATTTATGAATGGGAATAAATATGTACTCCGTCGGTATTTATCACTCTGTTTAATACCACTTAGAGTCTGGGTGCTGATAATTACCCTCGCCTCCGGCTCGGGTAATTATCAGCACCCAGACTCTAAGTGGTATTAAACAGAGTGATAAAAACCTCCATTTATTCCCTTATTTTCAAAAGCTTCCAAACTCACCATTAATAGTCACCAAGAAAACACACTCAAATTGGTTGCCGGACTGATCTTCAGCTACTATGGTAACGGTGGTGTTGCCTTCTGGGAAGAACGAGTTGTTAGCTAGTGGAGTGACCGTTACCGTGGGAGCGATTCCAGAGTTATCCTCAAAGATGGGGTCAGTCCACGTCACTGTTAAGTTGTCCGAGTTTGCATCCTGTATAAATTCCACGATGTCCGCAGGACATTCTGATGCTGATTGAATTGTTGGACATTCATCATCTGAAGAAAAAAAATATTGAGACTTAAAGGGGCACATTCGTCCAGAATTCGCCCTTTTGGGCACTTAAATGTATTTGCAATGAAAGGTCCCTAGTGGAATATGAACATGCAAACAACTACGCTTTAAAAAGTTGCAGTTTTTATGTAATTACTACGCCAAAGAGTTCTTGGGTACAAAGTCTTGGTCCTCAAATACATGCCATCGGAGAGGCACTGGTTTTAAATCCAGTCACACATTTTTTCGGTAATGGCACGATAGCAAATGCCATTTATCGTGTGAATCAAGGGCATCAATCACTTCTCAAAAGTGAGGGGTTTACCTTGATCAGAACTAATGCGAGCCCGTAGCGCGAAGCCCTAACATCGTGGGGTCCGGGGCCCACTTTATAAGGGCCCTGGAAAATGTTGGATTCCAGATGCTCCATGGTGCGATCTGAGGCAATTTCTGACCACCATAACCAATGGTTTTTTTTTACAAAAGATCATCATTTAAACATCATTTTTGAGTTTAGAGTAATTGAATTAGCTATTCTGAGCTATAGAATGAAATATAGGCTACACTTTTTATTCATGGATGAAAAAAGTCCATTACACAGCGATACAGCCCTGACTATTACACAGGTCAAACCAATAAGCCATTTGCAAGTTAAATTTGAATGAAATCTGGAACGCTGACTTAATGCAATGCTTTGCACATTTTAAGTTTGCATTCTCCCAACCAAAGAGACTGTTACTATATCACGTGATTCGGGCCAAGCCTTATGCTAGCAACCCCCAGCTCCGGCATGGTCTGGTGTCTTTGGGTCATTCTCACCCATTGTGAACAATTTAATGGTGCTGAGGGTCTCTTACGTAACTATGCAAGAGCTTGCCCCAAATCACGTAATTAGCAACAGTGTCTTTGGTCTGGAGAATTCAAAGTTAAAATGTGCCAAGCATTCTGAGCAAGTCAGTGTACCAGATGCTTTTCAAATGTAAAGCCCAAAAGGTATAGGTTACTGGCAAATGGCTCATTCATTCCATCTAAAGTATTTCTGTGAAGTCTTGTTGAGTTCAATCATGCTCACCAATCACAAGGATGGTCAGCCTGCACACAGTGGGGTTATCGGCGGCATCGATTGCCACATATGTGACTTCAGTCGGGCCGATGGAGAATTGGGTCCCCGACCGGCCCAGACCAGCGATGGTGACAGAGCCCGAGTTATCCTGGGCCGTGGGCTCAGTGAACACTGGTATCCCATAGGCCTCTCCAGGCTCAGTGGTGACATTGAAATCGTCTGAACAGTTGTAAATAACTGGCGGCTCCAAGTCTGAATGGGAGGAGAAATTGGGAGAAAAGGATTTAGACAGAGAAAAAACAAGCTCCAAATGATCTCGGACGCTGCGGCCTAACTGTAGACCTGTTGTAGCCTGTAAGTCTTGTACATGATGTAAAAGTCTGTTTTTATAATGCACTACTGCTCACGTGGTCGTGACTGTCAATTGAAATAAAGGATTCGTATTTGTTGAATGTCAGTTGGTGCACGGAGCGTTTTATAGCTGTATGCTAGGTGCATGGGGAACACCAACTTTGTGTGCAGATTATTGTGTACAGTACAGTGTCAGTCCCAATGCTAAGTGTTTTTAGTAAAAATATCTGGTTTTGGACTCTAGTGACCCAATTTTCCACAACTGCAATCAATTAATAGCTGGTCAGTGGCGACCTATGCAACTGTCACAATTCAGGGCCATGAACCAGAGGCACGTGTTGTTGCGAGGGCCAAAGGGACAAGGTGATTGATGGTCAAAAAAAAGGCATTTTGTGAAGTTTGTTACTGACCAACCAACCAACCAACAGAGAGACATGACTCCTTGTAGAGCTGCTAAGCTGCAGCTAAAAACAAGCCAAGCTTGATAGAGGTACATTTCAAGGCCATGAACCTGAGGCTAGTGTTGTTGAGAGGGCCTAAGGGACAAGGTGATTGATGGCCAAAAAAAAGGCATTTCGTGAAGTTTGTTACTGACCAACCAACCAACCAACAGAGAGACATGACTACTTGTAGAGCTATTCAGCTGCAGCTAACAACCAGCCAAGCTTGATAGAGGTACATATGACTATGGACTCTGCACACAAGTACCCCTCACTGGTTACGAAGGGAGAGCTGAAGGAGACGACTTTGTACGACATCCGAACGCATTGCCGACAACTTAAGCTCACACAAAAACGCTACGGCTTTTTCTACACATTCAGAATACAATTATTTGTGCGTACTTCACGCCAAACATGCAAACGCACACACGTTTGTTTATGGTGTAAATTACGGATTTTCTCTTTTTCTTCTTCCCTTTTCCTTTGTTTATACTCTTTAACTTTTTTTGCAACAGCTCTCATTGGTTTTGTACATGTTTTCTAATCAAGGTCGTTCTCAATTTGGTTCCTGTCCTCAATTAATCGATGATGGTGCATGTGTGTGTCCTCGGTTTACACCATAAACACGCACAGTGTGTCCTGTCCAAGAGCTCTGGAAAGTTGTGAAAAAGCATCCCCAACTGTTCACGCAAGGCATGTATTATGGTCAAACAAAGACATTTCAACATTTTTCAGTCCTTTTATCAAAAAAACACAAAAGAGATTAATTTCACATGGTGTTTCCACAAACTGACCTTGCTGTTATCTCTACCATGCAAACTTTCCCATTCTTATCTAATCATTTTCTAAAAAGTTCAATCGCATCTGCTGTACACTCACCGACGATAGTGATTGTAAACTGGCATGTATCGTTGTTACCAGCGGCATCAATAGCTGTTAGAGTCACGACTGTATCTCCCAGGTCAAAGTTACTGCCGTTAACGTAATCCGACATGACCGTGACCGTCGCCGGAACATTGTCGGTCACTGTAGGCGGGACCCAGGTGACGGGGCCGTAAAACTTGTTGAATGCTGTTGGCTCTGTCAAGGTAGCTGGGCAGGTGATGACCGGTGGTACATTGTCTACGGGCAAAACACAAAAATGACACTGTTGCACAAAATTATCTGGGGGAAATGTCATCTAGCAGCAATCCATCATTCAGGGTGAGTCAAAAAAAGCGAAACTCAAATGTCGGACTATTGTTTTAGGGAAGTTCTGCATCTAAATCTCGGATATGAAAGCCCAATTCATAAGCTTTCTTTTAGTGCAAGAGTCATTCAAATCACACATGTTTTTCAAGTTACGGAATTTTAAACAGAACCACCGTTTTAAAGTTCTGTCCACGGATCACAGAAAAGGTGTGCGTTCTTTCAGCAAAACCAAAACAATGCACACACATCTATGTGATTTGTATTCATTTTGCTGAAAGAACACTTACATTCTTGTGATCTGTGGACAGAACTTTAAGACGGTGGTTGTGTTTAAAATTCCGTAAATTGAAAAGTACAGGAGTGATTTGAATGATTCTTGTACAAAGAGAAAAGCTTATGAATTGGCCTTTCATATCCTAGATTTTGAAAGTCCTACATTCAGAACTTCACTAAAAAAAATTGTCCTGACATTTGGGTCTTGTGTTTTTTGACTTACCCTGTACATTGGAAATACTAAAATCCACAACTATGCATAAAACACCACCGATAAAGATTTTTTGAACCACTGTTAACGTGGCTGAAGGGGAGTGTTTGCTTAAAGCTATAGTCCATCATTTGCAGCCATCCGAAAAGTAACTGGCGTAATTATTGTTGAAAAACAAACTTGTTTGAAAGATAGTAAGGGAACTAAACTCCCTGTGAAATTATTCTATCTGGGAAGCTGTCATTTTGAAGTAATCAACGAAAGAAGGCATTTCCAACGGTGATTCTTAAGAAGCACCGTAGGAAAATTTTAATTAGTAGTTCGTTTTGTTATTCAGCGCAGCGCACACAAGTATTGGAACGACGCACACGCGCGCGCGGTTGTTATAATTCGTCGGATCAGTGCGCGATGTCGCGTATAACTGCAATTCAAAACAATTCAAAACATGATTCAGTAACTTTTGATTTGAAATTGAGATCTTAGAATGCTGTTTTTCTCGGAATGTACAGCTGAAGCTTAGCTGAAACTTCATCAGGTTAGTTGCACAGTATCCTTCATTAGATTTTGAACTCTTTTGTTGCTTCAAATGAACAAAATGCACAAATTACAAACGATGGACTGTAGCTTTAAAGGCAGAGTAGACCATTTGTCATTGTGCATTTTTTTTTTTTTTTGAAGCAACAAATGTGCTCAAAATCTAAGACAGGTGTTAAACAACTAACCTGATGAAGCATTAGCTTTGTGAATGCTGTGTACTTTGAGAAAACACAATATTCTGGATTTCAATTTCCATTCCAAAGTATGTCGCTGAGTCACAACACGATCTCAAAATCAACATCCCGGACATGATTCTCATTCAGCCGATTCTTGCTACGTGATTGAACACACTGAACCGACGATTCTCGATAATAATAGCAATCGCGCGCACGTGCGCGTCGTGCCAAAGCGCTTGCACCCATTCACGCATTCCCCCATACAAAATGTCCCAAAATGTGTCACTTTGATACATCTTTGGGAATGACATTCTTTTAATGTTTTCTTCAAAAGGACAGTATGCCAGAAGGAATCATTTCCAGGGGTGTGAGTGATCACTGATAAAAATAGCTGAAAACAGCTGAAAAAAGTGCAAAAAAGCTGAACTTTGGAAATCTCCTATACTTTTGTACACAGCAAGTGAGGGAAAAAGATGAAAAAAAGCTGAAATCCAAAACAAAAAAAAGCTGAAATCAGCTTTAAAGCTGAGATTTCACACCCCTGCATTTCACAGGGAGTTTAGTGCCGTAACTATATTTAAACTAAGTAAGCTTTTTAACAACAATTTGGAGGGATACTTTTTTTGTGGATGCAAATGGTCAACTCTACCTTTAAGTTCTGAGCTAAGGAAAATGACAAAGATTCTTATCACTTCAAAACCCAAACAAAATGGATTCAAGAAACATAACACATGCCCCCCCCCCAACAAAAATACCCTTTTTTTTTCTTCTTTTAAGTAAAAATGCAAAAAAGGCAGCCATTGCGTACACCGCCCACAAAAGTCAACAACAGCGATACATTTGCATCCCTCGCTTTGCTTTTCATATTAAATTTGGGGCGGAAAATTGTTGGGCCCACTATTTCGGGAACTAACATTTTTTGGCCCCCCCCCCCCCCTCCAAAAAAAAAGGATCCGGCCTTGCATACTGGTCTAATTTACAAGATCAATAATTTGCCAAAAACTGGAGAAGATTAAGTTAAGTAAAGAACCATTTATCTAAAGATGAAAGCTTGGCCCACCTATCACAAGAATGGTGAAGTCGCAGTAGCCAGTGTTGCCTGCAGAGTCTGTTGCGTTGTAGAAAATGGTAGTCTCTACACCAATCGGTACGGCTGTCCCGTTCTCCTGGGAGGGGAATGCTTCGGGGACCTCGCCCGAGTTGTCGGTCACAGTGGGTGGAAGCCAGGTGACGGTGGCTTCCAATTGGTTGTCCGGAACCACGACCATCTGGTCCTCGGGACACGTCAGAACCGGATCTTCTTCATCTTTGGGGGTAAATTGAATAAAAGTTTAACTTTTGGTGCGCACAATTTAAACCGTCAATGACAAATAAAATGGAAGCACCAAGAAAAACAAAATAAATACCTTTAAAATTTTGCCAGTTCTGTTTTAACGTCGGATTTTGAGGAAAAACAAGCTCGATCAGAAATATCTCGGAAGCTGTGGGCCGACGAATTCGTGTTCATGCATGAGTTACGTGATTGTGCCATGTAATTTCTGGCAGGAGTAGTGTTTTGCCTTAAGTGTAAAAAATAAATTGTTTTTGACTCCAGTGACCCCATGATGACCTTTGACCCCAGTATTTGGTCATGTGACATGTTTGGGCTGGCTACTGATACATTTGACAAAGTTTGGTTGGAATCGGTCAAAATAATGTAGGAGCAATAGACAATGTCAACATTTGTTATTAACTAACGGACTAACAGAGAGACATGATGATTTGTTGAGCTGCTTTCCCACATCTAAAAATGCTACATGTCACTCCAAGTTGATTACATAGGCCTAAAGATCAATGCAGTAAGTGATTTACAATTGAACTCAATTTAGTAAAACATTTGTTTTCGCACTTCTGTTACACACTCAACCAAAAAAGAAAGTCCCCCCCTTCCAATCCTTTTTTTTGTTTAACTCAAAAACTGCTGAGCACCTCGCACTTAAATAACGACTACTTTTTACAGACATTCCTTAGCAATCCAGCCATACCAGTGGCATATCCGCGGGGGGGGGGGGGGGGGGGGGGGGGGGGGCACTTTGCCCCCCCCCCAGCAGATTTTTTACAATGTTTTTGTTTTCAGCAATTATTTCAACATAGAGGGAGTTCCTTGTCCTATGATTTCAATAAATGGTAAGAGAGTTCTGACATCAATTCCAAAAAAAGAAAACCCACTCAAAAAACATTCCAATGCAATGCGCTGTGAAAATGAATAATGGTCAGTTTTGAAGAGCGCCCCCATTTGGAAGGTGCGTACCATACTCTTTATTCGAACCAAAACAGTGATAACGTGTACGAATTTAGGACATCTTTGACAAATGATATCTAAAACAGTTGCACTTTTGTATATGTGCAAGTTGTGGTTCGCACTCACGTTGCATGTATACATGGGGGAGTCAGGTTGGCGTAGCGGTACTTTCCTCGCCTCCACCGCTGTGACCCGGGTTCGAATCCCGTCTGGGCCAATATGTGGATTGGGTTTTCAGTCTCTACCTGATTCTGTGGGTTTTCCCCAGAATATTCGTCTGGGTTTTTCTTCCCACCTCTAAAACTGTAATTTCTTCTCATTGTCTCCTCTCTATAGGTTTCTTCAGGCTTGCGAGCTACAGTGCCTAGGGGACTTTTGAGGAATCCTTGGTTTCATTACCAGAAAGACATAAAAAATTTTAAAAAATTAAAAAATAAAAAGTGCAACTTTTTTTTTCAGTTCCACAAGATGTGCCCAGTAGTTTTTGAGTTAGTCAAAAAAGTATTAAGGGGGGGGGGGGACTTCAGTCTATTATTTTTTTCTGGAATAACATAATAATGTTTAGCATTTTACTCATACTTGAACAAAGCAGCAAAGAGTAAAAAACCACTAATCAGTGAGATTCCCAAAGCCAGTGGAAACTTTGACAAGCAAACTTCGGATCCAACAAGAAAATCTGATCTGCACAAGACTCTTGGAAGGATAATTATTTGAAGGATTATTTGTTTGATGACGGATAACTCATTTGAGTTATTTACGCCACTCACCAATCACAGTGATGAACATATCGCATGTGTTATTATTCATGGCATTGTCACTGATGATGTACTGCAGTAAATGTTGACCAGTAGCCAAGTTGAGGGTAACACTGTCGCCGACCATGTATGTAGAACCAGCAACGTCGATGGTGATGACATATGATCCCGAGTTGTCAGAAGCAGAGGCTGCATCAGGTAGTGCAACTATGACATCATCTGCATTGAGATCCGTGGAATTCGTTTGATTCTCCGGGCAGATAATCATCGGAGGCTCAAGATCTGAAAAATCAAAACCAAATCTATCATCTCATTTTCCGTTGTTATGTGTAATTAAATGTGCGTTTGCGGTAAAACAGTTTGGGACTGTCAACATAACAACATGCACATTGTCCAATACAAATTACATGAGTGTGTTAAAACAAAGGAATGCATTGTAATTATCATTGTAGCTCAAGAAAATTCAGATTCAAGAGTGCTTCGTGTTACAGATAATGAATTTTTTTTTAAATTTTGCATTAAAGGTGTTTGTTGCCATAATTTGCAATAACAACGGAGTTCCTCGGGTTTTTTTTCTCCGGAATTCTGAAAACTAGTATCAACGTACCTAGAACATTAACAGTGAAGGAACACGAGCCAAGGTTGAAACTGGAGTCGGTGGCATTCACAGTGACTGTGGTTAATCCAAATGGAAACTGATCTCCTGAGTTGTGGCTCAGCGTTGGTGTGATGGATTCACCAGAGTTATCAGTCACGTTGGGAGCATGCCACATCACGGTGGCATAGTTCTGTCCCAGGTCTGTATCGACTTCAATGTCCATAGGGCAGTCTACCACAGGGTCCTCATCATCTGATTGCATGAAAGACAAAACAATTTAAATGAATTGCTCAAACTCACACTGTGATGCGATAAGAGGATTCAGGCGACACCATCACGGGACTTGGTTGCCGCCCTCCACTCTTCCCTATACAACATTAGGGTCTTCAGCTTCCCCCTGTCACTGAGACCAACGTCCCGTCGCAGCGTGTCAATGTACGCCACTTGCCTCTGCCCCCTCCTGGCAGTCCATTGAGTCGGCTGCAAGCACGGGTGGCAGACACTATGGCCTGCCGGGCCATCCTTCTCTCCCTGATCTTGTCTGAGATATCTCACACTTCTTGACACTCAGTGTGAAGAAAGACAGTTGTCAGTTTAATAAGTGTCATTGTAACTCTTGCTTAGTGTGACCGTACCAAATTACAAGAAACTTGATGCTGAAGTTTCAGAGGATCGAAGATTAAGACCCTAGTTTTATAATGAGGAGTCTTGAAAGACATCGGACAAGGGCAGAGGAAAGAAACAGTAGCATAACTAGGGGGATGCAGAGTGGCAGATTCCAACGGGATGGACATTTCAAAAGCAAAATCGGGACTGCAATAGAACAAATTGAAAGTGGGACTAGTGAAAGTGGTAAACAGGATGACAAGGAAATTTTGCAACTCAACATTTTCTGTTAACTGCCCTTTTTCACAAGTTACGCTACTGTTTCAAGCCCCGCCCCCAACTTTCTTAATTTACAGAGGCAGGGTGTTTGGTGAAGAAAACCTGAGTATCTTTCGGCACAGCTATGCCCTTTTCTCACCACTGCAACGTGCAAACTAAACCATGGTTACCTGCCTGTATGGAAATGCCTTGTAAAATAAACCATATTATCGATTGTAGTATTTGGTTTGAAAATTATACTCAAAGTGACTTGAAGCATTTGTGGATTGGATAAAAGAGGAAAAAGATTTAGCGACTTTTTTACCTTCAACTGTTACCACAAAGGTACAATAGGCACTGTTGCCGCTTTCATCCGTAGCATTAAACCGCACTGTAGTATCACCAATGGGTAAGCTTGAACCAGATACTGGATCATCTACAGGTTGAATGGGCAGCATGGAGTTATCCATGACAGTGGCTAGCTCCCAGGTTACATTGGCTGTGGCTAAGCCATCATCAGTAGGAACTGTCTTTGCCGCTGGACATGTGATCCTTGGATCTTCATCATCTGGATTCAAATGGGATACAAGATCAGGAATGGCGTAAATGAGAATTCGTTTGCCATGGGTACCTTGGGAATAGTTCGTTCTCGTAGGTCAATACCTCCTCCAAAAGCTCCCATGAACTGAGAGTTATAACTTCACCAGGGATGTTGGACACGTTCTATCATGGGGTGTCTTTTCACACGATTACATTGTAAGATTCTGCAAGCATTAGAGAAGTTTTCAAGCACTGTAACTTATTATTATTTAGTTCTTTATAATATTTGTTGAATTTTTTTTGGGTGTTGTGGAAAAAAGGGCTTCAACCAGTTCGCACCAAAGGCCGTGTATACACGCAAAAGTTTTGCAGCATTTGGAACGGATCACAGATAATCATGCAGGGAGCGAGGCCGGAAATATCTGTCAGTGACCCGCTCGCAGCGAACGAGGCCGGAAATACGAGAGTGCTGCTTCATTCCAATCTTGCTGAAATAATACCCACACGAGATGGTAAATTTTATTACAAGATAATAACGCTCTTGTCATCTAACAGCTAGGGCTCTGAGGATAATTCCTTGAACTGTGATTCGGTACGTCTCAACTTCAAAGAGGGCTGATGGCAAAATGACTACTTCAGAGAAAGTTGTACACTTTCACTTGCTCTGAAACGCAGTTATAAACTTCGGGTTGTTACTAGCATTACTGTTTGATGCAGGTGATATTGATGATGAAAATAAGGACTCCAATCCTAAAGAATTAGCGGTTTGTCTAGCTGGAAAATGAGCACCATTTCCCTCATACTCGAATAAAGCAGCAAAAGGTAAACATCCAGTAATCAGTGTGATTCCTAAAGCCAGTTTTACAAGCAAGCTTCGGATCCAACAAGAAATCTGATCTGAAGAAGTCTCTTGGAAGGATTGTTAGTTGAAAGATTATTTGTTTGATGACGGATAACTCATTTGAGTTATTTTCGTCACTCACCAATCACAGTGATGAACATATCGCATGTGTTATTATTCAAGGCATTGTCACTGATGATGTACTGCAGTAAATGTTGACCAGTAGCCAAGTCGAGGGTAACACTGTTGCCGACCATGTATGTAGAACCAGCAACGTCGATGGTGATGACATATGATCCCGAGTTGTCAGAAGCAGAGGCTGCATCAGGTAGTGCAACCGTGACATGATTTACATTCAGATCTGTGGAATTCGTTTGATTCTCCGGGCAGATAATCATCGGAGGCTCAAGATCTGAAAAATCAAAACCAAATCTATCATCTCATTTTCCGTTGTTATGTGTAATTAAATGTGCGTTTGCGGTAAAACAGTTTGGGACTGTCAACATAACAACATGCACATTGTCCAATACAAATTACATGAGTGTGTTAAAACAAAGGAATGCATTGTAATTATCATTGTAGCTCAAGAAAATTCAGATTCAAGAGTGCTTTGTGTTACAGATAATGAATTAAGGTGTTTGTTGCCATAATTTGCAATAACAACGGAGTTCCTCGCTTTTTTTCTCTGGAATTCTGAAAACTTGTATCAACATACCTAGAACATTAACAGTGAAGGAACACGAGCCATTGTTTAAACTGGAGTCGGTGGCATTGACAGTGACTGTGGTTAATCCAAATGGAAACTGATCTCCTGAGTTGTGGCTCAGCGTTGGTGTGATGGATTCACCAGAGTTATCAGTCACGTTGGGAGCATACCACATCACGGTGGCGTAGTTCTGTCCCAGGTCTGTATCGACTTCAATGTCCATAGGGCAGTCTACCACAGGGTCCTCATCATCTGATTTGAATGAAAGACAAAACAATTTAAATGAATTGCACAAACTCACACTGTGATGCGATAAGAGGATTCAGGCGACACCATCTCGGGACTTGGTTGCCACCCTCCACTCTTCCCTATACAATATTAGGGTCTTCAGCTTCCCCCTGTCACTGAGACCAATGTCCCGTCGCAGCGTGTCAATGTACGCCACTCGCCTCCGCCCCCTCCTGGCAGACACTATGGCCTGCCAAGGCCATCCTTCTCTCCCTGATCTTGTCTGAGATATCTCACACTTCTTGATACTCAGTGTGAAGAAAGACAGTTGTCAGTTTAATAAGTGTCATTGTAACTCTTGCTTAGTGTGACCGTACCAAATTACAAGAAAGTTGATGCTGAAGCTTCCGAGGATTGGAGATCAAGACCCTAGTTTTATAATGAGGAGTCTTGAAAGACATCGGACAAGGGCAGAGGAAAGAAACAGTAGCATAACTAGGGGGATGCAGAGTGGCAGATTCCAACGGGATGGAGATTTCAAAAGCAAAGTCAGGACTGCAATAGAACAAATTGAAAGTGGGACTAGTGAAAGTGGTAAACAGGATGACAAGTCTATTTTGCAACTCAACATTTTCTGTTAACTGCCCTTTTTCACAAGTTTCCTTTCACACGAGCGCCCTTTTTTCACGAGTGCCTTGTTTACGTCCCGCAAATGTGGTACCGTGTGTGAAGAGCGCCATCTATTGTCCGAAGGTTTCTGATTTGAACAGCGCCTCCACTGGAAGGTGTCAAGCCCCGCCCCCAACTTTCTTAATTTACAGAGGCAGGGTGTTTGGTGAAGAAAACCTGAGTATCTTTCGGCACAGCTATGCCCTTTTCTCACCACTGCAACGGGCAAACTAAACCATGGTTACGTGCCTGTATAGAAATGCCTTGTAAAATAAACCACATTATCGATTGTAGTATTTGGTTTGAAAATTATACTCAAAGTGACTTGAAGCATTTGTGTATTGGATAAAAGAGGAAAAAGATTTAGCGACTTTTTTACCTTCAACTGTTACCACAAAGGTACAATAGGCACTGTTGCCGCTTTCATCCGTAGCATTAAACCGCACTGTAGTATCACCAATGGGTAAGATTGAACCAGATACTGGATCGTCTACAGGTGTAATGGGCAGCATGGAGTTATCCACGACAGTGGCTCGCGCCCAGAATACATTGGCTGTGGCTAAGCCATCACCAGTAGGAACTGTCTTTGCCGCTGGACATGTGATCCTTGGATCTTCATCATCTGGATTCAAATGGGATACAAGATCAGGAATGGCGTAAATGAGACTTCGTTTGTCATGGGTACCTTGCGAATAGTTCGTTCTCGTAGGTCAATACCTCCTCCAAAAGCTCCCATGAACTGAGAGTTATAACTTCACCAGGGATGTTGGTCATGTTCTATCATGGGGTGTCTTTTCACATGATTACATTGTAAGATTCTGCAAGCATTAGAGAAGTTTTCAAGCACTGTAACTTATTATTATATTTCTTTATAATATTTGTTGAAATTTTCTTGGGTGTTGTGGAAAAAAGGGCTTAAACCAGTTCGCGCCGGAGGCCGTGTATACACGCAAAAGTTTTGCGGCATTTGGAACGGATCACAGATAATCACGCAGGGAGCGAGGCCGGAAATATCTGTCAGCGACCCGCTCACAGCGAGCGAGGCCAGAAATATGAGTGTGCTGCCTCGTTCCAATCTTGCTAAAATAATACCCACATGAGATGGTAAATTTTATTAAGGGAATAAATGTGTGCTCCGGAGGTTTTTATCACTCGTTTACTACCGCTTAGAGTCTGGGTGCTGATAATTACCCGAGCCGGAGGCGAGGGTAATTATCAGCACCCAGACTCTAAGCGGTATTAAACAGAGTGATAAATACCGACTGAGCACATATTTATTCCCATTCATAAATACCTTATCCGTAAAAAAATATCAAATAATTCGTTCAAAAAATCCCGATTTTGTTCAACAAGTTCACTTCATGCTTTTTGAAACATCCCTCTAGCAAAATAATGGAGTGTTCAGCTGGCGAGTAAGATGTAAACAACCCTTTTATGGAGATTGACGCGCGCGTAGCATGTTCTGCGCGATGTCACGCAGAATGCACCTGGGGCGTTGCGTTTTGAATTTAGAACTATAAAATTCTGTCTCGCTTGTAGTGTTGCGCATGCCTACATGAGGATTGTGAACGTTCAACCAATGAAACGGTAAGAGGCACTGGATTTTTAGGATTCCATATTTTATAGTGACACTGGAAAAGTGTGTAGACCAGCTAGCCATGTCTTTATCATCCGTTTAAGACCGGCCACGTGACGGGCTCTCGACCAATAGGAATAGCTAAACTGTCTGAGGTATTTATGAATACAAGATAATAATGCTCTTGTCATCTAACAGCTAGTGCTCTGAGGATAATTCCTTGAACTGTGATTCGGTACGTCTCAACTTCAAAGAGGGCTGCTGGCAAAATGACTACTTCAGAGAAAGCTTGTACACTTTCACTTGCTCTGAAATGCAGTTATAAACTTCGGGTTGTTACTAGCATTACAGTTTGATGTAGGTGATATTGATGATGAAAATAAGGACCCCAATCCTAAAGAATTAGCGGTTTGTCTAGCTGGAAAATGAGCACCATTTCCCTCATACTCGAATAAAGCAGCAAAAGGTAAACATCCAGTAATCAGTGCGATTCCTAATGCCAGTGAAAAGTTTTACAAGCAAGATTCTGATCTAACAAGAAAATCTGATCTGCACAAGACTCTTGGAAGGATTATTATTTGAAGGATTATCCGTTTGATGATGGATAACTCATTTGAGTTATTTTCGTCACTCACCAATCACAGTGATGAACATATCGCATGTGTTATTATTCAAGGCATTGTCACTGATGATGTACTGCAGTAAATGTTGACCAGTAGCCAAGTCGAGGGTAACACTGTCGCCGACCATGTGTGTAGTACCAGCAACGTCGATGGTGATGACATATGATCCCGAGTTGTCAGAAGCAGAGGCTGCATCAGGTAGTGCAACTACGACATCATCTGCACTGAGATCCGTGGAATTCGTTTGATTGTCCGGGCAGATAATCATCGGAGGCTCAAGATCTGAAAAACAGAAACCAAATATACCATCTCATTTTCAAATGTTATATTTAATCAACCCTCCTGCTATTTGAACAGTCACAGACAGTCAATATTTCCATCCACTTTCCCCTGCTATACTTTAAAAACAGGCAAGTTGCTAAGCAATGGGGGCCATGCCCCCCCCAAAAAAAAAAAATAGCAAAATACCATTTTTTCTCTAAAAAAAAAATGGTAAAAGTGGTCAGAAACTGCCTCAGATCGCACCACAGAACATCTAAAATTTAAAGAAATGTGGGCCCACTTTTTGGGTGACCACATTTTTTTAGCACCCCCCCCCCAACAAAATGTGTCCTGGATCCGCTCTTGTTCTCTACTCAACTTTAAATTATTATGATGCACCTAGTATGTTTCCTTTTGTGGTTTATATTTAACCAGTCTGTGCCGGGATTATTTTAACCGAAAAATTTTGATTTTTGAAAAATGCAAGATGCAGCAGCCACTTTTTGATTCCCACTGGATGGGATGCTAGTCCATCGCAGGTTTCTCCCCAGCTAATGCTGGTACCCATTTATGCTCCTGGGTGGAGAGAGGAAAGTGGGGACGAAGTGGCTTGCCCAAGGACACAACGTATGGCCCACAGTTGGATTCGAACCCCTGATCCTCTGATCATGAGTCACGAACCCTAACCGCATATGAATTTTATTGAGCTACAACGACAATTATCGTTGTAGCTTAATAAGGGAATAAATGTGTGCTCGAGAGGTTTTTATCACTCTGTTTAATACCGCTTAGAGTCTGGGTGCTGATAATTACCCGAGCCGGAGGCGAGGGTAATTATCAGCACCCAGACTCTAAGCGGTATTAAACAGAGTGATAAATACCGACCGAGCACATATTTATTCCCATTCATAAATACCTTATCCGTAAAAAAAATCAAATAATTCGTTCAAAAAATCCCGATTTTGTTCAACAAGTTCACTTCATGCTTTTTGAAACATCCCTCTAGCAAAATAATGGAGTATTCAGCTGGCGATTAAGATGTAAACAACCCTTTTATGGAGATTGGCGGCGCGCGTAGCATGTTCTGCGCGATGTCACGCAGAACGCACCTGGGGCGTTGCGTTTTGAATTTAGAACTATAAAATTCTGACTCGCATGTAGTGTTGCGCATGCCTACGTGAGGATTGTGAACGTTCAACCAATGAAACGGTTAGAGGCACTGGATTTTTAGGAGTCCACATTTTGTTGTGACACTGGAAAAGTGTTTAAGACCAGCTAGCCATGTCTTTATCATCTGTTTAAGACCGGCCACGTGACGGGCTCTCGACCAATAGGAATAGCTAAACTGTCTGAGGTATTTATGAATAACATTTATATTCCAGAGGGCTTTGTGTTACAGACAATGAAGGTTTTTAAATTTTGTATGACAGATGTTCATTGCCATAGTTTTCAATAACAACAGATTTCGTCTCTTCCTCTTCTCTGGAATTCTAAAAACTAGTATCAACGTACCTAGAACATTAACAGTGAAGGCACACGAGCCAAGGTTGAAACTGGAGTCGGTGGCATTCACAGTGACTGTGGTTAATCCAAATGGAAACTGATCTCCTGAGTCGTGGCTCAGCGTTGGTGTGATGGATTCACCAGAGTTATCAGTCACGTTGGGAGCAGACCACATCACGGTGGCGTAGTTCTGTCCAGGGTCTGCTTCGACTTCAATGTCCATAGGACAGTCTACTACAGGGTCCTCATCATCTGATTGAATGAAAGATAATTAGCAACTGAAATGAATTGCTGTAAAATAAGAACTTTAACAGCCAGACAAAGGTTATGGTGATAGTGTATGCGATGGAAGCATCGTGGCCAGCCGTGATAGATCTATTTGTTGGATTGAAGAAGATACCAGGCTATTACCGGTACTTCAAATCTTTGAGCGGTAGATAGCACAAAATGGTTGTTTTTTTATTGTGGTTTAACAAGCAACGATGTTTTAGAATTGGGACCGCCACAATAAATTGCATTACAGGTCAAGCAATAAAGTATTTGAGGCTAGTGTGTAAAGAAGACTGCTCCAAGTCCATATTTGTCCTTGCAATTTGGGCGATTCACAATGCAGTGCGCCACCAAGAGTTTGCTATGGAGAGTCCTTTTTCAAGTTTACGTTCGACAAAACATGGCAGATTTGAACGAGTGTCAGTAGACAACTTGAGCGAATTTGATACAGATTGGGGCATAGCATTCTGCCACCCTACAAAAAAAAAACCACAGTATTGAAAAAATGCAAAGAAAAGGGCAAACAGATCCTCGAATCCTTCGCATAAGAAACTACCGACGGGGAAACGAACAATTGCAAATGTCCCGCACTACGAATTTGTCAACCACGTTCCACAATGCACTCATAAAAAATGAACTCTTCGTGGCAAACTCTTAGTGTCGCACTGCATTGTGAATCACCCGAATTCTTTCTTAGTGTGAAAAAACAAAGTTACAAGATACTTGACCATGAATTTTCAGGGGTTGGAGGTTAAGACTAGTTTCATAACAACGAGTCTTGAAAGACTTGGAAAGAAGGTGGGTATAGAAATACCTGCAAAAAAAACCAGATTATTGATTTAAGTATTTGGTATGAACAACAAACTCAAAGTGACTTGAAGCATTTGCAGATTTGATAAAAGAGGAACAAAGTTGAGTGATTTTTTTACCTCCGACTGTTACCACAAATGTACACGAGGCAGTGTTGCCGCTTTCATCCGTAGCATTAAACTGCACTGTAGTATCACCAATGGGTAAGATTGAACCAGACACTGGATCATCTACAGGTGTAATGGGCAGCATGGAGTTATCCACGACAGTGGCTAGCTCCCAGGTTACATTGGCTGTGGCTAAGCCAGCATCATTACCAACTGTCACTGCCGCTGGACATGTGATCATTGGATCTTCATCATCTGGAATTCAAATGGGATACAAGAGGAGAATGAGACATTGTAAAACTTCCTTTTTGACCATATGTATCCCCTCTACAAAGCAGTGCGAAAGAGAAAAAGGAGTTATCACGTTGTACAACCAGTGCCGCAGAAAAGACGCTAGTATTGTGCACATTACTGCTGTAAAAACCACATGCTTGTACCATCTTTAGTTCAAAACCTATGGAATTTGGAACACCACGAAATGTGATTAATTGATGTGATGAAGTGGTCCTATTTTGGCCTGAATTTCCAAATGAAAATTCCTGACAAACGACTCATTTAGCCTGATCGCATCACATATGTGCATGGATCAGTACACACATGCAAGCTGTACTGTCTGCCATGTGCCAAACGTACGAGACTATATGATCAACTCAAAAGTTCTTAGTGTTTACCTACTTCCAAAAAAATTTAAAAGCCGAAAAAAAGTAAGCGTTATATCTATAACTTTTTGAAGTGCATTCAGATTTCATAAACAACATTATTTCAAGGTCTTAGTCTGAATCTATTTCACTTTACTCAAATTTAAGGAAGTCAAATGAAAACAACAAATACCTAAGCAACACGTCAAAAAGTAGGGTTTTTTTCATAGAGCTATATTAAATTACTAGAGCGCTAACTCCTCATTCTGCGCGCGGAGACGCTTTGAAGCCGTCGTGGGCGCAGACATTTTTAATTCATGTGGGTGTTCGTAGAACGTAATGAAATTAGATGGATTGAATTTTGAAAGTGTACTCTACATGCAACGCGCAAGTAGAACATACGCAAACAACTTAAGCACGTCATTGACGGTTCAAAAACATTACGGCAAAAAGCATCTGCAGCGAATACGCGCACGCGTTGCGCTGTTTGCATAGAGCAAAATGACACGCTCATTTGCTGATCGTGCATTTCGGTTTTGGGCGTATATTGGCTTCCATAACGCACCGGTTTGGAATACAAACGCAGATATGCAAATAGCCGTACAAAAGCCGTACAAAAGCCGTACAAAATTTCTAGGTCTCCATAGGTTTGTGCACAAACATGGATGCGCCCAGCAGGCACTACTTTGTACACAAAGTTAGCGTGCTAGTAATTTAATATAGCTCTATGGTTTTTTCTAAGTCTTTGTTCTAAATTCAAGGACACATATAAGGTTATCCCCCAAAAGTGTCACCTATCCAAATAGTACCAAGGTTGGCACAGTCACAAGAATAATCAGAAAAGGATCACCTACCAATCACAGTAACGAACATATCGCACACTTCACTGTTATTGTAAAAGTCAGTTGCAGTGTACTGCAACAGATGCACACCGGTAGCCAGGCTCAGCGTTACATTGTCACCAATGTCATACTGGGCACCAGCGACATCAATGGAGACAGTGAAGTTCTCAGTGTTGTCAACACTAGAGTCTAGATCCGGTAAGACAAATGTAGCCACAGCTGCACCGCCATCAGTGGCAACTGTCTCATTGGCAGGACAGGTGATGTTGGGAGTTTCGTTATCTGTGTAAACAGGATGAAACATTGGACAATGGAGAAATATGATTTGATGATCTGATACTTGAACAAGTTCGATCGGATTTTGGAAGCTGAGCATATGGAGAACTAGGGAGCATTTGCTCACTTGCCACTATAGTGCAGCTCTGTTTACGTGGGAAGACTGGCTCATGTCTAGGCGCTCTGAGCAAACTTTCGTTAAGATGCGGAAAGTGTGTCGGTTAAACGTACTCCCTCGCATTGCATCACAAAATATAGATTTTCCTCTTTCACATGAATGCAATATCTTCATGATTAAAGGCGAATAATTATGTGCACTTTTCCATTGAAAAACGGGCAACTCAGTGAAAATTTCGCGTTTCCTATGGAGGTCACGGCACATTTCCCCGATTTTTGAGGGTGCGGGTTTACTTCTTCGAACAGCACACGTGTGAACCCGGTCGCATACAATTACTTCGCATGATTTCTGAAAGAGAACACAATAAGCTTCCCTTTCATGTTACAACCATTTTGATTGGTTGAGAAGAAAAAGGGGCACTTTTCTTGTCAAATCAGACATCGCTTTTGTTCTGAGGATCGACCTGCGCTGTTTATGTATAATCCGGTCTACGCAATGGGGCTGTGAAGGTCTCCGAGTCAATGCACCTTTGTGTGTGACCGCAGAGCATGCAGGGCTTCGATTTTGTGCACATATGGGTGGCAAAGTTCTCCATATGGGCCAACAAGTTCGTGTTCACCTTACTTGACGTGTTGACCTTAGACCCCATAGCTACAGGTCAAATAAAGAGGTCACCATAAACATTTTTTAATGTTTGGCCAAGGCCAGCATGTTGACATGCATCGCAATACTGTTGTTATTTAAGCCTCTTTGAAATTTAACCTTTTTTGACCTTTGACCCCACAACTGTAAGTCAGCCGATCACCATGGACATTTTTTAATGTTTGACCAAGGCCAACATGTTGACAGCGCTACTTTTGGCATTTGAGCTTCTTTGAAATTTGAGGCTATTTTGACCTTGACCTACTTTTGTCTTTGAGCTTCTCTGAAATGTGATGTTATTTTGACCTATGTCCTTTGAACCTAGTTCGGTCATGTGACATGTTGGGGCTGGGCTACTGATATTTTTGACAAAGTTTGGTTAAAATCAGTCAAAGTATGTAGGAGCAATAGACAATGTCAACATTTGTTACGAACTATGTACAAAGTTAACTAACAAATGGACAAACAGAGAGACAAGATGATTTGTTGCGCTGCTACCCGCAGCTAAAAAATAATTACAAAAATTTACAAAGTTTTAAGCCGCTGTACGACGACTAAAAGGAAGAATGTCTTTGTAATACGCAACTGTGATCTCATTTTGAGTCACATTAACAGTAACTCCGTAAGAAAAATTACAGATCTGACAACAGCATACATCATGACAAAACGTAAATTGTGACTTACCCTCAACAGTGATAATTAAAGTGCATACGTCTGTCAACCTCTCATCAGATGAGTCAGTAGCCACACAAATAGCTTGGTGCATGCCGACACCGAGTACTTGCCCAGAAGTCTCAACATAGAAACAATTGGTATTCATCACTCCAACATTGTCAGTGGCAGGGGGTTCATCATAAGTCACATAGGCAGTTGGTAAGCCAGGGGATGTTGAAAATGTGAGATCTGTGCAGTTTATTGATGGAGGCTCCATATCTGTAATTGAACAACCAAATTAGAAACTTTCAAAAAATGGAAATACAGTTCTCTTACTATCGTTTCAGACTGGTGTTCTGGAGTCACACTAAACCACATTAATCCTAAGATTTTAATGAAGTTCGAACGACTTCTGAAATAATTGAGAGCGACTACATGCAAATATTCTTAAGAAATTATCACTTTTTATCATTGTGTAGTTTCTTTAAATAAGGCGATCACGAAAATTTATTACTGATCAAAATATGATAATTTTTTTTAAATTTTCAAATGAAGCACACAGGGAAACTGACTAGGTGAATTGTAAAAAATTAAAAGTTGAACAAAGAAATTGACTGGAGAGGAGCTTGAACCTGCGACCTCCGGATAATCGTTCCGGTGCTCTACCAACTGAGCTATCCAGCCCTATGTTGGTGGCTCCCTAATTAGTCAATATCTTTGTTCAAGGGGCGCTAGTCAGAAGCCATAAACCAGTATGCCATACAGCCAGGGATCACGCCCCAAGTCACAATACAGACCTTAGAAATAGCAAACAGCGATCACTCGGAGAGGATACAGCTTTTTATTACAAATTTTCAAATGAACCACGAAGGAAAACTGGAAGAGTTGACAAATTACGCTACCTTCAACTGTTACCACAAAGGTACAATAGGCACTGTTGCCGCTTTCATCCGTAGCATTAAACCGCACTGTAGTATCACCAATGGGTAAGATTGAACCAGATACTGGATCGTCTACAGGTGTAATGGGCAGCATGGAGTTATCCACGACAGTGGCTAGCTCCCAGGTTACATTGGCTGTGGCTAAGCCAGCATCAGTAGGAACTGTCATTGCCGCTGGACATGTGATCCTTGGATCTTCATCATCTGGAATTCAAATGGGACACAAGAGGAGAATTAGACATTGTGAAACTTCCCTACAAGTTCTCATACATTTTTCCACCCCAAGTAGCGAGAAAGACAAAAGGGATGGACATGTACATGAAATCCTTTTCGTGTACCAGTTCCGCAACAAGCTCAGGATGCTACAGTTTCGTGCAAATTTAGATGAACGTTCATAGGTTGTGTGCATCATATGTGCATGGATCAAAAGGCACAGATCAGGCTGCACAGTATTGAGAATCCCAATTTGTGGACTACGCACATGCAGGCTGTATGTTTGGCATGTTTCAAACTCACAAGACTAGATGGTCAACTGGAATACGCACAAAGCGCCTTTTTTTTTTATCCCCCCCAAACGCAATAGTTTCAACCCCCCCTCCCTGTATGTATATGCATTCCATAAATTAATACAAGACAGATGCAATACACTGTACATTTCCACAGTACATACTGAACATGTACTGTACATGCACATTACTAAGCATTACGAATGTGCTACAGTTGCCCGCTATAATACATTTTGTAGCAAGTCACAACTAGCCCATCGTTGAGGTAAAGCAACTCACAGAACTACAACCTAATAGCTTTGGGCTCTTTAATAAAAGGTGATCTTTACAAGGATTATCGATTAGGATTTCTTGATAATACGGATATATAGTACAATCATTAATATGTCACCTACCAATCACAGTGACGTACATCTCGCATGTATCGTTATTCAAGGCATTGTCTGTGATGATGTACTGCAGTAAATGTTGACCAGTAGCCAAGTCAAGGGAAACGCTGTCACCAACGCTGTATATAGAACCAGCAACATCAATGGTGATGACATATGATCCCGAGTTGTCAGAAGCAGAGGCTGCATCAGGTAGTGCAAGGCTGACATGATTTACATTCAGATCTGTGGATCTCGTTTGATTGTCCGGGCAGGTAATCATCGGAGGCTCAGGATCTGCAAACAACAGAGAAATAAATCTCATTCCTAGCTGTTATACTCAACCAAACATCTGCTGGTGTCAACATCCAGAGACATCAAAGAGGTTCTTTTCTATGATGAATCTTACTTTGAAATCATAATTTCTAGTTCAAAGGCAATGTCAAGGTTTCCATGCAAAAGACCCAAAAAAAATTTCTTGCCATCTCACAAGTTTAGACATCCTTAAAAACAGGCCTGTCATCCAAGTTGCATGACAGGAGTTTTAAAGTAAGGACTTAGGGAAGGAATACTGCATCCCAACGCCATTTTTTCATCATATAATATCTCAATGGAGGTCAGTCTTTGCAAAAATGTTGTAAAAAACCTGAATCTGGAACTGAGAAACATTTCCAATGTAGTGTGACCAGGCACTTTGGTGCATTGCCCCTTTAAGACTAGTTTAGCTCAGAGGTACAAGGAGGACCCACTGGTTGCCCTAGCAACAGCCACCCACTGAGGCTCCTAGGCCCTGCAACGTGGTCAGTGTGAACAGTCTGAACTATCAGCATTTCATTCGTAGCCATCATCGTGCAAGCATCCCACTACATGTATTCTCAAGCTTCAGTCCTAGTCAAGAGCTCAGTGTTCTTGTCACATCCTTGTACTACTTACCCATCAACCCATTTTCCTGCCGTTAAATAAACTTGTATAAAGAACCAATATCCGGGTCACATTAGTAAAAACTTTGAAAATGCACTCAACTCTCCATAGACTTTGAACACAACCAAACAAGTGGCCTTATCAGGATACTACATTCTTTCTGAATTTGTTTCAAATTCATAAGTTTTCAGTATCTTCTATTCGGTTCGTTAGTGACTTTGTCATAACACACACACCACTGATTAAAAGGGCCCATTAGCTAAACACTCAAGTTGCATCAACTTCCATTTGGGTCATTCCACCGGGTTGGGACACAATGTGTGACATATGACCATATTATGAAAAGTATGAATGCCTTGCTTGCAGTTGCTCTACATAATATTGGTTGTTGGGTGTTCCACTGGTGCAGAAAGTTTCAAATCATTTGAATGTATATTGCCAAAAATATGAGCAAAAATGTCATTCAGACGTAACATTGACACTGTGTTCATGTTACATCCAAATATTTTATTTGTACCAATTTTTTTTAATTTCTGTAAAACTTTACCCAAATTCACTTTATGTACTTATTACACTACATGCAACACACTAAGAAAAGCTTTTGTTATGGTAGTCAGGTATCAAATGGAGCAGAAATGATAGCTTGGTAGTGGATGTAACATGGACACCGTGTCAACCCCAAATGTCACACTTCCATTGGGTGATTTGGACACTGTTACGTCAACATTAAGGTATCATTTCTGTTACATTTGAACCCTGACTGTACCAAAACAAAAGCTTTTCTTGGTGCATTAGGTGTCCTGTTATATATGCAATGTCAGTTTGGGTAATATTTTACATATATGTGTAAAAAAACGGCAAACAAAGAATATTTGGATGTAACAATGACATGGTGTCCGTGTTACGTCCGAATAATACATTTTTGCTCATATTTTTTTCAAAGTACATTCAAATGATTTCAAACTTTCTCAAGTATTGAAACACCCTTAGACAAATATTATGTTGCGCAATTGTTTAGAATGCATTGATACTTTTAAGAATATGACCAAATTTATGGATGTAACATGCACTGTGTCCCAACCTGGTGGAATGACCCATTTCCATTCGTGCTATGCCACACTGTGTGAAGTACGCATGGTTAAGGTGAGATCACGTAACACTAACAAATCAGATTCATTTATCACTATGTCATGAGAATGCATCTCGAAAAATATTCCAAGGACTTCATTGAATTGATAATTATAAGGTTGAAGATTTGACCAATGCTCATGTGCAACTTTAAACCAATTTTCTACATTTGTCTTACAATTCACTTCAGATTTCGAAAACATAGTATCAATATACCTAGAACATAAACAGTGAAGGCACACGAGCCAACGTTGAAACTGGAGTCGGTGGCATTCACAGTGACTGTGGTTAATCCAAATGGAAACTGATCTCCTGAGTTGTGGCTCAGCGTTGGTGTGATGGATTCACCAGAGTTATCAGTCACGTTGGGAGCATGCCACATCACGGTGGAGTAGTTCTGTCCCAGGTCTGCATCGACTTCAATGTTCATAGGGCAGTCTACCACAGGGTCCTCATCATCTGATTGATTGAATGAAAGACATACCTGATTTAATCTGAGACGCCAATTCAGATAAAAGTATTGTGATGATAAACACCTGTTCTGGACCTGGCCTAGTATTAGGAACAGTTCACTCAGATCGACCATTAAGAGAGTTTGAGTTTCACACTGGTAAACTTTGTGTATTAATTTTTCATTGACTACAGACTCTGGAGTTGGTCTGAATGACTGCACGCGACAGACACACAGAAGTGAAGAAAACTTATGATGCTTTCAATATATTTTGAACACAGTTTTCAGAGAGGAAGGATCAAAGGCCACTGTTTTACACATCACCTTCAACTCAATGCATTGACAATAGTCACATCCATCCTTGGTCATGATTAAAAGAATACGTGTTTAAAATGGGCTTGAGCCTGGACACCGATAATGGCCCGAGCCGAAGGCGAGGGTCATTATCGGTGGTCAGGCCCCAAGCTGGTTTTAAACATAGTGGTTTAAAACTGGCCAAGCACATTATTCCCCTTTGCATATCCTTGCGGTCAAAAAATTGCAAAAGTCAAAAATGTTTAATTTCTAACAATTTGTTCAACAAGTTTACTTCACATTTTGTGAAACACCACACTAGCTTGTAACGTTAATGGTATGTGCCTCTTGCGAGTAGTACTAAAAATCTCCTTGGATATTGGGATGCAAGTGGCATGTACTACGCGATGTGGCGCAGAATGCAGCGGTGCCGGTAGAGTGTGAATTTAGGACTCTATGAAATATGGACTCATTGGTAGTATTACGCATGCCTCAGTGAAAATGGTGAACGTTCAACCAATAACAGAGTAAAAGGGACCAGATTTTGTAGGAGTCCAAATTCATGTGACACTAGAAAAAAAAGTCTTTGAAACCACTTGTTTTATCAACCGTTTAAACCACCCACGTGACGGACTCTCAACCAATAATGGGTAAACTGTCTGAAGTATTTATGACTGCAAAACTCCTCTTAAAGCTACGTATACAGTCCATCATTTGCAGGTATCCAAAAAGTAACTGACAATTATTGTTGAAAATCATACTAGGTCGAAAGACAGTACACTCCCTGTGAAATTATTCTTTCTGGCAAGCTGTCATTTTGAAGAAATCAACAAAAGAAGGCCTGTTAGAAATTTCCGCTAATAGTTCGTTTTTTTTATTCAGCGAAGGGCGCACAAGCGTTGACACGAAGCACACGAGTGCACGGTTGCTATAATTCGTCGGTTCAGTGCGCAACATCGCGTAGCTGCATTCGGCTCAGTGAGAACGTGTCTCGAAATTGAAATTCAGGCCCAATGCAAAACATGATTCAGCAACTTTTGATTTGAAATCGAGATCCCAGAATGTTGTTTTTCTCTGAAACTTCATCAGGTTAGTTGTTCAGCACCTTTCTTTAGACTTTGAGCACATCTGTTGCTTCAAACAAACAAAATGCACAAATTACAAATGATGGACTGTACCTTTAATCCCTTCTTAAATTACCTATTACTGTGATGGTGAAAAAGCAATCGTCAGTGTTCCCGCTGTTATCGGTGGCGACAAACTGGACAACAGTATCACCGATATTGAAAGGGGTATCGGATGTGGCATTGGCACTGAATGTGACTGCCAGCATGGAGTTATCAGAGGCAGTAGCATCAGGGAAGGATACATTGGCAGTTGGCAAGCCAAGATCTGTGGTGCTTGAACCCACTGATGGACAGGTGATGGTAGGCGCCTCCTCATCTGAATAAAAACAATACATGGTTTTCAGTTGGTTATAACACCAGCTACGGGGCGAGTCAAAAAAAGTGGAACACAAACCCCAAAAATTAATTTCATATTTAAAAAATACGTAGCATCAAAAACAATACCGACTAGAAAGCCAAGTTCATAAGCTACTTTTAGATGAAAAAAATTCTTAAATTGCTCAATCCAAAGAATATCACCATTTAAACGCAGTCACCCTCAAACCTGTTTTTTCCCCCAAAAAAACCCAATTCGTGTATTTGACTGTTTCGAACAACAAAGAAAATGACACGAAATACTTGTTTCAACAACTGTAGCACACAATATCTATATTAACAACCCTGATTTAAAATCCACTGTTTTTAAAAGAGAGGCCTTCAAAAGGACTAAGTTGTTGAATATGTTTAACTTTTATACTAAAGTTTTATTGCTAGTGATTTTGAAGACAATTGTGATGATGATTCTTGAAATTGCTTTCTTGGACGAAAGAGGTTTTACGGTCATTGTGTTCAAATGGTGATATTGTTTGAACAGATTGTGCAATTTTAGTCATTTTTTCCATCTAAAAGAAGCTTATGAAATTGCCTTTCCAGTAATTATTATATTTATTCATACATATTTATTTAAATATGAAATATAATTGTTGGGGTTTGGGTTCCGCTTTTTTGGACTCACCCTGTGCAACAAGCAAAACTAAATTCTCAACTATCCAGATTTTTTTTTACCCAAATGGCAAGAAACAAACCATTTCCTAAAAAACAAAAGGCTAGACAAATTAGTTCAGGTAAACATTTTGTAAAGGGTACCTACCGACAACGGTGAAGAATGTATAACAACTCTCGCTGTTTCCTGCAGGGTCAGTAACATTGTACTGTAGTGCATATTCCCCAGTCGCAAGATAAAGCGTTACACTCTCCCCCACCGAGTACAGAATGTCAGCGATGGCAATTTTGACATCATATGTTCCCAAGTTGTCGGAGGCCGAGGCCAGATCAGGAAGTGCCAGTGTTACGTTGTCTACACTTGCATTGGTCGGAACGGTCATGTTAGCTGGACACGTGATCACAGGAGGTTCAAGATCTGTCGTTAAAAGAAATGATGCAGAATTACACCCAGTTAGATTCTCGTTCACAAAACTTTCTAGCTTGTGTTCGTACTCTGAAGGGTTTGCTTTGAACTGTTGTAAAGTGTGCCCAAGAAATCAGTTCGTTGTGATGATGCTAGTATTGCGCCCTCAAATATAGCACTCCGCACTAAAGTTAAAAATAGAAACAAGTACTCGGATCTCAGACAAGCATGCTGTACGAACTTCTTGTGTGGAGATTACGTGCACGCTTGCAACACCGTTTCTATGCGAATGTATGTGGCAAGATGTGCATGCATGTTGGAAAAATTGTCTGACCTACGGGGTATACGCGCATACGGCGCGGAGCAAAATTGACATCATTTGTGTGGGGTGCTATATTCAATAATAACATGATTTCCAAGCACACTGCAAGTGGCTCTCTAGTTTGAGATCCACACAACTATCCTTTCAAAACTGGGCGTTTTTGTGTTATTCTTGTGCTATGCGTGCAAGAACGAATTTCAGGGTCCACTTTTGCGACCCCATAAATTTGAGCTGTTTGGATGCTAGTTGTGATTTCATTCGTAAAGTGTTCGCCTTTTGTGGATGTTGAAGAAACACAACGTGTACATGGTACACTGAGAACAACACGAAAAACGTATTTGTACTCCGTCATGTCCGATGTAGCAAGGGTTTTTTTGTCGTTTCTCAGGAACAGTAAGACATTAGGTTGGTCTCCTTTCAACCAGATGTTTGAAATAGGCTAAGGAAACAATCCCAAACCAAATTTTTAGGGATTTCAGGACCATGTGCCCCTTTAACAGCTACACTGTTGAAATACTCACATTTCAAACTAAAATCAAAGAAATTTGGCACAAACTGACCTCGAACGATAACGGTGAAGGAGCACATGCCGGTGTTGTTGTGGGAATCTGTGGCAGTTACCTCCACGGTGTGGTTGCCTATTTCAAATGTGGATCCGGATGCCGAAGACAGCACTGGTTCGATCATCTCACCAGAATTATCCGTGACATTGGGTGCAGACCACAACACCGTGGCATAGCTCTGCTGGGGATCTGTGTCTGTGTCGATGTTGGCTGGGCAATCTATCTCAGGGGCTGTCCCATCTTAATATGGCAAAAAAAATATTGAAAGCTTTCAAGCATTTATGAATTTCAAATTTGAAACAACATAATTAGCATCAACTCAACATGATCAAAGTTGTGTTATATTCAAATGCAAGTACACTCAACCAAAAAAGAAAGTCCCCCTTTCCAATACTTTTTTGTCTAACTCACAAACTACTGAGCACCTCTCGCTCAAATAATGACTAATCAGTACAGAAATTCCTTAAAAATCTAGCCATACTCTTTATTTGGCCCAAAACAGTAATAATGTGTATGAAATTATGCAATTTATGACAAATGATATTGAAAACAGTTGCACTTTTGTATACGTGCAAGTTGTGGTTTGCACTCACCTTGCACGTATACAAAAGTGCAACTGTTTTCGGTAGCATTTGTCAGTTTAGCATTAAGTTGCTATAGCTCGTCAGCTCAGTGCTTGACATCGAGTAGCTGCAATCGGCTGAATGAGAACATGTCCCAGCCACCGATTTCAAGCGCAATTCAAAACATGACTCGGCAAGTTTTGAAATAAAATTAAGATCCTAGAATATTGTTTTCTCGGAATATACAGCATTCAGGGAGCTAAAACTTCATCAGGTTAGTTGTTGAGCACCCTTCTTTAGATTTTGAGCACTTTTGTTGCTTCAAAGGAAAGAAATGCACAAGTGACAAATGATGTTCTCTGCCTTTAGGTCCCAAACCAGTGACAGGTGATTTGGACATGGACTGCACTCACCAGTGATAGCGACATTGAAAGAGCAGGACGCTTCATTTCCAGAGCTGTCCACAGCGGTGTAGGTGAACTCATGGGAGCCGATGTTCAGAAACAAAGGCGGTGAATACGAGTTAGTTGTGACATCTGAGTTGTCTGTGCCAACTGGTTCGACCCAGTCAGCCGTGCCGTTCATGATGCCTTCACCTGCTGCTACTACAATATCACTTGGGCAGGTAATCTCCGGGGGGAACGGATCTTTCAGGTAAAAAAAAAGCCAAAGAGCAGCTTTGTTATCACTGTAGCTATATGTAACTCAACGGGTGTGGGGATCTGTGAGAAATATCTAACAGCGCGAGTGAAACACGGAATAATGTAGTGCGTCTGTGTCCCACATGTGGGACACAGACGCACTACATTTTCCGTGTTCCACGAGCGCAAGCGTGATAATGAATTTATCTTCAAGCAAACTTGACGCACTAAAAAGATTTTCAGTGGTTATCCTGTTACACGTGCGTGTAATGGCATGCGAATCTTGGAATAGCGCAACACGTGGAGTGCGGTATGGACCGTGGCTGTGCTACATGATAATATGTAGCACGGTTTGTTGCCATGGATCGACCAATCAGGATCGAGGATTCAAGTTTACTTGAAGAGAATTCACAATACACAGTGTGCATTTGTTTTTGAGGCCACATTTTGACTTTTTGGTTGACTTCTGGATATATAACAGCAGTCATAACTGCTGAGTCCATGTCAATGTAACTGAACAACATTTGTGATGCGATCAAGCTATAAATGAGTCGTTTGTCGACCCTGGTCAATTTTTTTTTTTTTTTACAGATTTGATAAGAGCACAATCTCAGCATTACTGCTGTGAAAACCGCATGCTGGTGCCATCTTTAGTTTTAAAACTATGGAAGTAGGAACACCAAGAGATGTGATGAAGTGATGTGATGAAGTGGCCCTAGTTTGGCCTGAATCTCCAAATGAAAGTTCCCGACAAACAACTCATTTAGCTTGATCGCATCACATTTTTGCTTTATGTCGACAAATGGATGCCAAAATTGTCAGGAGTGTTAATTTGCACCTCTTTCAACAGATTTTCTGGGTGGTTTCTTTTTTTTTTTTTTTAATGAAACAAAGTTGAGATTTGTTAGCTATAAACAACAAAACTGTATTGGTGAGCACGGACAGTATGGACATAGGCTTCTCAAGGATATCTACTGTGCTCCTTTGTTTTATGAAGTATGAAATCTGACTCCATGATTTTACAAAATGCCACGGGGAACATATACTAACCAAGAACACGCAGGTAAAAATCACACTTTTCTTGCATCGTTAGTCCAACTGTAGTATAGACCGTGTATGTGACCAGAATCCTTCTGTTGTATCCATCAGATGTGAATGTGTATGAAATGGGAAAGGAATCCCCGTTGTTACATTCATGATCAGATGGCCCTATAGGGAAGCATGTGTACAGCCTCTGAAAACCAGCAGGCGTAGGGTCGGTCCACGTGATGACAGCAGTATCACTAGCACTGGTGACATTGACCTCAATGACTGCTTGTCCATTGGATTCTATCACAGCTTCCGGTGGGGGGCAAGTGCCACCAAAGTAATCTACAGAAAACCAAGTAATAGGTGTACACAAAATGTAAGGCCCTGAAGTAAATCACTTATGTTATGGTCATTGCACATTTGCATGCATTTAAAAAAAATCCATGTACATGTAATTTTGTCTTACAGATATAACATATGCTTCAGTTATTTTATAAAGTTCCATAAAGCTTTCCGGTATAACCTTTAGATTTGCCAAAAGATCTTTATTAAAATTTCCCTCCACGGATACAATATTACACAAATATTGAGTGCTTCGAGTGGTGTAGTATAACTAGCCTCCCGAGGTGATCCATGGGAAAATAGAATGCTCCATGGATCATCGAGGGAGGCTAGTTTTACTTCACCACGAGATAAAGCATTCAATATTTGTTTTATAACACTTCAACCACAGATTCTGCTTGGTTTTAATATTTTAAATTATTTAAATCGGAACGCAGTTGAAATAAACTTCAATTGCAATACAAAATTGGTGGAAAATGTATTTCTTCTCTTCCAAACTACCCCTTTCGCGAAATGTTTGAACCCAACTCTGTGGCGCGCTCTCTTTGGAACAAAACACGCTACGCGCAACGCCCAATGTGCACACCAGCATGCATTTGCACACAAATACTGCGCCGTGGAAATAGTACTTTGGTTGCTAATTGTAAAGTACTTTGGTTGCTACGGGTATAGTACTTTTGGCCGTGCACAGAAAGATAGCAAAAATAGAAAGTATCATGTGACTCGCTCTCGGCCAATCAAGACACAGAATCTGCAGGTGAGGTGTTATAAAAAAGGAATAGTATGCATAATACATACACGGAAGTTGCGTTTTGTGCTGGAAGTTGCCTTTTTCTCATATCATTTGTACGCAATATCAGCAAAGCAAGGAATCCTTTCTTTATGACATAATGCAGTATGGACCACAGTCTGAGGACCAGACATTCATGTGTGCAGAGCAATGGTACAAACGTATGATCATGGTCTGATATATCGCAGCATGCAAATTTTATGCCAGCCAATCGGAGTCAACTTTAGAAACGTAACATCATTTCAATCACAAATGTGGACTAAGCTGTTGATTGGTCAATTGAGTTGACATTTTTTTTAAAACTACGGGTTACAGAAGAGAGGCTCAGGGAGGCGACACACCCTTTTTGGTCATGTTCGGTGCCTCCAAGCTCCTGTCCCTGCTCATCTTGCCCTTGATGCTGCCGTCCAGTTCCATCTTGGGCAACGGCCTGCCAACTGGACCAGGCCTCGTGGTCGTCCCCGGCTTACCTGGCTTAAGCAGGTTGCAGATGCTGTGCAGCTGTCACCAATCGAGTGCTGGTCCCTTGCCCTTTCCCTTGACCAGGAAGGTTGGAGGTCACTACGACCCACTGATGGTCAAGTGCAGCAAGTGAGTAGTAAGTTATGGAAGACCCAATACAAGGTGCCCACTGAATAGTCAGAATCTCAAGGTCAAGTCACAGTCTTGTTTTGCATAATTAATCGCCGAATCTGCTTGCAAAGGTCTACTCCATAGGCAATATGAACTAGTGGGTATGAATATGCACTGCATGTAATGAAAGCTACTATCTGGACTGTCTCAATGCTACATGCTGTTTGTTCTAAACTTGTTCAAAAACAAAACAGAAAGTACCATGAGAAGACACACAAAAAAGCTAATTAAACTTTTGAGGCATGAAAAAAAGACACAGCAGACTTTCAAGGAATCTATGCAATAGACCCTTGTAAGCCGATTTGCTGATTAATTATGCAAGACAACCGCCTCTTGACCTCTAGAGTTTGAACAATCAGTGGGCACTTTTCTGTATCGGGTCTCATAAAACCTAGACACGCTGTGAATGGAGCAAAAAAGTCGGCGGTCACGTGCTCTGTGATGATGAAATATGCGATGTGCCGGCAAATAATAGAGCCAATCACGGTCGTGTCTAGGTTTTGTAGGTCTATGCACGCTCCGTCGTTGTTGTATTTCAAAAACAATGCATCCGAATCAACCAATCCCAGTTTTAGTCCTGATTTGGGAATGAAAATGTCACAAACTAGTAAGGTCAACTCCGATTGGCTGGCGCGCGGCGTCGCATAAATTTGCATTCCTAGATATATCAGACGTTCGACCAGAGATAGGGCTCCATGGAGAACGGGTGATACTCGGACTAACTTTCAGGGCACACAAGAGGAAACATATACCCACAGAATTAACATGACTATGGTTAAACACATAGAAATAGTTGGATTTCTTACTATCATTTTCGATGATGCAGACTTGTGAGTTTGCCCCAAGAGTGCCAACTGGATTTGGATTTGACAATGTCAAGGTGAAACAATATACGGAATCTTCGTTTTCCACGTCATTATCCATGATTGGAACACTCAAAGCTACTCTGTTCTTAGTCAGCTGAAAGTCTAGGGTGTCAGTAACGGCCGTATAGTCTGTATCATTCACAGCTACAGCTGTTCCATCAGAAGTTGCAACATCTGGAATTAGAACAAGGAATTAATCACAACGATGTCAAAAATCTTGTAGGGATATAGTGAGAGGAATTGTTTTCTTCAACAGTCCCATGAGATGATACAGGGGGAGTCAAAAGAGCAAAACCCAAACCCAAAGAAATATATTTTATATTTTAAAAAAAACTGTAGCACCAAAAATAATTATGACTGGTAAGCAAATTTCATAAACTACTTTCAGATGAAAAATATTACATTGATTGCTCAATCCATTGAAATAATATCACCATTTAAACAAAATGACCCTTATATCTGTCTCGTCCAAAAAATGCGATTTCAAAAATTGTAGTTAAAGCCCCTGTCACACCTTTGCGTATCCTAATTCCTTATGAGTTCCTTATCAAAAATTTTCCATACGCAGCCATACGCTCAATTAGCGTCGAAATGTTTTGATCACTTTGACTTATGTGCGACGCACATCTAGCGTACAATTAACGAATTCAGCGCATCCATTGCGTATGAGATGCGTATGAGTTGCGTATGCAGTGCACAACATTATTTTTCGGGCTGCGAATAGGTCAGTTTGCAGTGCGCATGCCGAGCGTATTCCGGACGCACCCAACTTATGCCGACCGCATGCTTGACGCACTTCTGAGCGTATTCCCGCCGCATTTCCGCCGCTCGCCGTTCAGCGTGCGTTGCATCTGCGCTGCAAGTACGCTATGTGTACGTCCAATACAGGCGGCTCATATGCTGACGGGGTGCGTCACGAACACATAGCTTCTCGTAACGCACTCGACCGATGCGGGACCGATGCGCTGCGTATTTATAACTTATGACCTGCGTAACAGCGTACGCAGCGTAGTTTTGTGCATGACCAAAACTATCCTGCGTACTGGGCCGTACCATGCGTATATCTGCGTACATAAAACCTACACAAAACGATAGAGATGCATATGAGGTGCGTATTGTGCGTACGACTGCGTATGAAAAAAATGTCAATGCGCAACTCATAAGGAATTAGGATACGCAGAAGTGTGACAGGGCCCTAAAATTGTCTTCAACATCACCAATGATAAAACCTCAGTTTAAAAGTTAAAAAGGCCCGTCTTTAAAAAAGCTGATTTTATAAATCCTATTGCAAGTCAAAGCAGGATTGTTAATAAAGATATTGTGTGCTACAGTTGTTGAAACAAATATTCTGTGTCATTTTCTTTGTTGTTCCAAACACTCAGAACGCACAATATATATTCTTTTTTGGACAAAACTGATTTAAGGGTTACTTCGTTTAAATAGTGATCAACTTTTAACGTGAAAAGCAATTGAAATAATTTTCTCACTTTGAACTAGTTACATAAAATGGGCTTCCAAGTCAAAATTATTTTTGGTGCTAAATATTTTTTTTTCAAATATGAAATATATTTCTTTGGGTTTGGGTTCTGCTTTTTTCGACTTACCCTGTACATTTGGCAAGAACAGTGCAATTTGATATCTTTTCATTTGAAACTGTATGTGCTCTCCCGATTGAATTTGAATCGCACATCAAAAAAGTAAGTAGATGTATCCATATGTGATTTTGTTTGTTTCTTCGTTTTTCTTTTTGCCTTTTTTTTAAAAACCATCATTTGCATCGTTTTACGTTGTAGCCAGTTTATCAGTCACATGAGAAACATCAGACTCCATTAAATGTGACTATTTTGCCCCACTCCCCCCCCCCCCCCCTCAAAAAAAGAAAGCCCATAAATCATAGTACTGACCAACTGTTGAATTGGGTGCATCATGAGGTCCGGTCCTTATCACGTAGACTGTAGCGCTGCCGACATCCTCAGCTACGGTGTACACTGCCTCCTCAAATTCATAGGTGTCGGCTGTAAAATAAGTAATATGCATGAACTTCAACCTGATTTTCTGAAAAATAAATGATTTTTTTTTTTTTAATTTCAGAAAAGCTGCATAAGGCCAAAAAAAAAAGTCTCCGGTTTCTGGTATGGAGCTTGCCCAAAAAGTGGTGCGGCGATGCTGCTTTTTTTTTTTTACCTGTTTTTTTGCTTCAAATGTCGGCTGATGACTGCAAATGGTGCCCGACTAAACTTAGTGGAAATATATGGGAGTCCAGAGAGGCCACATAAAGCTTATTCTCGATCATAACCCCATCTAAAAACACGTTAAAATTGTGCAGCAACAGTCAAACCAGTGAGTTTGGTGGTTTTGAGACATCATCTTTTATTGAAAAAAAAAACTTTTTCATTTTGCCGACGCGCATGGCTACGGCGAAACAATGGCTACCACTAGAAACCAGAGACTTTTTTTGTGTGGCCTAAATGGGGCCATTTTATTGAATATTTCCCTTTATACAACGCCTGATTAAATCCCCGTCATCTGATTGGTGGGTCCTTGATCATGTGTCATTGAATTATTCATCCCAATCCACAGCCCAGCCGTACCGCAAAAAAAAATTGAAGTTTAATTCCACAGTAAATAGAACTTTCATTGCATGGTCACAGTATTGGTGGCTCTGACCAACCAGATGACTAGGAATTATTCAGGCGTTGTATGAAGCAAATAAAGAATATTTCACGTTCGTGCAATGGTAAGAATACCAACTTTATTCAGTGACGGATAGAATGTTCCATTCCACGCGGCAAAGGAATGTTTCACATTGGTGCAATGGAAAGAATAATTTCTGATGGAATGTTACATTCCACTTGGCAAATAATGAATGTTTCACATTGCGCAATGGAAAGAACAATTTCATTCAGTGAGTATTGCGCAATGGAAAGAACAATTTCATTCAGTGACGGATGGAATGTTCCATTCCACTCGGCAAAGGAATGTTTCACATTGCGAAATGGAAAGAACAATTTCATTCAGTGACGGATGGAATGTTCCATTCCACTCGGCAAAGGAATGTTTCACATTGGTGCAATGGACAGAATAATTTCATTCAGTGACTGATGGAATGTCCCATTCAACTTGGCAAATAATGAATGTTTCACATTGCGCAATGGAAAGAACAATTTCATTCAGTGACGGATGGAATGTTCCATTCCACTCGGCAAAGGAATGTTTCACATTTGTGCAATGGAAAGAACAATTTCATTCCGTGACGGATGGAATGTTCCATTCCACTCGGCAAAGGAATGTTTCACATTGGTGCAATGGAAAGAATAATTTCATTCAGTGACGGATGGAATGTTCCATTCCACTTGGCAAATAAGGAATGTTTCACATTGGTGCAATGGAAAGAATAATTTCATTCAGTGATGGATGGAATGTTCCATTCCACTTGGCAAATAATGAATGTTTCATATTTGTTTAACACTGGAAACAATTTTCATTTGGTGAAATAAACAGAAAACATGAATCCAAGGCACTTTATATTAAACGCACTAATCATGGTAACTTTTACGACTGTGTTTTTTCTCTGGTTGCCAAATGTCCAGTGGGGGGCGACTGCATGGGGGGGGGGGCACCACTTTTTTATGGAGGGGGGGGGGTGTGCGCACTTCATGCTTCTCTCATAGCTATGCCGCTTCTCTCATAGCTATGTCCCAGTTGCCTTTTCGAGTTCCTAGTTGAATTTTTGAGTTTTGTGTTGACTTTCAGAGTTCCAAGTTGACTTTCCAAGTTTCGAGTTGACTTTTCGAGTTTCAAATTTGAGTTTTGAGTTGACTTTTCGAGTTTCGAGTTGACTTTAAGAGTTTCAAGTTGACATCGGAGTTTCGAGTTGACTTTAACTTAAGTCTTTCAAGTTGACTTTTCGAGTTTCAAATTTGAGTTTTGAGTTGACTTTTCGAGTTTCGAGTTGACTTTAAGAGTTTCAAGTTGACCTCGGAGTTTCGAGTTGACTTTAACTTAAGTCTTTCAAGTTGACTTTTCGAGTTTCAATTAAGTTGACTTTTCAAATTTCAAGTTTTTGAGTTTCAAGTTGACTTTTTGAGTTTCCAGTTGACTTCTCCATTTTTCGAGTTGATCTCTCTACATTCCTTTAATTTGTAGGCTACCCAAAACCGCTGGCTCTTTTGAACTGATTGCAAAATTAATAGGCCGAAATGTGTTTATCACACACCAAAGTCATTAATAGAGGTCACTCACATCATGGATTTTCTGTTTTTCAGGCCACAAAGTCAATTAAGAATTTCAAAAGAGAAAATAAACAGTTTTTAGGCCTAGGCTATTGACTTTCACGGGCAACAAAAATAAGATATTTGCTCAAGTTATTTTAAGCATCAACACTTTTCCATACCTGTTTTAATTGTGGAGCCTAGCTCTGTATTAATATGGGTCCAACACACTGTAGCTGATTTACCAAAATGTTTTCTGTGTAAAGACACTGTGACAGCAATGTACAATAATAAAACTAAGTCCTAAAACATAGGGCCTAAGTGTCTTTTCGTTCCTGAATTGCACGACTACCAAACAAGTACTATAACTAGTGTTATCTCTCAGCATCGCCCCGTGGTTCCTGGATATCGCAATACCGAAAAGGTCCAGCAGACCATGGAGGTAGACTAGCCAAGCTTGGACTCCACGGCGTATTGACGAAGCCGTCGTCCAACCTTGGCTGGTTAGCAGACGATCGTCTGCAACAGGACCCAGTCTCCAATGGAAATTTCTCTTTTTATGTCACGGTACTCGCCAAAAATGCTGATGGTGAGTATCTTGTTGGATACCAGCAATATAAATTTCTTAGACAGAGAGCAAAACTGTACATTTTTATAGATATTTATTGGGCAAACTCACGACAAAGCCTGTCCGCCACTGCACAACAGCATCGATGCACTTGACCAATTTTTTTTTAACCCGCCAGTAAATATTCACATGCGTGGCCGCCGAGTTCCTAGTGCGCGCATGCGCATGCAGCGTTCACGTTTGGAGACACGTCGCTGATAGGCTAAAACAAGTTCCAATATTACAGCCCGATCTCTGGTTGGTCAAAAATAGCAGCAGCCAAAGAGAAATTATTTATATTTAAAACATGCTTTTTGATTGGTTGAAAGTATGGATTGCAATTAATTACACAAGCGGATGAAAGCGGCTGTGTTTAAAATAGTGCTATGCGGTCTGATATTAGACCAAATAACAAAAACATGTTTAGCGTCCTGCCTTTTTGAAAAAAAAAGGAAGCGGGAGGCCCCCTCTTTCCCTCCAAAATGACCGTCCGACCGGGCTATTTTTCAAGATGGCCGCCAGGTTCTTTTTTTAAATGGCTGCCATTGGAATCAAGAAATGACAGCTTTATATGGGCTAGATGCAAGACAAAGAGGCCAAAATGATGTCACTGTTGAAAATTTATCTTTCTTTTTTTTTGGTAAAAAAAAAAGGAAGCGGTCTCCAAAAAGGGAGCGGGCGGGGATGCTGAACATTTTTTTTTATTTGGCCTTAAGACAAACGCACTTGCGACATTCATCGAAGGCCAAGGAATATCGAGTAGAAACATCCCAGACTGGGACCTTAAGTTCTCAAAACGATGCAAAAGAAGATCAGGCCAACTATACTCACTTTAAGCCAGCAACTTTAGCCAGCAAATTTCTCCAAAACTGTCATGGTGGGAAAGAAAAGTTCCTCAGTATTCAAATCAATTTTTATAGGAGACTTTTCTTCAATATTTGGCAGTGGCTTGCACAAGAGAGGTAAGTCAAGTGATTTCAAAATGAGGCAAAAGACTAGACTTGTACATGTCCATCCATGGTCCAACTGTTTGACAAGACTCATTCATTGTCATTAGTCAGGTGCCTGACTATGGAGAAATGTGTAGAAATAGTGACCTAGAACCCGACATCCTAGATATTTCTTCAGTCAGCGGACAGTTGATTGATGCAGTACTGAAGAGTTGTTGGACTGGTTGTTTCAGATTTCAGTCTATTTTTTTGTATTGCATGTTTTTAATACATTAAGTTTTGGGACTCTCATACACAGTATGAGAGTCCCAAATTTTCGGACTAGAAACATCCTACAAATATAATTATGTCTATCCCTCAAAACGTGATAGAATTTAGAAACCGATAAATTTCAATAACTAACATGAATGAATAAAGTAAGTTTAGGCCCACTGACGTCAGGATATGGTATTCCGTCTTCCGGTCTTATTGGGCAATTACACTTCTAAAATTTGGAACAAAATGCAGGTTGTTCATTTCCAATGTTTTACAGTGGCATCCCTCGGTTTCACATGGTACATGGTACACAGTGCATAATGGTGCACAGTGCATAATGCACTCATAATGCACTCATTCACACACTGTGAACAACTACCTCCATTAATAGGGCAAGGGCGGATCAAAAGGGGGGCAATGGGGGCCATTCCCCCCCCCCCCCCAAATAAAAAAAACGAAACCAATTTTTTTTTCAAGTGGAGTCGCAATAAAGGCAGGCACTGCGTGCACCACCATCTTTTCCTCCAAAAGATTTGGTTAAAGTAGTAAGAAATAGCCTCCGATCGCATCACAGAGCATCTACAATCCAAATTTTTGTAGGGGCCCTTAAGCGGGCCCCGAACCCCACGCCGTCATTTTTGGGACCCACTTTTTGGGGGACCAAAACAATTTGTTGCCCATCCAAAAAATTTGTGTTCTGGATCCGCCCTTGCAATAGGGCGCCACCGCCGGCCGGTACCGGGTGTGGGTTGGTTTATGGGCGCACTGAACCAATTCAAGCCCCATTGAAAACAGTGCAAAATCAACAAAGTTCTGGGCCAAATAACATGCAAGCCGACATCACTGGGGTTTCTCAAACAATTATTTGTCTTGTACTTGAACTTTTCATTTCTTTTCAATTTTGGGTGGATTAGCCGATTACATTTTTAAATATTCACACCAAAACAAAATCACCTCCCGAAAAGTGATAGTTCCCAAGCCTGCATGTAGCCGTTTAACAAGTGGCATCCTTCCACTTTCTCAGGCAAATGGGACCCATTTTTCAACCGTAATTTTATCAAGCCTGCCCTCAGATGGAAGCCCAAAAACCAGGGAGTTGATTCTTGGCTACATTTACACAATTCCACCGTTTTTTTTTAAGCCAAACGGTCCCCGTTTTCAAAAGAAACTGTGGGGTCACTTTTTATGCTAATCAGCTCGCGTAGAAATTCTCACTTGAATTAGTTCACTGCACCCTTAAGGTAAACAACCTCAACTGGGTGGTGCAAGTTTTGAAGTTAGCATGAAATCCCACTAAAGATTATAATTTTCAGTCCAATTTCACACCCTGTTAATTCGGTCAAGGATAAAGCTTCATTCAAAATCGCCTAATCACAAGCAAGCGTAAATTCGCACCGGTTCAATCATGGAGCTATACAGGGTGAGTCAAAACTTTGTGACCCGTCTCTGTTCTTTATACACCATTGCAGTAAGTCTTAGAGCATGTTCGTCCACTCATCTGAAGGAAAAAAGGATTTACTGAAATTGATCCATGTTACCGGAAGTTGTGTATATTTTACTAAAAGAATCGAATTTTTATAGCTGTCCGTGAAAGCCGTTAGAAGCTATTGAGCTGAATGAGAATTACAGATTACACACGGGCATTCAAATACAAGTGAGATTTTAATCATTTTGAGTCAAGACCGAAACGATATTTTTACTGTCAGGTTTTGTGTTTTGAATATGAGGAACAAGTCAACTCTTACTCTTTTTTCTACCTGAAATGCTGATGGCGATTTTTGTCCGTTTTCCTTTGCAAGTTTTCGTTTATTCATAAGATATATATATAGGAATATTCATAGGAGTTTTGCGTTGGAATGATGTAAATCAATAATAGGTTTTGCCCTTCACGGACGTATTAACACTGTTTACTCAGTGTGTTATACCACCCGAGTGATTTTTTTTTCAACTTTCACTCCGGAGGCAACACACGGAGTAAACAGTACTTTATATACGTTGGTGAAGGGCAAAACCTAATATTGACGTTTTCGTTTATTCATGGAAGTGGGGAGACGTCCATGTTTCATTGTATTTAATGGGTATTAATCAATTCGTAAATGATCAGTGTTGGCCTGCTGAAGTTGTGCGATCTTTCTATTACAATTAGACATAATATGGGAGTAGAGTATGAACATTACGTGATATTTTCAATTACCCGGTACAAGGCAATGACATGTACTTTATCCTATGATGAAATAGCGCGACAATTTTTATTTTGTTTTGGACTCACCCTGTATAAAGCGAAAGGTCAAAATATCTTCTTTCAAGCGCAAAAGAAATGTGCCGCAAATAAGTTTACAGGACTGTTCTTTGTTGAGTGAATTTTGAGAAAGTTTCTCCCAGGAATGTACAGCAATTTCAAAGAACAACGCGAAAGAAGATACATGTATTTTGACCTTTCGCTCTACAGGGTGAGTCGCGCTATTTCATCATAGGATAAAGTACATGTCATTGCCTAATACCGGGTAACTGAAAATATCGAGGTGGAAATATTAAAAAAATTAATAATAATGCATAACATACCTTACAAAATAATGTGTCAAAGTGATAGAAGGAAATACACTCAACCAAAAAAGTAAGTCCCCCCTTCAAGGGCGGATCGGGGGGGGGCAAACGGAGGCCATGCCTCCCCCCCCCCCAAAAAAAAACCTTCTTTTTTTTTTTTAAAGTGACGTCGCTATAAAGTCGGGCACTGCTTACACCACCATCCTTTCCTCAAAATAATTTGGTTAGAGTGGTCAGAAATTGCCTCAGATCACACCACATCACAGAGCATCTAGAATCCCCCCAAAATCGGGGCCATTAAGCGGGCCGGGCCGAACCCCTCGCCGTAATTTTTTTTGACCCACTTTTTGGGGGACCCAAACTTTTTTGGCCCCCAAAATGTGTCTGGATCCGCCTTTGCCCCCCTTCCAATACTTTATTGCCTAACTCCAAAACTACTGAGCACATCTCGCTCAAATAACTACTTATCAGTACAAAAAAATCCTTAGCAATCCAGCCATACTCTTTATTTGGCCCAAAACAGTGATAATGTGTACGAGTTTATGCAATTTATGACAAATGGTACCGAAAACAGTTTCACTTTTGTATGTGCAAGTTGTGGTTCACACTGACCTTGCACGTATACAAAAGTGCAACTTTTTTCGGTACCATATGTCATAAATTGCATAATTATTGTGTACACGTTATAACTGTTTTGGGCCAAACAAAGAGTTTGGCTGGATTGCTAAGGAATTTCTTTACTGATCAGTCGTAATTTGAGCAAGATGTGCCCAGCAGTTTTTGAGTTAAACAAAAACGTATTAAGGGGGGACTTTCTTTTTTGGTTGAGTGTAGTTGACAGTTGCCGGTAATACGTAAAATACTGCAAACAGACAGATTTGTATATGCAGAAAAACAAATTGGGATTTCCTTACACGAAAAAACTTAACCACACGCATTATGGTTTAAAACAAGTAAACGAAATTAACTGTTCTCAGTGCGAATTAGAAACTGTTTCGTACCAAGCCGTCCCTGAAACATCATGAACTGGAATGAACATTCTGTCGTCATGGGCGTCGCCAGGATTTTTTCTAGAGGGGGGCAAAACATATTTTCCCCCAATTTTTTTTGTATTTCTCGACATATTCTCGATTTATCAGTTTTAGAGGGGGGTAGGGACATTTTGCCCCCCCCCCGCCCATTAAATTTACACCACTATGACTTTGCGCGTCTTTTTTTTCTTTTTCTTTTTTCCTTTTTTTTTTTTTTTTTTTTTTTTTTTTGCTTTTCGGGGGGGGGGGCGGCGCCCCCCTTGCCCCCCTCGCGACGCCCATGTCACTCGTAGTTGCTAAAATGAACAAGTTGTGAAATTGAACTGCAAAATCAAAAAAAAAAAAAAGAGCCAAGTTACATTTCCTGGGGAGAGAGAACAGGCGGGCGGCAGAGTTTTGGATTCTTTGAAGTTTATTTACATCTTTGTCGGGGAGGCCAAAAAGTTGACAGTTGCGGTCATCAAGGCCAGGAAAGAGGCGACAAAAGCATGTACTAACCATTGGTGTACAGGGTCAGTACAAACAACGAAACCCAAATAGCAGGACCATTTTTTGAATGAAGTTTTGCCTGTAGCTCTTTTAAAATCTAGGATATAAAAGCCCAGTCGTTAAGCTTTCGTTTAAAACAAGAATCATTCAAATCACTGATGCACTTTTCAAGTTACGGAATTTTGAACACAAATACCGTTTTAAAGGTCTGTACATGCGCGGATCACAAAAAAGGTAGGGTTTTTTTTTGCAAAACGAAAACAATTCTCATAGGGATAAATGTTAGTTTCTATGATTTGATTGTATGGGTTTTCCCGGCCAAGTTCACCACCGTTTTCTTTCAATTGAATGCCTGGCTCCTTTAATTTAGATGGAAATTAAAAGATCACGCATATCGGCGTCCGACAATCCAAAAGAATCAGTCACTTTCACTATCCGTGTATCCGTCTGTTCGCTTTACTCAAATTAAAAGTATCATATTGTTTATTCAATTTCGTCTGAACCAGCAGTAAGGGGTTGATCTGACATTCGTTTTCATTAATATGGGCAAACTTATTTCACATTTTGTCAAGCATCTTTTAACTCTTACTACATGTCCGTACTCCTATACAGTTCTGAATTATCTCAGCGTATATCTGACGTCTTCAATCCGTACAGATGCACACCTCTCTTTCTTAACTAAGTTTTCAGACAGCAAGACGCAGGAATGAACCTAGAGAATGTAATGTGATCGTCTGATAGAAGTGACCCAAGAAAACATTTGAGAAATTACCCAATTGAAATGTTCCCGACGGTACAACCATTACCAAACATACATGTCGCGATGTCTTGCACGTCAAGAGATCGATGGGTAAATCAGCGATGAATAAAAAATATTTATAAAAAAAAAGACCGAAGAAGAGCACTAAACAACGTTGAATGATTAATAAACATGTCAACATATAGATGCCTCTATAGATTCGTTCAAACTGAAGTTGAAAAAAAATCAGCAGTGAAAATGAAAATGTCTTAGCCCCTTTCATTTCATTATTTCGTTACATCATCTATCCCTCATAACAGTTAATTTATATATATTATAAATTTTTACTTTCACAGATTTTGAGAAAAAGAAAGGAATCTCGCAGGAAAATAGGAAATATATCAATTAAAAAATATCATCACTGAATGACCAAGCGATGAAAACGATTGCCCATAAACGAATAAGAAAAGAAAAGCATGCTAATATATCATCATAATTATGCGAGCCGAGGCTCGGTAATTCGAATACGTCAATTATTGTCAAAGCATTTCAAAAACTTAAGAAAGTCTCGAATGTACTCAAAATGATATAGAATCCCCAAAACGAAAACGAACGAACGTTGAATGCCCCAACAATGAAAAAGAAGCCCAATTTGATCAGATGTGTGTAAAAAAAACAAAAACAAAAAAAACGCGAAATTGCATGGCATATTATGCAAATGTTCAGAAAAATTCGGAAATTGGCCGGGAATACCTTTTTTTAATTTTAATTTTCAAAATCACCCTTTCAGTTCGATTATGTGAAAATCACTGTACAGAACCAGAAAACTTCAAATAATCCGGCCGGCCCCAAACTTTGATAGCTCCCTTCTTGTTTTACTTAACATGAATACAGTTGCTGTGTTTCGGGGGCAAAAATGTTTAAAATCTGGTATATTATAAAATTAACCAAAGTCAACATTGATAGTATCTATTTTACCGGGTTTCCGACGTTATAACATTATCACTATGAACCTCACACTGGGACGAATAATTCTACAAGTGCTTCAACTTACCGACACCATTCGCCTCGCATTTCCCCATCAATCCCAGCACGGCTACGGCGAGCAAAAACATGGCCGTGGACCCAAGCGCAGGCCTCGCCCCCCGTCGCCGCATGGCGGCGAGTCGCTCAATTTTTTTGCCACCAGCAAAACGTCCAGATTTTGTCCAGGTATCAACGGCTTAAAATCCACTTTATCAATGGAAACAAAGAGACGACCGCTGTCCACTATGCCGCGGAAAAACCTTCTTCTGAGGAACTTGTTGAAGTCAGCGCACCAACTTCGCAAAAACTTCCCAGTCACACAGCGATTGTCCCACAATGCATCTGGCGCGCCTTCCAAGGGCGTAGTCCTGCCCGTCATCAACAACGCTTTGTATCATGTGTGACGACAACATCTTCAGGCCGATTCCGATTGGTCGGCCGAATAATTGCAAAGTCCCGGAAACCGCCAAAAAAAAAAATTCAGGCACCTTTCGTTTCGCAACTGCAACCGTCACCTTGAACAATGACTACGGCATGATTTTTACAGAATGGGCGCGGGTCCGGTTTTCCACACCCAAAACCGGGCCAACTCGTTGGCTCAGTACTTTTGCGAGGAGAGTTCAAGGTGAAATATTATGAATGAAGAGGAAATATTATGGGTGACGTACGACGCCTGTTTATTTAAACCACAGGCATTTCTTTTCAGGCGTCATGGCCGGTAGCCAAGTCTACAATTTTGTTAATTGTGAAAAAATCGGCGTAGGTTTTCAAAGTCACCTGTACAGGGTGAGTGAAAACAAAACGAAGCCCAAATGTCGGGACCATTTTTTTGTAGTGAAGTTCTCCATGTAGCACTTTCAAAATGTATAGGATATGAAAGCCTAATTCATAAGCTTTCTTTTAGTACAAGAATCATTCAAAACACTTATGTACTTTTCAAGTTACGGAATGTTAAATACAACCACCGTTTTAAGGTTCTGTCCACGGATCACAAAAAAGTTCAGTGTTCTTTCAGCAAAACGAAAACAATCACATAGGAATGTTTGTGAATTGTTTCGTTTGGTGAAAGAACGCACGCCTTTTTTGTGTGATCCGTGGACAGAACCTTAAAACGGTGGTTGTATTTCAAACTCCGTAACTTGAAAAGTACAAGAGTGATTTGAATGATTCTTGTACTAAAAGAAAGCTTATGAATTGGGCTTTTATATCCTAGATTTTCAAAGTGCTACACGCAGAACTTCACTAAAACAATGGTTCCGACATTTGGGATTCGTATTTTTTTTACTCACTCGATATATGCCTATGTCTTCATGTTATCGGGATGCTAAGTGCAATTTGTTTTTTTCTCTCCTATGGCCAATTTCAAGGCATACCAGGCCGGGAAGCTTGTCGTATACCTACATGCTATCACTACCATTCGTCTACAGGTTAACAGGGCTGACATTAAAGGGTTCATGCGATACTTTTTTCCTAGTAACACATTTTGTGCAACTTTCTACTCCTCTTACTACTTGACATCCCTTTTTGGATAATTTTACTGAAAAGGGCACTTCTTTAAACATTAACAATAATATCCAAACTTGTCCGTGGACAACTGAGGGCGCTGCTGCTGTGATGTCATTTAAGGAAGACACTGTTCAATTTAGGGATTTTCTGTTCAAAATGTGAACCCAAAATGTGCTCGTTGAAAACACTTGTGAGAAAGGATTGCTCATTGGCTTACTGTCATGTACTTGCACGACAAATCACCAAAGAAAAGAAAATTTATGACAGCAAAAATATCCACAATTCTAGCAACTTTTGTGTTGAAATAGCTGTAGCATTATTGTGCCGGCCCGAATAAGCCTCTGTACTGATGCATCACCCTTTGTTTACTTGTGCGCTTTTCTATGGGGCTACGTCCGGACAAACACATTTAACAGCTAGCCGTGAGCGGGTCTGTATATCGGTCTGACTGGTCCTGCATGGGCCAATTGCGCACAATGAACAATTTGCCGTATGGCCGTATTCGCAACCGAAAAACGCCATTAAGTACGCCATTATGTGGTTTTACACAGTCACGGCGTATATACCAGGCGCGGTTCTACGGGGGGGGGGGGGGGGGCTAGGGGGGGGGGGCTGTAGCCCCCCAAAATTTTGTCTAGCCCCCCCAAAATAAATTCCGTAAAAAAAAAAATGCTTTAGCAAAAAGAAGGATTGTGTTGTACATGTGAATGGTCTCCCCCTAAAGAAGAAATAGCCGTGACAAGGGTGCATTAGTTAATATAGTGCAAGGGCTGATCCAGGAGGGGGGGGGGGGGGGGGGGGGGGGGGCAAAGGGGGCCATTATCCCCCCCCCCAAAAAAAAGAAACCAATTTTTTTTTTTTATGTGACATCGCAATAAAGGCAGGCAATGAGTACACCACCATCTTTTCCTCAAAAACAATTGGTTAAAGTGGTCAGAAATTGCCTCAGATCGCACCACAGAGCATCTAGAATCCAAAAATTGTTCGGGGCCCTTAAGCGGGCCCCGAACCCCACGCCGTAATTTTTGGGACCCACTTTTTGGGGGGACCAAAATTTTTTTTGGCCCCCCACAAAAAAATTGTGTTCTGGATCCGCCCTTGCTAAAGTGTGAATGATTTTAGGATTTTATTGGCGCTCCCCATTGAAACTATGGCATGAGCCCCCCCCCCCCCCCCCCCCCCCCCCCCCCTTATTGATTTTCAGAGGCCTAAGTGTCTGGAAAAAATAACCGGTCAACATTTCAGCACGCCTCCCTGAAAAAAAATTCTTGATCCACCGTGCTAGCCCCCCCAAAAAATATTGGTTCTAGAACCGCGCCTGCTGACGGCATAGGTATTATTTCAGCTTTGTCTTCCAAGGCTACACACGCGATTTATACAGGCACTAACAAAAGAATTCTGGGCCCGTGGTCGTGGATTTGAGAGTAAATAGTGTATACGCCCTTATTCCGCTAGAGATATATTATAAGCGCCAAGAATTCTTTCATGCATGATTATGAACTCCGGGGAAGCCGTGTGCACGCACTACCAACGTGGGAATGTAACCTATATCAGAATCAAGTTGTACAATTCGATTCAACAAAGTTAATGCAAACTCTGTGGCATTCTGAATGTTATACCCTTTCGGCCATAAAACCTGAAAACGGAGCCCACAAATCTGGGTTCCGATTGCAGGGGAAACTGGGGGAGTATTTTTGTAAAGAGCGCACTCTTTTTGTAAAAAAAAAGTTAATTTAAAAAGGCCAATTTGTACCCTCTCTAAATTCTGAGGGGAACACAACTTCGTTCCCATGGTGTCGAGCAGTACGCTCCCACTACCTGCTCTCTCACGCTGGTGCTGCATTGTTATACTTGCATATGCAAATGAGGTATGGAATCGTCTGGTGCCAGGCCGTGCTTTAAAATCAGTCTTTGTTTTGTTTGCGGTTTCCAGGGTCAGACGGGATCAATAATCGTCGCAGCGTGAGCTATACTCTTGTAATGTTAAAATCTGTACCCATCCAATATTCAGTATTTACACATTCAGTATTACAAGCAAAAAAGGAAAAGGGTTTTTGAGGAGTAGACGTAACGGTTCACAATGAATATTAAAACTCGTAATGCACGTTGGAAATAAAAACACCCGGTATACACGGGGGTACTCCCAATACCTGCTATTGCACCGAACCAGAACAGGAAATTCGAAACAAGTTCCATTCACCTCTTGGGGGTCGACTATCGGAATCGAAGTGTTTTTTTTTTTTAAAGTACATGTAGAAGTTTTAGTTTTAAAGTATACACTGGGGAAGAGGTTGGATCTGAGGATCAGACATTCATGTGGACAGAGCCACGGTTGAACATAATTTTATGCGACCCCGCGCGCCAGCCAATCGGAGTGGTCTTTAGAAACTGTGACGTCATATCAGAAATACGGACCGAGCTGTGGGTTGGTCAATTTGGATGCCATGTTTTTGGTGGTTGTTTTGTGTGTGTGTACAGTGGCGTCGCCAAGGGGGGGGGGGGCCAGGGGGGGCACGTGCCCCACCTGGAAAACCTAGTGCCCCCCCCCCCCGAGTGCCCCCCCATCTGAGATTTGGGTTGGTAAAAAAATATATATATATTTTGTTATATTCAACTCCCATCATCTGAGTTGGTTTTTCATAAGGACAAAGAAGCACAGTAATTCGTATTTTCTTCAAATGAGCATCAAATGTGGCACCATTTTGCATCTAGTCCATCCTCCGTATGCGAAAATTTCCTGGGGGAGGGGTCTAAGGGGAGGGCACCCCCTCCCCTTAGACCCCTCCCCCAGGACGGCGATCCGTATCCACCTAAGTGCCCCCCCCCCCATCAAATGCTGGTGCCCCCCTGTGCCCCCCCCCCCCCCCAGACTGAAAAGTCTGGTGACGCCACTGTGTGTGTAATACAACAACAGGCTACGGTAGACCCGATAGAAGGCGCCCGCTGAATGGTCAGAATCTTGAAGTCAAGACGCAGTCTTGTTTTGCATAATTAATCACCGAATCTGCTCGCATTATTATGGACTCTTGCTGCGCACTGCGCAAGAGGATATTCCACAGACTTTATAGGTTTGGAATGGTGTAGTTTAGGACCCCGTTCCATATAAGAGAATGAAAAGACGCTTTTATGTTTTGGCATTTACCTAAATAGTCACCAGCAGGAAAGTAACTTTAATTTTTTTTAGTTCGCTGAAATACCACATTGAATATCGGTAGACTAAATTTTGTAGAAAGAAGACAGGATTTTTATATTTAATGAGGAAATGGGGTAAAATGATGACAGCGCCTGAACTGCTCCGACTCGCGAATCTCTGTACGGCCGTATTTTATTCCAAAGTAGGCCTACTAATCAAAATGACAAAAACCTAGAGGCTCAAAATAACGAGCTCACCTTGGACTTCAGAAATCCAGAAAATTAAATTTACAACACAAAGCACCGATCACAACCTCTTGCCCCGAGCATCACGGTCCAGGAACTATGGTGGCCCTGAAGGGACATCGCATATCGCAAACGTGTGCGCACACGTGTGCGATGTCGCAAAATTTATCGCGAATGTGTGCGCACACGTATGCAATGTCGTGAAACAATTCGCGAATATGTGCGCACACGAATGCGATGTCGCGAA